TATAATATGGCATGTAGTGGATAGTAATCTCAAATTGGTTATTCTGGTGTTTTTGACAGATGATTCCTTGTCTTCCAGAGTTTTGGGCAGCATGGAAGGGAGCTGATTACCTCAGAACTTGCTTTAAGGATTTTGTCTATCTTAAGTGAAGAAAAAATTCTGCCCAGCATGGATCAAGCTTCCTTAAACAGTGCGCTTGACCAGCTTATCATAAAGGTAGGTTGAAATTTCTCCCATAAGTATGCTATAATTATGAAATCCATTATGGAACATTGACTCTGATTAGCAATATGCTAGTGAAGTTTCAGAATAATTTATATGAAGTATTTAATGTAGTGCAGCGATTACATTAAGAGTCATTGTAATTTTTAAGTATCTTCCGTTCATATTCTTGAAGTTAGATCAGACATAATAACTCAACCCCAAAAACTATCTTCTTGATGTGTGATTGAGTTAGGCTAAGCCCAAATTCCAATATTTGGATTGGGTTGGGTTGACGTTTTTAACAATCAATGTTATCTACGATGAGTTCTTATATCACATTGGATTTTGATTAGCCTAACTTAACCATAAAAATTAGCTTGTGAGGTAAGGATTGTCCAAGCCTTTCTAAGTTTTACTTTAACTATACCTCCAGTTGATGTGAAATACCAACATCAATTATTATGTTGGGTGATATTGTTATTTTCCTCTTTATTATTTAATACCCTTGCATATTTGTTTCCTTAAGCATTTTTTGCCACTCAATTGATTGAAGGATTGTTACTATATCTTTAGTTGTATCATGAAGTTAGCAATGAAGAAAAGATCAGAGGAGAATTTAGATGTATTTGACTATTTGTCGTATAATGCTGATGCCTAATTATTTATCAGGTGGTTCCAATGGAAAACTTGAATGGCCGCAAACTTGTTGAAGCTGGAGATCTCTGTGAGAGAAGAAATGGTCTTGTATTTCACCTTTATAATCTATTGTGTAATAGTTGACTAGCTTTGAAAATGCCTGAGTAGTATTATGTAGCAGGTAGAGGAGTTGATCTCAACCGGAATTGGAGTGTAGATTGGGGCAAAAAGGAGAAGGTTCAATTTGCATCTATGTCTCAGTTCATATTAAATAGTGGTGTTTTTCCTGTGTCTATTATTGACTTGCAACTTGTGGATAAGTTGTGATAATAGAAGTGTATAGTATGGCACTCAAATAGATTTTTATCAGATAAAATTTATCATTTTTTTTGTTGTCTGCCTGTGAATCTATTTGCTGATCTCTTTCTTTTTCAGCAGTATTCCAAATGCTAAATATTTTTTATACGTCTCTTTTTCATTTTCATCATTCTCAAATCAATAGGATTATGATCCATATGAGGAGAATCCTGGAATTGCTCCATTTAGCGAGCCTGAAAGTCAAATTATGCGGAAACTTGCCATATCTTTTGAACCACATGTATGGATTAATGTGCACTCTGGAATGGAGGTAAGTTCAGTTCATTTTTCACCTGTTTCTAAAACCAAATGGTTGTTCCCTTAGATTTCTTATCCACAGTTGTGCTTTAATTCAGGATCTGCACATTATATAACCCAAGCAAGAATTCTTATTTGTAATTGAATTGCTGACCGTAGTTCGTACCTGTTCTTATAGATTCTTAGTATTATGCATCGATTTCTTTACAGTCTTTCAAACATATTCCTTTATGTCATGGCTCAAATATTCCTTTATAAACGCTTCCTTTAGTATTTTGAGAACCCTTGTGGCTTACAAACCGCCATGCTTTCTGCCACCAGAAATGGCATCACTTGGGATTTTGCCAACCTGATGTGCATTGCAATTTTGTCTTTCCAAAGCATGAATTTTTCACAATAATTAACCAGCTCGAACTAACATGATAAATTAGCATAACCTATAAAAGTAAGTCTCTGTCTTAAAAAATGACAACTGAACATTTGACTTAATTCTGGTTCATACTTTTTTTAATGTCTCACTTCCAACTCAAGCTTCATATTTGATCCTTCATCTAATCTGAGCAACCATGTGCACTAGTACTCTTGTTCTATTCCCCATCTTTAGCAAATTATTTTCTTGAAAACCTAATTCTCATTTTACGAAGCATATAGTTTTAATCAGCCTGAATCAATGTTAAGCTTAAGACTCCACCAACATTTGTCATACTTTTATGCAGCTGAAAGTTGCAAAACAGAGGAAGTGTCAATTTAAATATTAGGATGGGCATTCGTTATAGACTGTACATACTTGACTATTATCTCCTGCTCTTTCCAGGGACAGATGCACGTTTAGCAATGTGGGGATACAAGCCCTCGCTCTTGCCATGAAATAAAAATTCTTTAATACTACAATACAATAGTGTTAAGTTTGTTACTAAAGCCTCATTCTCCATCACGTTAATTTTTATCATATTATTTATCTCTTGAAGAGATATGTGTCTTGTCTTCACTACCAAAATTTATGGATCTGTCACTGGATCTCAATCTATTATTTAATACTATTGTTGTGGTTGGTGTTATTACTGCTTTTACATCATTTGACAGTGCTTATGGGCAAATGTGTAAACTGCATTATTTTTACTTTGATCAACATGGTAAGGAACCATTCAGATATCACCTCAGATGACAATTGTCACTGTCCTTTTTCCTCCCTCTGCAGGCTCTTTTTATGCCATACGATCATAAAAATATAACACCAGATGGATTGCCATTGCAACGGATGAAATCATTGCTTGAAGAAGTAAACCATCTCCATTGCGAAAACCGTTGCATGATTGGATCTGGAGGCGGTTCTGTAGGGTTAGTTGGTTTTTATTTGAATATGATGTGGATTGATGCAAATTTTCATTTGGCCTAGTGTTTGTATTTTATATGTGTTTGCATCTGCTATCTATCTTCGTTGCTAAAAAAAAATGCACCGTTGGGTCCAGAGTTGGTTCAGTAGGGTTAGTTGATCTCTGGTGGAAGTGGAATATGAGTAATGAATGGCTGCCAAATTGTTTGAAGTTATATGTTTTCTTCTGCCTTCTATCCCTGGCTCACAAGTGATATCCATTTTACTAAATGTTATGACCAGAGGAGAAAAATTGACATTGCAGTTTTTTGTGTCAATTGTTTTGTTTTGTTTTGACTGTGTGGAACAAAATCAAAGTTTGAGTTAGATGGGATGGGAGATATACCCTTGCTCAAAACACTGCAAATCTATAATAACCTTAACTTGTTGATTTGCAAGTTGTACTCAAATGGCACTTGCTGATTGGAATTAACTTTTGAGGGTCTCAATTATTCTAATGCTTTCGATAATTTGAATTTATAAGTGGTAACTCAGCACCGTTTTTTTAGGTGCGATAAATTTAAGAATAAAAATTGTAAATTTTTGAATTACAAAATATACAATCTGTTAGTGCCTCAAACTTACTGGCCTTGAGATAGTCAAATTGCCATCTATTCGTCACTCTTTGCTCAAGTTTTGAACTTGCTTATCCAGGTATTTTGCACACGGGACAGCAACTGATTTCATGTATGACATTGCGGGGGTTCCCATGGCTTTCACCTTTGAGGTTTGTGTGCCGAACTTCTCTTTTTGTCTGCTGGGCTTTTTACCTTTGATTTTAGGTGGTGTCCTTACGTCTTTTTATTGACTGGCAGATATACGGAGATGGAACAGCCTCATTAAGAGACTGTTTCAAAATGTTCAATCCCACCGACCTTGCTAGCTACAATGTATGTTACTTTAACTCAGCAAATGATCATTCCATTCCTTCTGTTTTTTATTCCTTTACTCTAAAGAATTTTTTTAAAAAATAAATGAATAAATAAAAAAAATTAAATTTACAATTAAGGTGAGGGAGAGAGAACAAATCTTAATGCAACGATAAACGTTACTGCTGCCATAACCTAGATGTTGTAGGTTCAAATTTTGGAAACAACATCTGCTTGCACGGGTAAGGTTACATATCTCCCCTCCCGAACCCCACTAGGTGTCATGATCTGTATTACCTTTTACCATAAAGATGAGGGAGAGCATTTTTAAAAAGTGGGACAGCAATGATTATAAATATTTTATTTTGTCATTTTCAGAGAGTTCTCAGTGACTGGTCTGCAACATTCTTTACAATTTTCAAATCGGTGCCGCACCAGCTTGGTGAGATCCATTCAAAAGCTTCTATTTTTAAGTTGGATAAGTTGGTATCAATTGATGAATATCTAGATGGGTATTTGATGGAAAGAAGAAACAGATATGGAAAGAAGATGGAAGTGCTTGAGCTTGGAATGCAAGAAATAAGAACATATTTTAGGCTGTTTTTATTATCTTCAGTATTACTAATGTTCATGTTCTGTTCTAGAATTTCAAAAAGCAAGTGTAGTAGACCTATTGTTTCTGCTATGCCTCTTTAAAATTAGGTCGTAGGTTAAATTGTATATCCAATTTTGACAAAAAAAAGTTGTAAGTTAAATTGTTGTCTGTATTATTACGTAACGCAAGCCTTTCCTTTCAGGCTATATAATCTGATTCTTTATTGTGCCCAACCCAAGGATAAACGAACTTGTTGCACGGGTAATTTTCTTTTATGTAAATAATTTATTCTTATGTGAGTTGAAATATCCTGCTTTTAAGGGAGAATCTTGTCTTTTAAAATTGATATGCCGGAAGATAGAAGTTCCTCTTTTGGAAGAGATATCCTAATAGATGTATAAGAAATGGGCACAAAGTTACAGGTGCAACGGCCTGCATACCCACAAGGTGGCTCTTTCAGTCAGGCACAAGCAGTGCAATTGCATAATAACTAGGTCTTGTCTTCAATTGACATGCCAAATAAAAAAATAGTTATATATATCCATTTTTGAAGAAAAAGCAGGATTCGAGGTCTGTTTGTATTGCACACCCATTTTTCACCCGAAGACAACGTGCCTGGACTCTGCAAACCCTGTTTCTCGTGTTAAGCAAACAGGGTCTCAGTAAGTCAGTCCTATACGTAACTACCGCGACTACAAAAAAACATTGGGGATGTAAATGATATGCATACAGACTCACTCTTTTCTCTTTTTCTGATGTACAACTCAAATTTATGAACATGAAATAAGCATTTCAACATATAAATTTACTTACATTAAACGTATGATACATAAATCACAAAGATTGATGATAAACGTGGTTCCACATTACAGGGAGCCAATTAATTTTCTAGGCGTTCCATGTCGTGATTTCTGCAACTTTATTTCTCATTCAGGCACTGTTGGGGCATACATATCCAGCATGACATCGCACAAATGTATCTACGGTGCGTTGTTTACGCTGGTCTATAACAGTAATCATGGTATTGCTATTACATAAACCTGAAAATTTTAAAAGTTCATCATAATTTGAGCTTTTCAAATATATACCGTAAAATAAACATGAAAGAGACTTACATTTTGCAAAAATAATCACACAAGCACCACTTATTACATCAGTAACAATATTAATATTTTTTTACCGAGATAATCAATATAAATTTTATATTTTGTGGGACAAACATATCCTTTTCAACGGAAAGCCAAATAATAAACGAGCCAATTTCGGACCAATTATTTGATTTGGCATAAAACCCATAATGCAGTTAGCAAGAAAAAAATCATTTCAAAACTAAGGCCTAGTGGCCTGCAACTGTAAGCAGAAAGGCTGCAAGTTAGCACTAACCTTCAAAATTATAATTGAGTAAATCGGGTGAGCAAATTTGACTCTTTTGTCTTTGTGAAAGAGTGTTATAGATAATTTAACTATGATTTCAGTGTCTGCTTCATGTATCTAAGAGCAGACCGCAGCATTGCTCTAGCTTTTCTATCAGGAGTGCACCCAGACATTACCATTTCTTCATACACAGCAGGAACCTGTAACCCAAATAATGCAGCATAATTCAGGCAATGAAGTTGATTCACATTAAACCACAAAAAACTTATAACAGGGCAAAAAATTCTCACCAAAGTTGCCCATTATTTTTCTTCCATGAAAAATCACACTATCATCCATGTAGGGATAACAAAAAGTGACTGTGATAATGTTAATATTATGTACCTTTTGGAACTTTTCAACACGAACCAAAGCTTTCATAAGTGTAGTATAAGTAACTACATCAGGTTCTACATTCTGCAGTTAATACAAACAAGCACGTTAGTACTTGATGAAAGACAACTTAATAACCATAAAAAAGGGTTTAGCAAGAAAAGGAGAAAAAACATGTGAAAAAAAAAAAACATACATTTTCTTTCATGTACTGCAGCACAGCAAAGGCTTCCGTATCCCTTCTATCTTCACCAAATGCATTAATTAACGAATTGAGAGCTAGAAGACTGGGTGTCAGCCCCTCAGTTGTCATCATCCTGAATGCATTTACTGCTTGTTCAGACAAACCCTGTACAAAGCATGCCAAATACCACTGAATTTATCACTTAACCAATTCATTCATCAAATACGAGCTAAAGATGACATTTTGAACAAACATCCAGTCCATTCCCATTTACCATAGCTAGTGTGCTCAACACCATTCAATGGAAGAAGAATAAAGAACCAGCCAGAGTCAGTGGATTGCCCAACAAAAAAATTACAATTGATGTCTGTCAAGTGTCAGCACGACAATGTAATATCAGGTTTTGAAAAAAACTATTCAATAGTGCTTGATCCCAATGCAAAATAAGTAGGCACAGAGGACTTTTTTGAGATTTCATGGTTCAAAGAGTACTGTGACACAAAATGGCAAGTTGGGATTGAGTGAATGAATTTTAGCCTTCAGTCATGAAAAGGTTGACAAATGAAAGACTAATAACATTCATGTCAGAAAAACTAGTAAGGTGTAGACAGGTAAACTTCCTCATGAAAATGTCATATCAGTTTACAAAAAATGCAACCAGCGTCACATTGGTGCATACAAACTAGTAAATGGCAGTTGTTGACAGACTTCACAGAACAACATACCTTCTGTGCATAGGCATTTATCAGGGCATTATACATGGTCGAAGTCGGCTTGAACCCCATAGATTTCAAAACCTCTAAGCAATCCATTGCATCGCCAAATCGTCCCGACCTTCCATACACATCAACAAGAGTTGTGTAGGTTATTGAATTGGGAAGCAACCCCTGACTCTGCATTTTGCTCAACAAATCACTTACTCGGTCCCACCTTTCCTGTTCCCCCATAGAATTGATCATAATGTTATACGTGGTGGTGCAAGGCAAGTACCCACTCTGCTGCATTTCCCGAAACAACTCCTCCGCCCTATCGTGGCGGCCTGACTTACAATGACAATCAATCAACGTGTTCCAAGTAACAGTATCAGGCCGAATCCCCTCAGACAACATTCTCTCGAACGTTGCCATGGCATGATCTAGACAATTATACTTCCCAAATGTATCAATCATCACATTGTAAAAATGCCTATCTGGCATCACTCCACTATTCTTCATCTCCTTCAGAACCTGAAACGATTTCTGCCACTCCCCTTTATCACGATAGCTCGCCAAAATTCTACTATAAACATACGAATTAGGTTGCACATTACTCGCCTCCATCTCCTTCAACACAATCCTCGCACTCTCCCACCTCCCCGCGTGTGCATACGCGTCAATCAACAAACTATAAGTTTGTTCATCAGGCATAACACCAGCTTTCTCCATTTCAGACACAACAAACTCTGCATCTTTGAGCGAACCCGTTTTCACGTATCCTTTGAGCAATGCGTTATAAGCTTTGGTTCTCGGTTCCAAACCGTTCTCTTTAATCTCCTCAAACAATGCTTCAGCTTCCTGAGTCCGACCCGAATTACCCAACGAGTGAATAACAGCAACGAACGTCGCTGACTTGGGGCTCAAGCCGTTACCCTGAGCCATGGCTAGGAAACGCATGGCTCGGCTTGGGTCACCGGCTTTTGAGAACCCTAAGATGATGTCATTCATGAGATGACCGTCGATTTCGATTTTATCGCTTTCGATTTCTCTGTAAAGCTTTTGCAAAATGGGAGAGTCAATTCTGTTAGAGCGCGTGAGGTACTGAATGATGGAACTGTAGTTCACAAAATCCGGTTGGTAACCGTCGCGGCGCATTCTAGACATTAAGTTAAGTGCCTTCTCGACGTCGCCGTTTCGAGCGCACGCGCCGATTAAGGCGTTGTAGGTGAGAGGAGTGAGAACTTGTCGCTGAGAGAGCAAAAAGGCCTCGTAGAGCTTTTCGGAACGGCCAAGCGCATTGATGAGGATAGAGTAGAGAAGCTCGTAGGAGAAGCAGAGGTTGTGTTTCTGTAGCCATGAAACGACAGCGTATGCGAGTGAGATTGAGGATGAGGATGAAGAGGAACAGAGGGATTTGAGGAGCGCGTGCCAGAGTGGGGCAGGGACAGCACGGTATGACTCGGCGAGTTGAAACTCGGTTGAGTCGAGTGAAGTGGGTGAAAGCGAGTTGGGGTCGGACTCGGGGGTGGTGGATGGGTCGGAGAGGAAACGGAGGAGGGGTGTGAAGTCGTAGCGGCGGTTTTGAAGGGAGAGAATGTCGTCGGGACCTTCGTCGAGGATTGTTGGTTTGGTGGAGAAGGCTAAGGGGTTTGCGGAGGATTGCGGGGGTTGGAAGACATGGTAGTGACGGTGGAGTTGAATGGGGAAATAGTTTGTGTGATTGTGGATGGAAGGGAATGGAGTAGTTAGCGGTGGTGGCAAAACCAACATGTTATCATGAATCACTAACTCAGTGAGATAGAAGAGGGTGAAGCTGGTTTATCACCACCCAGTACCCACCATGGATGGATTATTGGATTGGAGAGACATTCGTTTTCTTTATTATTATTATTATTTTATAAAGCAATTAGAGATATTAAAGCTAGTTAAATTAAACAAAAATGTTAACATTAGCTTTTAAAATTACTTTTAAATATTTTAAAGAGTAATTTTTATTTAAAATAAAAACATTATATTTTTTCTATTTTTCTATTTAAGAGAGAAAAAAAATTTCTATTTATTTTTCTGTGTCAAGACAATATTAACCACTGCTCTTCTATTAATGTCTTTTTATTCATTTAAAATATTTATAATATTTGATTAATTTAAATGTGAAAAAACTCATTAATAAGAATAAAATATTAAATTTAACAATAAATTTTAATAAAATAATTACATTTTTTTTTAATTGTATAAATTTTTCTTAGAACAGATAAATGAGAATAAAAATAATATTCATTATTTTTTAAACATAATAAATATTTTTTTTAAAAATTACTATTTTTAAAAGTTTCAGATTAACCTGATTTGAAAATATAAAAAAATACGTATATCTTTATGAACATAACAAAAAACAATATAAAAATAAGTTTTACTTTTAAGAGCCTTAGTCCTAGCCCTATTTTACGGTGCACAACTAAAAAATTATCAAAGTTCAATATAAATAATGAAAATTAAAGTAGAAAGTAAAAGTATAATTAAATTGATTTTGTAATACTAATATTTAATACATTATTGTAATAACTAAAGTGCATATTTAAAAATACGTGATAAATTCAACGAAGACAGTATAATTAGTAATGTTAAAATAAGCATAGATATACTCTCATCTTAATGTGAACGAAGCATGGTAGAAGTGCCATGGAAGCTTTGTACGTTTAAGAGCAATTTAAGAACTCACCAATATTGTAAGTTGTAACAGAGCTGCTTGAATACTAGGCTAAAAGTAAACTACAAGAATATGGGTCTAATGTCCCATGGCAGTCAATAGCTAGATTTCAGTTACAAGGTTCGTCACGTATAGGGAATATCAGCTTTCGAACCCTGGAAAATTTTTAGTTCTTTAGGTACATGAAACTTCAATTTATATAGCAATATCAACTTATGTATGGATAATTTCTCTCAAACTTGAAGTTTTTAAAAAATTAAAAATAAAGAAAAAGTTACCAAATTATATATATATATAACCGCATAAAAGTCACTACAGAAGGGCCTTAGTTTGTTCTTTACTCTGTTCGTTTTCTGCTTTACTATTTTTGTTGTATTTTGAGCAGAAAATATTTTGCTCTATCATGTTCTTTGTTGAAACATTGAAATGTCACTCTTGGAGTTTGTCATTCTCCATTGTCTAATGTATGTGCTCCAAGGCTGTTCTCAGGACTTTCTTTGACAAAAAAAAAAAAAAAAAAAAGAAACTAGAAGATTACTGCTGCCCACTCTACCACATACACAAAATTAGGGGGGGGGGGGGGGGGGAAATATATATATATATATATATATATTTCATATGGATGTATTCTGGCGAATATGAAATACTGTAAAATGAAACCAGCAATCACTGCTGCCTTAAAAAAATCCACCACAGTTCAGCCTGTCAAAGAAGTTACATAAAAATCAAAGCATAGCACATCTTCAGGGGATCAACCTTGATATCTTTGTCACTATAATTGTGAAGAAAAGTTTTAGTACCCAAAAGTAAAAAAAGTTTGATCAGATATATCAATTATAGTAGGAGACCAGTCGTTCAGGGCCGTTGAAAAATGCAGACTTCTCCTTTCAGCCAATCAACAAAAAGTGCAAAATCTAATGCGGCACTTGGCTCCAACTTGGGAGCATCAGTATTTCGATTACCTACTTTATTCAACACTGCTTAAACATTTTCACCTGGCGGCAATTCAGCCAGCTTTGGAGGGGTGCCAAGTACTCTTTCCATGTCATAACGAACTTCAATATTGCGAATGCTGTAACCAACCACCATTAACCAGTAAAGCAGCTTGGCAAGTTCAGATGCACTGGTCTCGGTCACGCTAGTCTATAAAATCAGAACTGAAACAAGTTACACAGAAGTCTCGAATGATACCACTCATAGTAATAGTATGCAAAGAGAAAGCTGTTCACCCTCTCACAAATACAATAATCACATAAAAAATAGGTCCATAAATCAATTTGAAGAAATCTATATCCGGTTGCCTCAGTTCATGCAAAAAAGAAATCTGTTACCAATTTCCCTAATATCACATCACCATATTATTAGTCAGGACTTGGGAAATTGCCTCTATGCTTTAACTCAGTTCACTCAGTTAAAGAGCACATGCTACAAATTCAATTATTAAAAGTCAGGACTCAAAAAGGTAAAGCACCCTAACATAAAGTAACAGATAATATATCATGAGGTCAGCAATGATTAGGGTAGTTGCTGTCAAAAGTTCACTTTTCAGCAACTTTCTGTCCAAGTAATATGGCTTTGATCTTACATACCAAACCAAAAAAGAGTTCCTTTTCAATATTAACACTTAACACCTACAACCCAAAAATACTCCACAATTAAAACTTTCAATAGTAACCTAGATAATAATAGTGAGTAGGGAAATATTAATTTAGAGGTTAAGACAACTTGGACAGATGACAAGAGTAAGGTGGGATTAAGTCTAATTCAATAATCAGATGTAGACCAAAAAGGAGAGAGAAATATGGAGTATACAAACCTTCATTTGGCTAGGATCTGAAACAGCCAGTAGGCGCTTTATAAATGTGTTCATTGCAAACACAACATCCTCCCCAGCACTGCTAGTCAGTTCCTAAACAATAAAATGAAGGATTATTGTGGCAAATCATTGACATATTTTAATAAATGAAGGTCCTAAATTCTAACTGCAGAGGTTGAGGAAAACATAAATCAGTTAAGTTGAATATGCAGTATGGGAATGTCAAATCATGAAATCAATAGTTACAGAATCACAATCTCTAGAGCACCTATGCAAGTCATTCAACAACAGTGGATACATAACTGTGATCAGTATATTAATACCAAAGCAATACCTAATTATGAACAGAAATCTATTAACAGAGTGTTCAATAATGATTAAACAATTGCGAAAATCAATCCTCAACGAATAATTAATTTGCATAAGTCCATATTTTTAGAACTAATCCCAATGAAAGCTGCAGCACAGATCAACATGCAAAAATTTATACTAAGCAGATGGCACACATCAGCTGGATAAAGGGAGGAGAGTATTTTATCTTGACAAAAGGAAAGTAGAATTAACCTTCAAATTTCGGGGCTCAAGAGACTTTAGATATTCCAACAGTTCATTTTGTGCATTGCTAGATTGTCTCCCAACTTGATGATTCAGCTCCTCAATCTCTGCTTCAAGTAATTCAATGTACTTTTTGGCATCAATTCTCTCCGGCCCAGAAACATTGTTCCATCGAATGACTTCACCTGAAACATTTTTTTGTGTACCAGGTGCATAGTCTGGCACATCCTACAACATTTTAAGCGTATATATCAAAAAATGTACAAATTGAAGCATCCCTTGAATTTACTTGTTGCCATCAAAATGTAGAGTCTAAAGGAAAAACACAATGCCATTTAGCAATCAAAGCAAATTTTTTAACACCAAATTCCCAAAATCCTCTTAATTCTTAGGCTCAAGTTAACTTACCCAAAAACAAGACTTCACAATTTTCTCATTCCCCTAAGCCTAAATGTTAATAGGGAAAGGTAGTAAAAGGATTGGAAGCTACTAGACCACAAGGTCCAAATAAGTCATCTGACCACCAGAATGAGCAAAACGCACCCTTCAAAAAAGAGAGAGAAACAATGTTACCTTTTTATCTTGCACTTCAGGAAGGGCAACTTGTTGCAAACTTTCTTGCAACTCCAAACGGTATTGGGCATTCTTGAACATGTATCCAGTCATCATGACACTATACATCAGCTGTGCAAGGTTTTCAGCTACCTAAATAAAAGCCAAATGATTCCACTGAAATATATGAGATGCATGGAGCAAGATAAACAAAAAGGAATGCAATTCAATCCAGCTGCATGGCTCAATACTTCTTTGCCCATTGGACCATCTTGTGCAAAAAATATGTTATTCTCACAACACCAGAATGGTCATTGGCATCTATAATATTTCTTAGTAAATTCAGACGAGTAGTACCATAAGGGGGATAGTGATTGAAAACACTTCATGAAAAACAGAAATTTCCGGAACCAGTACATAAGCGAAGTCTCCCACTTCATAAAAACAGTTCATCAAAGCAACCAAAGGAGATTAGCTATCCACTCAAACATAACCATCATAGCTTGCAGAAATAGCTTATCATCAAATAGTAAAAGTTAAGCAAGGTAAGAAATAAACTCATAAAATCTTACAGTGGTAATTGTTACAGCAAAAAATTGAGGGGGCAATGTTCCAATCATATTTGTCACTGTTTGTCGCATAGCATCCACAACCTGAGCACCAATATAAGTTTCATTCAATAGGAGGGCGTAGCATGAAAAAAATCAATACCGTGTCCACAGCAAGAAAACAACATACCTGTTGAGGTGCTCTTTTCACAAACAATTCCATAAATTCTGGCTGCACGTTCTTAACATATTCCAGTAAAATTTCTCTTCTGCTCTTCGACTGGTGATTTCAAAACATATAATCATTAATCAGGAACACAGACAGATAACTTATCAGACAGAAGTAAATACTTGTGTCCTGAATAATTTATTTTCTGTACAGAACCTAGTTTAACTTTATATCTACCAAAATAATCACTACAATTCTGAAGAAACTTAGAATTTCATATAAATGTTGCAGCAGTAGCAGTTCCCAGTAATGACTCAATAATAAAGTAAATTGGAAGAAAATTAAGAAAGAATACATTTGATTCAAAACCACACGTAGTAGTAGGGTTATAAACATAAACCATATCGTCTCCAATCCTATATGATAGTCTAAAAATTAGATATATCCATTCACTGATTCAGCATCACACTACCTAATCCAAGGGCTTTCTTTACACAAGTCATAAAATAATTTTTATATTCAAATAAAAATACATAGCATTGAAAAATAAATGGGATAGGGGTAACATTGAATTTAAAATAGTAAGAAGAAGAATCAGTACTAGAGTGCCATTAGGGGGCTTGGAATCGCCAGCACTAGCAGGATTGGAAGCGTCATTGTTGGAGGAATCATATGCTTCAACTCTGAAGCCAAGTCTTCCTTTATGCTTTGAAGTTCTGGGAAAGCTAATTGATGTGAGGGAACGAGATGGGAAAGGCACGAAAGAAATTGAAGATGAAGAAGTAGAAGTTGAAGAAGATGAAACTAAGTGAGGTATGAAGAAGGGTTTTAGTGTCAACGAATACATCGTCAATTAATTTCCACTACGAGGTTTCACAGTTTCTCCCTTGGAAATGGAGCGGCATTCTTCTGCTTCCCACTTCCCTGGGATGAGGTTCCGTATTTTGCACCTCCCACGTGTTTTGCACGTGCAACATTCTTAATTGTATCGTATTATTATCAAGTAATTTAATTTTAAAAGGGATGGTTTGAAAAAATATTAAATATTTTTAATTCATTTAAACATATCAATAATATAAAAATTTGTTATGTTATCGTACAATGTATTAACATGCAAAAAAATATTAATTTTTATTATAGTTAATATAAAAAATATATCAATGATGTATGTAAAAAAATTTACCACAATAATATTTTAAAATTTTAACTCTTAAAAATTATATATTAAATTTTATTATTTTTAATATGATAAACATTTTTTATAGTTAAAAAATTAATTTAAACTGTCATAAAATTAAAGTTTAATTATATTTTTTATTTTATAAAAGTGTATTTTTTTAAGATAAATCTTTAAAAAATTATTATAATTTTATCTATACTATTTTTAAAATATAAATTTCTACTTAAGAATAAGGATAGAAACAGACTCGATTAAGTTAAACTTTACATAAATAGATTTGACTTATTTAATAATTTTAAAACTTAAGTCTAACTTATTACTTTTTATAAATTTTTTATTAAGTATAACCTAACATTTTTTAAAATTTAATTTGACTTCTTAACTTGTTTAATGACTTACATCATATCGAGATATTAAATAAATTATTGATATTTTTTATAAATAGACTATTAAATCATTTAAATAAGTGTATATTTTAAAAGCTATAAGATTTATATATAAATAAATTATTAAAAAAATATTCAACATATTAAATATATATAATAAAATTACATATTTTTATTTATCACTTTCAAATCATATGTTTAATTTAAATAAGTAAATTATTATACATATAAAAAATATAATAAAATGAACATCAATTTATAAATCATTAAGCAAATCTAATAGTATAAAATCTTACACATTAAATCAACAAATACAATATAAATAAATAAGTTTTAGACCTAAAATTAACAAATGCGATAAACACAAATTTAAAATACATAAATAACAATATTTTTTTATACAAGATATATGAAAATTTTTAATAAGCATAACTCTTTTTTTTTATAAGGTATGTAATAGAGACATTTTTCAATTATAAGTAAAAGGATTATAATTTTTAATTTAAAATTTTATTATTTTAAAATTTAATCAATTTAATATATTATTGTATTATTATTTTTATATGCAAATTATTTAATATATTATTATAAATTTTATGAATTTTAAATAGGTCATTTTAATTGGTCTAATCAGTTTTTTTGAAGCTTAAACATAACTTATTTAATTAGTTAAATTGTTTAAAAAACTTAAATTAAATTTATTAATTAAATAGATTAAGTTCAACTAAAATTTAAAAATACTAAATCATAAACTTTTGTCGAAAGGCGTGATCTATTTTTATCGCTGCTTAGGAGTTAGGGTTAGAAGTACAAAATTAGGATCAAAGTGCATAGTAAAGTGTGTAAATATCCTGAGAACAAATGAACGAAGTTATCTTGTTTAGCTTCAAAGCCTTCAAGATGGAAATCAGAGTGAATAAAGGATATAGAGAAAAATGGTAGGAAAAAAGTTCAAATATAACTTTTTTTATAAAAATTAATTTTTTTAAAAATAAATTTTAAATAATAAAATTAAAAAATAAATATGAAGTGTCAATAATGTAAATTTTTTGCAGACTTCTTTTAAAATTTTGACAGTAGGAAAAATTTAATTTATATATAATTTTTTTATTACACACTCAAATAATATTTCCAGACATAATTTTTAATTGTGAATTAACATTAATTTTGACAATATAACTAAGATTCTCATGAAATTTAACTTCTTTGTCACCACTTTTTATGGAAAAAAATTATAAAAACATATAAAAGAACATAGTTGAAAAAAAAATAAAACGTAATAATCAAATTTAATTGAAAAAGTATAAAATTGATTATTGTGATATTTCTAATTAACAATTTCTTTAGTGTAAATGCAAGTATGTTTTATTAGAAACAATGATGTTTAAGTTAATTATCACGGTTATGAACAATAAAAGATTGTAACAACTCTTTTAAAAACATATCACTAATAATGTAAATTAATCTAAATAAACATATTTAATTCATATTAACTCATGCAATGTAATGAGTATATTTAAATATTTCAAATTATATAATTACCGTAACAATAACTTATTTTATTATTAAAGTATATTAAAATGTTATATTTTATCATACTAAATAGCTTAAAATTTTCACTAAATTAACTACACTGTACATCATAAAACTTAAGATGTTATCATATTTTGTTTTATAAAATGTAAAAGAAGTGATATAGTTAATAAATTCAATAATTACTAATTTATTTAAAAAAAATCATAACCCTGTAACATGTACAAATATCTTAGGAAAAAAATTTTAAATCCTAAAAAGAGTATAGTAATTAAAAGTTGTTATTAGTCTTTACATGACAAAGTAACGGTAAAAAAAATAAAAACTATTTACATTTGAATTGACGGGAACAAATAAAAATAAGTAAAATATACAATTTTTTATTAAATATAATAAGATTTATTAAAATAATTAAGAAAATTAATATTTTTGTTTGTTAACTTTAAATTTTAATTTTATCATTTTACTTTTTTTATTTTATATTTCTAACTTTAATAAAGTTAAATTTTTTTAACAGATAATAATTTATTTAAAATATATGTAAAAATTAGAATATTAAAATTAACATAAAAAAAGTTAAAAGATTGATGAAATCGAAATCTACTTTAAAATTAATAGATAAAAACATTAATTTGATCAAAAGTTTTATTTTACATAATATTTTTTTTAAAATTAATAATATCGAGACGAAACTAATTTTCTCATTGCATCATAAAATATCCAAGTAACAAGATAATAAAATCATTTCATTTTTTCCTTCATTGAATTTGGTCCCATTTCATTGTCTTTCACTTATCATTAAATATTCGAGACGTGGTTTAGGGTACTACAGGGGGGGCTAATATTTAGAGCATCAACTGAGTGGTTTACCCTTAAAAATATTATTACAAGACTAATGAGAGGATTAAACACTATTAATGTATAAATTGCCTCAAAAGAACGCTGTCAACAATAATCCAACCTAAATATCTGAAGCAAAAAAATAGATTTTTGTTAATTGACGCAACTTGCCTAGCCTGATCGCCAGGTAGCAATAAACCTCCAATTTGGATCAAGACAGCAGTGGATGCGCGTTTGTTAGAGAAACAGAAAGACAGCAAGACAATCCACGTGCAAGGTGAAAATGGAAATACAAAAAATAACAAAAGTTTGGCAATAGGAAGGGCAACAACTTACAAGGAAAGTATATTGGTAGCAGTGAGAGAAGGGGTAGCCACTCCCTAGTCTCAGACTCTCTTTTTAATAGCATTATGTGTCGTAGCACACAGCCAGGCGCTATCTCTCACATATCAATTATCTAACAGATCTATCAAAACGCATAACGCATAACGCATTATGCTGCTACCGCCTCTTCCTTGTCAAGGGAGATGAGGTTCCTTTAAGCACGCAATAGGCAATGCCCTGCCCAGTGAAAATTAATTAGTTATATATAACGAACATGCAATTATAATAGTTTTATCAAATTCGTGCTTCTAAGCACACGCAGACACAGAAATGGCACTTCAGCGGCGGCGCCACCACTATTACCAACGCTTTCGCCTAATGGTTCCGGTCATTTCTGCCGTCGCCGCCGCTCTACTCTTTCTCTTCGCTCTCCTTTCCTTTTTAGCTCCTTCGCCTATAGACACCAATCATATGCACCGGCGACGCCAACACTCTTCGGTACTCTCTTTTTCTCTATAGCTATCTATCTATCGATATCTATCTTACGCACCAATCACTGCATTGGATAATCTGAATAATTGATCGTGATTTTCTCATCGTTTTGTTTTTTGCGTTTGAAATTATTTGCAGGTTAACGTTCAAGCGGATGATGCGATTGGAAATCCTATGTTTCGTGTTCCGGTTAGGGCTTTCTCTGCCTTCTATTTGTATTTGCTGTTGATTCCGCGTTTCTCTTATTGGATCTTAATTCCGTACTCGCGTGCTTGTGTTTCGATTCGATGACCAGACTGAAGGAGGAAAGCTGGGACGCGATATCTGGAGTTCTCGAAATTCAGAGCACTTCCACGGATGCTGCAATGCCAGCAGCAAGTTTCCAAGTGCGTATCTCGTTGGTTCAGTAATCGAGTGATGCGATGTAAAACTTTTTCGTTTAAAACTCGGATTAGGTTCTGTATATATAAATACACCATAATGACAAATAACTATGCTTTTTGCTTGGCAGAAGTTGAAGTGGTTACACATCCGAATCGTTACTTGTTGATCGCAACGAGTGGAGGCTTGAATCAACAAAGAACTGGGGTAATTATCTGGACTATTGGCATTATTATAGGCAAGCAAAGTTTTGATATCTTCTTAAAAGATAAAATTTGTATGTTTCTGAGTCTGACCTTTTTATTTACATACTTAGAGTAGACAAAATGAGAGACGAACTGTAAAAAAGGGGAAAAATGCATCTGCTGCCTCAATCAGATTCTGTTGTAGATTTGTTGTCAAATAAAATAAACTTGTTCTTGCAGTACTAAGTAATGTGGCATTTAATGTGAAAAGGGACTAAACTTGTTACAGTTCAAACCGACATATTAATAAAATAATCATGGAGCATTTAGTGCTTTGGCCAATTTTTCTTTGATCTGTTGCTCACAGATGCTTTAATGCCTATTTGAAACCCTTGTCTTCTGAGAAGGCTAGATTTCATGTTGAAACAGTTAAAAATGACAAAGGCTTTGAGGCACAAGCACGGTATGTTTCAAGATGATATCTGTGACTACAAAACTATCTATTGCTTCTTTTTTTCTTTTCTTTCTCTCATGTCATAATAAAATCTTCTTGACAATCCCATTGTTTGCAAATTTTGTGCCTAAAGAAGAAATACATCCCTTATCCTTTTGGATTGTGCTTGCTTGCCTTTGGAAAAAAAAAAGCTTTAGTAAATTGTTTGCTGCAAAGTCTGGTGTATGGAAGCCTGTAAATCAGGATAGTATACTGCTGTATACGATAACTGTTGTCAGTCATAATTGATTGCAAACTATCTGCATACTCTGCTATCAATGCCAATCTTTCTGTTTCTGCAACTGGCAGATTACAGATGCTGTTGTTGCTGCGCGAATTCTGAATGCTACTCTTGTTGTTCCAAAACTGGATCAACGATCTTTTTGGAAGGATTCTAGGTCAGTTACAAAAGGGAAATAGATTGTCTGGGCTGTATCTGCAGTTTTACTATTGTAACATGTTTTGGTTATCCAAGTATTGTAAAATTATATTGTACTTTGCCTTTTGCAGTAACTTCTCAGAGATCTTTGATGTTGATTGGTTTATATCGTATTTGTCAAAAGATGTCAAAATTATCAAGCAACTACCAAGTAGGGGTAGGAAAGCATTATCTCCATACAGCATGCGGGTTCCAAGGAAGTGTAATGAAAGATGCTATATAAATCGCATATTACCTGTACTCCTGAAAAAGCATGTAAGTTTTTTGTTTACTGAAACTACTGCTGCTGCTAACGTGTTGCAGAACTTATTAGATTCTCTCTGTTAAGTAGGAGGTGTAGGAAGTTTTTAAATTTGTTTAGATTAAGGACTAGAATCCAAATCTGTATGAGGTAAATAATATAGTTAGTCTGTTTAGGTTGATTCAATACTTTTATTTTAAAATGAACTTTTCACCATTGGACCATTAATCTCTTGGTTGTTTGAGTCTGATAAATTATAAACCGAAGTGTGTGATGCCTTATGTACCTTATGAATCAAGCTAGGTTATCTCTCCTCCTTTACTTCAATTTAAAGTCTTATGTATATCTTTTCTGTCCACCAAGCAATCTCATAATTGCACTATTTGCTAGATCCATACCACTTGTTTGTTTTTTTTTCATAATTTGCCTAAAAAAAAATTCACACACTAAAGATAACATTGACCATACCTTAAGAGCCATAGATTTGATCCATGTTAATTATATCCAATGGCTGAGAGAGCCTACCTTGTTAATTGATACATTCATTAAAATTTCAAACCCTGCAAGTCCCAATTTTTAGAGCACTTAAACTCTTGAGTTTCTACAATTTCCTATTTTTACTTTATTTGATTATCTTGATTTTGGTTATCCGAAATGTGATGTTTTGTGTTCCTGAAACTGCAAGATATTTTTAGGAAATTCAGGAAGGCATGAAAGCTCTAGTCAGTGCCAATTGTTGTCTTTTTTTTAGATTTAATAAACGAGTTAATGCTTTAAATTCTGTTTTTTATTTTTATTTTTTTGGCTGACCACCATATAAATGGGTAACTATTTGAATTTTGATTATCTGGGAAAGATATTTATTTGCTTCAGTTTGTGGCAGGCCGTACAGCTCAACAAGTTTGACTACAGGCTTGCAAACAGGTTGGATACAGAATATCAGAAATTGAGATGTAGAGTTAATTACCATGCTTTGAGATTTACCAAACCAATTCTAACAATGGGAGAAAAATTGGTCCATCGGATGAGGATGAGAAGCAGGCATTATATTGCACTGCACCTGAGGTATTCTGGTTGATTCTTGGTCTCTTATTATCTTATCTCATTATCTGTCCTATTCAATTCACATGGTCTAGTCATTCTATCGATTATATTCATCATTGTGGTAGCCACCAAAACTCTAGAATAAAGTGTTATACTTATGTGTGGATCCATGTACAAAGGCATGTCAAAACTGGATAATTCTTATGCTGCTGTAATCCATTCATACATACAAGAATATTTACATTCCTGCTGCTGGTTATCCCTATTACATATGCTAGCTAAGCATATCACCAAATGTCCAATTTATTCAGAAGCATGAAGATACAAGAATGATTAGTTCTATAGAGGATTGCAGTTTAGGGTAACATCATTTGCATGTAATATAATTCAAATTGAGCCAGTGGTTGGACATGACAACCATAGTAGTCAATAGTAGTTGCTATTGCGGTAGAGCAGAGTAGCAAGGTGCCGCTATGAAGTTGTTGTTGTGTTGCATTTCAGTGTAGCAGCTGTCGTGCCGCAAACCGAGGCTAAAAACAAAGAAAATTGCATCCATTGTGACCGCTATTTTATCTATAGTCAAATCCCGACTTTACCCTTCCTTTTTGAATGTTGAGTGACTTTAAAAGAAGGGGGGGCAATCTTAGGATTTCGCCTCCTTTTTACATTTTTTATATCTTCTCCCTGTGAGCTAGCCCTAAACATAAGTCTCATTCTCATCTCTCAATTCTCCTCTCGTTTTGTTCTTCTTCATCTTTATTCTTTGTGACATCCTCTTGCTTTTGGTGTCCTTTATCTTTGGTGAATCTTTTGGTGCGACAAAGTCGTTTCAGGGTCATCTTCTTCAACTCTAGTGAAGCTTCCGATGTGACCTAGACATTTTCTGGTCATTTTTTTCATTTCCAACGAAAATTCCAGCAAACCTGCACATTTTTTGGTGATTGACCATTCTCGGCTTTCTATTTTCTTTCTCTATTTTGATTTTCCTGCTTTTTTTTATTTTACATTTCAATGCCTAAAATAGAAGCAATAGCTACTCTTGCCAAATTTCATAATAGCGATTTTCCCGCTATCTGCAATCTTGCTATAATGTTTTTGGAGTTAGTCACTCTGCGCACTGCTATCTGAGATTGATTGCTATGATAATAACTATAATGCTCATAGGTTTAACTATCTGTCTAGGTAGGAAACAATCAGCTGCCTGGACCATTCCATTGGTGTAACTCTGATTAATTTCAAAAGTTTTTGGTTTCATAAATTTGAACCAATAGTTAAAATAGATTGCATACTTGGCAGGGGGAGGGGGGTTATTTCTTTTATTTAGCTGAATATGGGGGGAATGAATGATAATGACAGGGCTAGCAGAAGCTTGGTGTATGTGCATGTCATTCATTAATGCTGAATTTATAATAAAATAAATTTTATGCTGCACTATTTTTTGAAATCTGCTTAAACTCTTTCCTATCCCCACCTTTGTTATTAATCCTCCTTGCATCACCACCCCATTACTATTTTCATATTTTCAGTTTCATCCAGGAAAATCTACTTCTTGGAATTCACTTCTTTTTCATTTTGGATTTGTCATGAGAAGCTTTGATACTGGAGTCTCTTCTAGGAATATTAAAACTGTACTTTCATAATATGGACAACTACCTGCTTGCTATTTCCTTTGGAAATCCAAGGACTTATATAATCAATATCAATTTATTTCTTGTAAGTTCAAAGACTGTGCAAGGCCCTTTAGTTTAATTTTACGAGAATTAGTTTTCCCACAACAGTTTCCCCTTTGCAAATAAGCAATGGCTTTTACAATATTACATTTAAGATGCGGTTGGCTGGGTAGAATAACATATGACTATCAAATAGTTACTATAATTGACTGGCCTTTTTTTGGCTACAGATTTGAACCTGATATGCTTGCATTTTCTGGATGTGATTATGGTGGAGGAGAGAAGGAGCAGAAGGAATTGGGCGCAATAAGGAGGAGGTGGAAAACATTACATGTAAGGCTCACATGTTAAATTTTATTATCAACCCTGATTTATTCGGAGATATTAAAATGTAATCACATCTTATTCACTTTTAGGTTGTTTGCTTGAGTGCATTTGCAAAATCTTACGAGTACACTGACATGAATGGATGTTTTTCTAAAATGAAAATCAGCAATGGCTTTTAATATCTGAATGGTCTTTCACCGATTTTTTAGCAGGATGTTAAGGAAATAGGTGTTATTTCATAGAAAATGTTTTATGTTTGCATTATGTGAAAACTGATTTGAAAAATGGGTACACTGACTAGTGAATATGAGGAATATTGATATGCAGAGAAGCAATCCTGATAGGGCAAGGAGACAGGGAAGATGCCCATTAACCCCAGAAGAAGTTGGTCTCATGCTAAGAGCGTTGGGGTATGGCTCTGGTGTTCATATTTATGTTGCATCAGGGGAAGTATATGGAGGGGAGAGAACACTGGCACCTCTCAAAGCATTATTTCCTAATTTCCATTCAAAAGAGACCATTGCTACCAAGGAAGAATTAGAACCATTTTCTTCATTTTCTTCTCGCATGGCTGCACTTGACTTCATTGTTTGTGATGAAAGTGATGTCTTTGTAACCAATAACAATGGAAATATGGCTAAAATATTAGCCGGGCGAAGGTATGTTGTGCTCCATTTGCATCGTTCTTTATTTTCGGTTGATCACCGATATCTATACCTACTAATTAGCTTTCTGGAAACTTTCTAACAGGAGATACTTTGGACATAAACCAACCATTCGTCCAAATGCTAAAAAACTCTATCGATTGTTCTTGAATAGAAGTAATTTGACATGGGAAGTTTTTGCTTCTAGTGTCCGTACTTTCCAGAAAGGCTTCATGGGGGAACCAAAGGAGGTTCGACCTGGTAGAGGTGGGTTTCATGAGAATCCATCCACCTGCATATGTGAAGATTCTGTGGCCAAAGCAGACAAAAATTCAGGAACTAGAAAATATGGTAAGGATACTGCAATGAAGAAAAATGTAGCAAATGATGAACCAAATGTTGACAATGAGCCTGAATGGCCAGAAATGGATGATGATGACGATGATCAGAATGATCTGGTAGAGAAGGGTTTCAATGAAACACTGTCGGACTATGAAACACTTAACTTTGAGGATCCCGAGTTGGAGGAAATTATATCAGATTAGTGAAGCTGCAGTATTGAGCGTGATGTACCTGTTGACTCATTATGATTCTTTGTCCTCATCACGTTCCCTTAAGCAGATGCCCCTCAATTTGATAGTTGCTTATATAGCCCAAAAACAGGAAACGGAAAAAAGCACGTCCTTTTCAGTACGGGCTGAACTTCCAAGTTTCCATATAGTTTAGTAAAGGCATCTCGAAAATTTACTAGTACGACATGACATAATGGCCTCGGTTCGATGCAGAAATTTGGGGGTGTTTTGGACCTGTAATTGTTAGGTGATCAGAAGAGAGCGATGGGAGTAGAGTTGGGAGGACAATCATTTCGCATATAGCTGCAGACGAAGTTTAGTTTGCGAGAAGTAGGAAAGTCTGTATATCTTCGTTGAGAAAAATCGTTACATTTGACAGTGTTTATCATATTTCCTGTCTTTCTTTGACATCGATACAGTCATCTTCATTTTTAGAAGCAATTGGATGCCAACTATAGTTTTTGCGCCAAAAGGGAACATAGCTGTAGTGATGGCCTGATAGTTTAGTTAGTTGTTTTAAGAACAATGGATAAATTCTTTTATCCAAGTAACAATAGTAAGTGGATTTTATTTCACTAATCGAACGTGCATGTTGCTCGAGTCTATTTGGAGTTTTGAGTGAACTCTGTTCATGTATAGCAATTAGAGATAGAAAATTTTTCTGACAGATAATTCTTGTACCAAAGAAAAAAATATTGAATGTCAACAACAGCCCAAATATCATATCAATTTTTAATAATTAAAGTGGGAAGCCAAAAAGGAGGGGGTGGGGGGAGTAAAAACATTAAAATAGAAAGAATGAATAAAATGATTGATCCACAATATATCTATTAAAAATTGAGTTCCACTCGTTGTGACGAGATCTCCCTAAAACTGAACAAAATAAACAGTGGACCTTGTAATTCAGATCTTTCATTGTGAAGGGGGCAAATCTTCTGTCGAGTCATCGGCTTCAGGCGATTGATGTGAACCAAAGTCTAAATTAGGAAAGACACCAGGTGGTCTCTCCCGAGGCTCAATCGAAAGTAATTGGCTTGAATCACCCACAACATCAGCCCATCCATAATGAGGTTCGGCCCTAAATAAGAGACATTATCAAATTCAAATTGAATCTAGCAATATGCCTATCACCCATAATTATTTCCATTTGGTAAACAAGTACTGGCTTGTATTTAAGTGATATCAACTTATTGGCTTCCAATGTTTGACCAAGATGTATTAAAAATATTTTGCAGCAAAGTTTCAAAAAAAAGGAAAAGAACGAAAGAAATGGATGCCTGTTCATGTGTACACCCAACAAGCACCAGCACTAGATATTTACTTGGTACCGGCACAAAAACATTTAGTAGTACACATGCATCGTAGACTACAGGATAAACACAGGGCCTTAGTACCTTTTGTTAGGGCTAAGCCAAACACCTGAGTAGATGTCAGTTCCACAATTAAGAGTGAGGGTACCCCTCATGGTCTAGATAGAGAGATAAATAGATATGCAATAAAATTGTTGGTAGTTGAAAAGAGTGTTCTTACTCATAATAAGTTTCCTCATCTACGACTATATCCCAGCTCTCACCAGTTGTGCTATTTCCATACTTATGGACTTTCCTATTACAGATCAAAGTTAAAACGATTAGCAATATGGTATAGAATAGAAAAGTAACATTTCAAGATAGTATTTTGACGAGAATTGAATAAAAACTAAGATATTGGATAATGATATTTTGATAATTCAAGTCATTTTTTAAGCAACATGTTATCAGGAACAAATAATTCAAAAAATCAGTTGGACGAAAGCATTTGATAGTGATACCATACCCATTTCCAAAGTGTTCTTCTCCCCATGTTCTTGACCAACCTTGCAAAAGGATGAAAATCGCCTCAAAATATGAAAAAATATAGTAAAACAAATATAGCTTAGCTAACTATGTTAGAGATGGAAAATCATGCTAGCACGTAAAAAACAAGATAGACCTAGCAAGCAGCTTCTTGCAGCCGCTTTTCCTTGGAAAGTGAACTTATTTATGGATCTTCGAAGAGCTAATGCATTCTATATTTCATTATCTCTATATGAAGACAATGACCCCAATTTCAAATGGCATGCAATCTTAAAGATTACATGCATGGGAGCACTATCAAAATCATCAAAAGTAAGGAAAGACATGGTGTTTAATTACTGAATGGTAAGAACCAAATATGAAATGAATGTGAAGGTAGACTACACACTAAAATTATATTATAACATACGTTCACTGCTTGGAGATACATGCCATGTTTCCCCATGTCGAGAACCTATGCCTTTAAAGAACCTTTCCTCCCACTTGTCTCCCCATTTTGTTCCAAGCTCAGTTTCAGCCCACTTATCTGTCCTGAGGAAGTGTAAGCAAGGAGGAGGACGCACAAAGAAAATAAAATTCAGAATCAGAAATAAAGATTTTTAGACTAGAATTTTGATAAATCCCCTCATATTCAAAGGAAGAAATCAATAGGAAAATTAAAATTATATAGGAGACCACAAAAGAAAAATGAAAAATTGTAGCAAACTAAAAATTAATTGAAACACTGTTATTGTGGTTTTGGACAGAAAAAAAATAAAGAAATATTTTCATAACTCAACAATTAATAGTATCCACTGACATCAGTATAAATCAAATTAACCTTACACCTACGAATAACATTTTATAGGATAAAATTTCACAAAATCCACTTTTGAGCTACAAGTTTTGAAAGTACGTCATGTCAAGCGCATTAATTTCATGTTAATTTACACCCACAATATCTTAAAACAAATCTGTACAACGAACTTGCAAATAACAGTAAAACAAATTCACTAGACAGGAAGATCAAAATACGTACCATTTGAGAACAGACCCTCTACCATCATAATGCTCTCCCCACTTTTCCCACCATGATTGTTCATTCAACCTACCATATTTATGTGCCCCTTTCTCAGTCCAGCCTTTAGCATCATATTTTTCCCACCTAACCAAATTGAAAAGAGTCAAATTTTAAAAGCATTTGACTTATTGATAAGCATACAAAATGCCAGTTTTCTTTTTTACTTTCTTTTTTGTAAATACATCAACTTACCATTTCTCATACCATCCAGCATTTTCAGTTCCTGATTTTGCTTGTTTTTGCGCACTCCTTTCTATTCTTGCTATGTTACTACAAATTTAAACAGGCAAGACACTGTGTCAAGAATTCATGGGGTTCACCTATTCACAACAAGTAGGGAAATAAAGTAATGACCTCCATTCATCTTGATGAAGATTTTCCTGCCATGTTTCCCACCAAGAATCCCCCTCAGAATTTCTACCAGATTTTTCTACACCTGCAGTAGCTTACAGAATTAATCAGATATACTCATAAATCACAACATTTAAATTACTTAAGAGTCCGACAAATAACAATGTTGATACAACAACCATGTTACTTGACATTTTTTCAAATCAGTTATTCCATTAGATGATAATGATAGTTGATTCAGACAAAAGTTTAATAAAACTCATGAGATTGTCGTTCCTTATAAGATCATGAAACTTCAAATGGCACGCTAGCAGCACAATCTGCTAATCAACTGTGAGAAGGGGTAGGACACTGTATGAAATTACAGTTCAAATATCCCATCGTTAATTAGAAAGATCTTTAATATCACATCCATTTTTTATTTATTCTATTTTTTACCCTCTCTATTATACAATCATGCAGTCATTGCGTTAGTCATATATTTTAGAAGTTTTTATAGACACTAAAAAAATTGCATGTATTGAAGCAGGAAATACAAAGACACATTTTTATATGTACACAGTCATATATAAAGCAATTGTCATTTTTACATGTACATATAACCGTAGACCAACCAAATGTTATTAATAATTAGTTGACTTAATAAATCTCTAGAACTATGCTAGATGTACTAGAAAAATGTTTGAGCAATTATCCAAACTCCTCAAATTATGTTTGATCAGCATTCAGCACAACCATGTACCTCTTGCTCAGAATTTATGCACTGGCCCCAAACACGAACTAAGAATTCTTAGAAGTTTCTAATAATTTCAAGTTGCTATATCAAACATAAAGGAAGAAACATACCTAGCTCCTTATATCCAGTCCAGTCACTCTTCTCCCACCACTGCCAATTAGATCAATAAAGCTAATTAAATGAATCCACCTGGGGTGTGGATACTGATAGGGTTATGAATACAGCCAATCTAATGCATTAAAAATGAATCCACCTTAATATTAACTCTTAGGACTGATTTTCTGTCATTAAAAGTGATTTTTTTTTTATTAAAGAAAGTATTTATTAAATAAAAATTACAAAAGTACAATAAGAGTTTTCTTTCCTATAAAATTTCTCTACTTTTAATAGATTAAAATATATCCTAAGGGTTGATATTAGCAAAAGCAAACAAATACAAACCTACCATACTTCAAATATTTCACCATGTAATCATACCTAATTTAGCTACAGAAGAATTACATTTTTCCACAAATAGTTCAAAAATAAGAAAAAATAATTTACAAGAAAAAAAAAATCATTTCAGATCATGATTGTCAATAATCAAAATTGTACTTCGATGGTAAGAAAGGTAAGTAAAGGTGATAAAAATATTATAGATTGAAGATTTCCAAATTAAGATTCATTGTGATGATAATTCAAGGATATATGGAAATTTCCTGTGTCCATAAGGTGAGCATTTCTAAGGTTATATCCAGCCCTAAATACAAATCATTAATAATAAAGCAATTAACTTTCAAATTACAAGAGCTACTCCTTGGGTTAAAACTTAAAACTAAATTTCTAGAAATATTCAAATGCAGTGCTCAATATTTTCAGGGTACATGAAATGCTAACGCACCAAGATCCTCTCCTTATTACATTCATGATATTTGGCACTAATACATTTATCTAAGCGACAGTATGTCTGTAAATGTAATCCAACTAGTAAGAAATTACTCTAGTCCTCTGTCTTTAAAAGCAAAAGCATGAAGTATTCAGTCAAAAGTTCTCAACAGAAACTTAGCACAAAAATCTTTATGATCTACAGTTCGGAAATTAACATCATTCGTTTTTATTTTCTGTACAAAAGACTGCTCCAATATCATAGTCTAAAGATTTCTTTAAGCAAACAATGATCATTTGCAGTTATCAAACAATCTTCTATCTGATGACTAAGCATTAAAGAACAGAAATAGCTTCATTCAAACAATTAAAAACTTTGGTTAACATAGACTGCTGCCGTGGATTTATTTGCACGTTATTTTTAAAAAAAGAGCTTGGACATTCAAATATTAAAATCACAAATACCGTTTCTTTCCATTCGGAGGAACCATCACGGGATTGACCACCCATTCTTGTCCATCTACATCTATATCCATTTTCACCAAGTTCTTCCCCACTTTCTCGGTACCAGGTACTCCCATCCTCATTAGTGCCGGACTCATTAACATTTTCATTTAATAAGCTGATACCCCAGTCCTTCTCATTTGCTATACCAGTGTCTGTGCAGGAAGTGGTGAACACAAACAGACATAATACTTTAACACTCAGTGAGTGACCAATGGAAAATGTCTACAAATGGCCTTCATTAATGTTTGGGGCAGGTATAAAGAGAGGTAAGGATATAATTATATAAATCATAAACTACCTCTTTTTGGTGGGGTATCACGGGACTGTGGACCAGAATTTCTTGGGGTGCAACGAGGAAAGAATTTTTCCTGCTTCAGAAAGGATCTGTTGGCATCATGGCATAAAGCAGCATAACCATTGAGAACAAGTTTCAGCTACCACCATAGGTTGTATAAGTATAAACAACAGCCAATTAACATTCAATGATATAATCCCTTCCACAGACAAAGCTTCATTTATTGTCTCAAGAAAACAGCGCAAAGGATAGAACCATGACACCATTAACTTCTAGATAAATTCCGTTTGAAACATGTATAACAATTCAAATAGAATGGACCTATTTAAGTGTATGTAACTATACCAACCTTCAGAATTTATGTATTCAACTCAATATTATCAAAATTTATTTAGCCATGCTGATGCTGTGCTTAACCTAATTAATCGTTCAAGTCCTCAATAAGGTCAATGCATCTTAATTCTTACATACTAGGTTAATGTGTATAAGACCACTTCCATCTCGTAAACCAGAACGTGGTAATCATAAACATCTCTCTTGTTTCCCAAAAAATTAGAAAATATTAACGAGAATGCCAAGAAGCGGCACCAAATAAAAGTAATTATCTTAATGATTTTAATTGCATTGCTGCTATACACTCCACTCCACAAGGAATTACCACAAGTAACTAATCAAGCCAAAACGAAGGAGCAAATAGGTTATCACTAATGCATTAACATTACAAATCGCGATAAGAAAACTGTCTGTAATTTGAATTGATAATGAGAGTAACTACTAACTATAGATCCACTTTCATATGAAAACTGCACATCCATACTATCATTCCATTTTTCATCAATACAGAGATTTCAGAGAAGATGCAAAGTTCTGAGACCTAGATATAGAAATTAACTTTCATGCAAGCAACTTAACAATGATTTCAACAATAAACGTACGGTGGAGAAGCGAAAGGCATTGCAGCAGGGGAAGCTTGAACCCTCACTCTATGAATGTGAGGGGTTTTTTTCGGATCGAACATCCTTTCCTCGTTCTTGTCAGAGCCGTTGCCAGGTCCACTCGTTCTGCGAATCGGAGTAACTGAGTCGGAGCAACAGCAGCGCACACGGCAATTACCGAGTCGAACTCGGTCAGCATCGAACCACAGCTTTCTACGCTTTCTCGGGCCCAACTCCAGCACGTGATTGTTAGGAAGCAGAGCAACATTGAGTCGCCTCAGTCTTAGCTTGAAATCAAACGGCGTCGTTGAGAAGCCTCTAGAAGTCACCGCCATTAATGCCAAATGACATTGACGAATTAACTGATAAAAGATGCCAAGTGCAGTGTGTCTCTGTTTTTTTACTTTTTGCCCCCTTTCACTTCTCTCGCCGAGTGTTTAAAGGATAATAACAGTGAGAACGAAATTGGAATTTGAGGGATATTTAATGAGCGATGAAGCAGAAGAGCGTGAAGCTGAGGAAGAGGAATGTTTGTTTTGAAGCATTTGATCTGAGAGTGAGGAATGGGATTGAATGTGGAATTTGAGACAGAAAGAAGAGAGCGGAAAGGAGAGAGAGCGTGATGAGATCAGATCCGGGCTGGGCTGGGCCGGGCTTGACGATCATGCTTCGAATCCCGAGATTTACTCGCATATACATATACACGTGAGCACGTGGGTCCACCAACATTTGTGACTCCTATATTTCCACTTTCGTCGTGCCACGTGCCACGTATTCAACCGCCATATGTATCTTTGTTGGATGAGGAGCAGAAATCACCCTATTTAAATTGTTATTTATTTCTTTATAGTAACAAGTTAAGTAATGTTTTCAATTTATATTTTATACATGGAAAAATGTTTTAAAAAATTTAATTCCATTATAATATAAATGTTTCTTCTTCAAGCAAGATTATTTCTCGTAACAGACACTTGCATTGGATAAAAGTAAACAGATATACAATGTGAAACAGATATTAAGTGAAAGTGAACAAATTCATTAACATAATAATTGTAGTTAGTATTTTTAGATTTTACTTCTTGTGTATATTTTTGTTCTTGTTAAATAATTATCAAATAAAGCTTTGTATACATAGCTGTATGTCTCTCCAGGGACATTTCATTGCTTAGAAGTCTCCCTTGAAAAATATTAGTTCTGTTTGGCAAAAATTACTACTAGTTAGTTAGAAATAAAAAAGTTAAATTTAACTAAAAATATTAAATTAATTTATTGGAAAATATTAGTAAAATTATTTATTAAATTATTTAACACCTATAAATAGCATGAAAGTATATTTTTATTTTGATGGACAAAACTATATTTTTAATGTAATTATAACTATAGGTTTCTCTGTTTGTTAGTTTTAAATTATTATAATTTTTGTTCAAAGATTGAATACTTTATTTAAAAATTAAAATTAATAAAATAAGAAATGTAATGATATTATAGAGATGATAAATGAGGAATTTTGTATGAAAACAATAATAATAAGATATTATTTTCAAAGAAAACTTTGGTCTCTATTGGGAGTTTTTATATAAGCTGTTTCTTGAACTTATTTGGCACGAGTTTGAATTTGGATATCTTTGGTGAGTAGCTCGGACATGGTGCATGAAAATTTTATGTTAGGGTAGAGTGCCGTGGAATCCATTCCTTTATTTGAATCCATGATCCAGGTTATTGTAGCACATGAATATGTTTAAACAAACATTGCCAATAGAAAAATCATCCATGAGTTACACGGGTCAAAATCCCCTGCCCAAGACCAATTCAAACAAAAACATAATGTGATAAAAAAAAAACAAAAAAAAATGCCCATGAATAATGTTATTATGTCTGTTCATCTTTAATTTTTGTTATTTATACAAAAAATCTTATGGGGATAAAATAATAATTTTGTTGTTTTCTCTTCCACAGTACATACCGTTTTTCAGAATACAAAAATAAAAGCATTAGAATCCTTTACGGTAGTATTATCAATAACCATTTTTATCGTATAAGTAATTTAAATTTTAATTAATCATTTTTTATATTCCAAATTTTAATTTACATTTTAAACGTAAAGACATATGTTATTGTACTTTTTTTTATGACGCGTGACTTTGTTGTCATGTAGTGCATCTTTTTATAGCTTGAAAAAAAAGTCAAATTTTTTAAAAATATAATAAGATATTTCACATTAAGGTTTTATTGTATATTAAGACTTTAATTTCTTAAATATTATCTTCATTGATTTTTATTTTTAAGCAAATTATTTTGAGTCTAATTTAATTTAAAAATCTTAAGAATGAATAAAAATACAACGAAGAAAAAATTTCCTAATTTAATAAAGATTTAAATACACTTGTAGTTATCATATATTAATATTTGTATAATTTATCCTTCTTAATTTTAATTGTTTATATTTAGCTCTTTTAATTTTTAAGATTGTTTAAATTATTATCTAATAGCATAAACATAATATAAATGTAATCTATTATTGATTTATATAAATTAATAAAAATATATAATATAATGGATATATTGTACTTTAATTTAATCATTTATATATGTATATATATATATATATTGTTTATTTAGATTTTAAAAATAAATAATAATTTAAATAAATTAAAATATGCATAAGTTAATGAAATACTCAATAAACAGAAAAAAAAAATGATTCTTCTTAAGGAAGAGAGTGAACATTTAAATTTATAAGATTTAGAAATAGTACGTTAAATCCATTTGATGTTATTTAAAATTAAAATTAAAATTTCATCTCGATAATATTTAAAAAATGACACTAAAGGTTAGAATTGGTTATTGAAATAAAAATTGAATGCTCATTTAAAAATAAAACAAAATTTGCTGGAAAAAATGCTAACTAAATTTGATCCATATAAAAGTGTATGATACCGACTAAGAAGAGTTCCGAAACACGAGAATTATCCACAAATAAGATCCACGCCGGATAACGTGGGCATTAGCCATGGGGACATACCAACACGACACAAAAAGTAAAGTGGAGTTGAATCCCCGTTGGAATGCAAAAGTCGTCTCACCTTATCCACACCCCAACCCCAAGTCTAGTCACTGAAAATTGCTCTACAATCGTTAAACGTTGCCTCAGCACGTGTCCTCTAATTTTGCCATTAGGACACGTCAAAGCACCTGTTGACCATGAGAATAAGAAATTCTGGATAAGAAGCTGACTCAATCTGAGTGTACGCTGACGTGTACGAGAGAAAAAGGTGACACAAATTTCATGGTGATTAAGCCCTTGGCAATCTATTTTCCCGCAAACAAAGGAGAAGACAGAGAGGTATTGTTCATCAAATTCAAATTACATTTATACATATATTCGTTGTTATTTATTTCATTTACTTAATTTATTAGTTATTTAACTAAAAATGTTTATTTGTCCATTTTCTTTCACTTTTCATTTAACATTAACATTTTTTTAATTCATATATTATATATTATTTCATTTGTTTATATTAAATCAATTACATAAAAAATAATCATGATAAATATAATTTTATTTAATATCTAATGTTTAATATGTTCAACAAGATGAAAACAGTAAATTACATGAAATCATATTACTTAATAGGTAAATTATAACTGGTTCTTAATTCACAAGGATAAATATAAGTACCACATGAATATAAAAATTTGTATAGAATATAATTTAAAGTAAACTAATATTTAAATCATTGTGATAAATATTCATCATATGAAAATACAAATTCAACGAATAATAATAATTACAATTTACAACAAAAAACAATTACATATACATACATTAAAAGTCATGAAAATAAAATATTGACAAAATTTTCATATAAAAATATATTAAAAAAATGTTATATAAAAAATCTTATATTACAAATATTATATAACATTGAATGTTTAATGTAAAAGTAATGATAATGTTTCATATAATGATTATGGTTAAATTTATTTATTTATTATACATTAACTATGTACACATAAATTCATGCACGGATCAAGTCAGCTAGGAGGTGAGATCACTCTGATTGCTCTTTGACGAGGAGACCACCAAATCCATTTCATAGCGAGAATAAAGAGGACGTAGCCGCATATGGAGTATGGATATGACAGGGCAAGGCAATTCAGCACAATTACATTTAAATATTGACCACAATTTTAGCCAATCTCTTTACATATACTAGTTGATCGCAATCTCACAGGTCACCGCTTTTATGGTGATGTATAGGCCACGCAAATCCAATTGTTCAGGATTAGGAAGGTCCCTGAAGTGGCATCTATTAGGGGAATTGACTGAATACTCTTTTTTAAAGTAATGTTTCCAACAATCACAGAAACCAGTGAATATGTCGATTTTCGTTGTTAGAATTCCTTTCGCTTATACAAGATTTATGTTGCCTAGACTTCGATGAGTAAAATGTAAATGGTCTATATATATTCCCTACAGGCAACATAAATTATTTCGAAGTAGTGGCATCAGCTTCATCATTATTAATCAACTAGTTACAAATTAGTTGGCATGACGCGGCAAAAACACAAACTTTTAGCTATAACAGTACTCGGTCGATTTCATTTAGCACTTTTCTGTTTCCCAATTTCAATGTATTAATAAAATAAGGAATGATGTAATTACTTTTCCACGAAGACATATAATAGAGGACATACTCGGGGGATACAGAAAGAACTTGTGGTTCCGCAGATTATACAATGACTCCATATGAATTACGTAAGGTGGGTGTCTAATAAAAAAATAAACCAGCAACATAATTCAACCTAAAACAATTAAACGTTGAAAGATAGAAAAATTAAACAAAAAAAAATGTTGATTTTCTGAGCTATCAATGCTTCTTGGTGAAAGATGTCATGCACATGTAACATCAAACCTGTTTTGCCACGTCAAAACCCCCAGCGGTAGCATGATGTAATAATAAACATTTGGGTTTTTCGGTCATCTGTTTATTTCAAGACCCGAGAGGCAGCAAATTACTGACCTACCCAAGAAGGTGGCAAATGCTAGCAACACGGAAGTTGGTGTTGAACTTCATTTTTTGGGAATGAAAGGCTTAACTGATTCTACAACAACCTGTTTTCAAAACGAAATGTCAAATTAATGAGGTGATCATTGATAAATGTAGACAAGCAAATAGCACGAAAAGCTTCGAATTGTTATCTATGCTTCGGGAAAGTCACTGATTTAGATTGCTGTTATACCCAAGATCTAATCACCTAATCACGGGCAAATAATAAAATAGCCAATTATACTTTTGTTAATATATTCAAGTTTTTAATCAAGTAGTCTGATTTTATGATCATAATATTATGCTACATTGGCACCTCTACTCACAGGAAAATTCATTACCCAAGCGGAGCATGTAACAGAAAGATTCAACACTCAAAGAAGAATTTTGTCATTTATTTATATTCATTCATGAAGAGAATTTATCGCCTAACATTGCAAATTAGACTAAAGATTTACTTGTCGTCTTACCCTGCCATCATACGATAACGATGCAAAGATCCATGGTTCACGAGAACTCCAGGTGAGCCCTGTAACATGAATAAAAAAATTGTAAATGAAAGTCTATGAAAATCATGGATTAAAATAATTGCAGATCGTACCATAAATGCTGTCTTCATAATCACTATACGTATGAAGTAGTGCATCAACCCATCGAGCAGGTGAATCTGATTGTCTGCTAAAAAGTAAGCATAAATGAATTTATAGAAAAAAAAAAAAAAAAAGCCATAAAATGAACAGTAATAATATATTGAGATAATAAGGTGACCTTTCAGTTAACTCATCCTGATTTGTAGAGGCAAGCCACAAGTTGACAGTTGAATCGGTACCAGCACTCTGTAACATACACATTCCATGACAAATAACTAAATATCCCCATTGACATGATAATTTAGTATACAGACCACCTTTCACCAATAGATGAACAAGAGATCTAGAAGCCATAAAAAATTTTAAGTGATTGTAAGTAAGTATGTGCAGGTGAGTGTGGCAAAAAGCTCCTCTAATGTAAGTTTTACCCTAAAATAAGCAATTAAGGGTGTATCCACCCTAAAATTTTAGTTGGCTAAGATCACAATCCACTGTAAAAAGGGACAGATACACCCTTCACTTTATAAACAAGCTTACTTTAGAGGAACTATATCCCCGTGTGTGGGTGAGTGTGTGTGTATAAGAGAGAGAGAGAGAGAGAGAGAGAACCAAGATCATTCCATCATATTCTGGGTTACACTTGACAGTCCATGTCCTGGCAATACAATACAGACTGCCAATCAGACATCAGAAAAATAATATCAAATAGTTTATTTCATTTTAGACAAAGTATGAAATAATAAGAAAAGTTATTTCAAAATATGATTGTTAGTTGTTACAAAATATGGCATGCACTGAAAGTAGAGTGGTTATTTCCCTCTCTGCTTTCTTTTTCTCTTTTAGTTTTTCTTTCACTTTCCACTGCAGGGCTGTGATTGGAAATTGGAACATTGTAGGGTTTTTGGAATGGGAATATAGCTAAAAATCACAATCAGCTCTTCAACTATACATAATAGGTACCAATGAGTATGTCCTGGAAACTCTTGGATAGGAACTTTAGGCTTTCTTAGATCCCAAATGTGTATCCCAGATTCATGTTCTGCAGTAACCTGTACGAAATGTAGCAATTCAATTTTACCAACATGAGCAAAAGGTGGTAGAATACTACCACCTCAGAATGTAGTTGCTGCTGTAAACACAACGGGAAATAGAAGTCAGCAAAATCATGTAATGCAAATCAAAGTGTTTTAATACTTGGAAAAAAAGTAAAAATAGATATCTATGATGCATTCATTTGTATCTGTAATTGAATATCAGCAACAAATGATGATAATCCATATAAAATCATAGTTGAATTTCAGAAAATATAAATATACATTATCTCAAAGACAGATTATAAAACCATTTTTAAGGGGAGGTACAAACATGTATCAATATTGTGAGGATCATAAAGATCAACTCTTACAAGTATGTGCTGCTTTTTGGGATGGTAATCAACACCGCGTACATGTGACCACTCAATTGAAATAGTCTTCCTGTGTTTCAAAGAATCCTATTAGTAGACATGAAATTCCTAGGGGTATCAATTCAAACAAAAAACTAGTTGGTTGCAGGGAAATATATATTCCTCCCCCACCACTCCCAATCCTGAACTTCAAAAGAAACAATTAGTTTATACTTTATATAACTAGAAAGAAAAGAACAGTTGCAAATATATTGACTTTTAGAATTAAATAACATTGAATAATTTTTCAGGATACCTAAAGTCACATTACTTTATAATTCAAAGTTCAAACAAAACTAAACCTAGTCCTTTCCCTGGGGTGAGGGAGAACAAGTGCAATCATAAAGTCACATTTTTGCTCACTGTGGTGAAATATTATCATGTCACAAACTAAAATAAACAAGAATGAATGATGTTATTTGAACATTACATACTTCATTGTTCTGACATCCCAAAATTGGAGATATGATTCACAAGTTGCGGCAACAGAACTCACATCATGCGGATCCCATGCCCCTCCAGATAACTTGTGCAGCATGCCAGCGGAATCTTGTGATTGTACCTGGATTTTTGTTGGAATGCATGGGAAGTGGGATGGTGAAGGAAATAAGTCAATATGACCAAAAACTCCAGGCATTTACATATAGTAGTGACCATAATCACACAGGTCTATGATTATCAAAGTCCCAATCAGCTCTTAGGTGCTCAATTTCTGAACTACATGTACATACAACATCACCTAATACCAACTTCCCAAAAAATCTTGGTGGTGTTTAACTTGCAGAGACAATGGAAATTAATATTAACGCTAAATTGTCCAACCCAAATAATAAACTTATTAGGTATCAAAATGAAATCGATTACAGACAGTAACTATGATCAACTTCTGAGTCACTTATGTTCTAGACTGAAGCATCACAGATTTGTTTTGGGAAGTGCCTTGACCTATATCTTCACTCATTTTCCGTTCATTTTTTATAATGCCTCTCATTCAAATAACTTTATAAGATTCATAAAAAAAAAATGAACTGATTAATTGTTCATTATTCATAGATAAAAATTTAAGGAATGTAAAATTGCAAATAAAATATTCATAAACAAAATTCATTTGAAGATGCCTCGAAACCACAGAGAAACCATCCATTTATTTTTTGCACAAGACCAAATGAACTTTCATTGTTTGCTTTCCCAAATCTCTGTTTTCTTCCTCCTCCCAGTAAGGGTTCATTTCTTTATTATAACAAATTACAGTAACTTGAATAATTATAACATTATTTTGTATGAATATATGTTTCCTGTGCCAGCACATACACACATACATTTATACATGCAATTCTTTTTTTTCCTGTGTACATGTGTCACAAAATGTATATATCATGCATGAACTTCATACCTGTGCAGTTTTCTTGGAAACATCTAAATTCCACAAGTACAAGTTTTCCTCGTTGATGCTGATCAATTTATCATGCCTTCCAGATGGCCACCAAAGAATGCTGTTTGGTGGTGAATAAGTAAGGAATACAAATCAAGGTATAAAATTCAAAGTGTATAATGAGCATAAAATAAACAGGACAATTATTAAAGAATAGACTTAGTTGCACTTTTGCTCCTACTACTTACAGTAGTGACAGGGCCAACGATTTATATACATGACATTACATTTTACTGAGTAAAGAATCCTAATGGACCAACTGGGACTTTAATCTATTTAAATACATCATTGTACTCCATTTAAATGTGTCATTTTATGTTTTAAATATATTGGGGATTCAATTATGTTAAAGTCACTGGTGAGTCCATTAATATGTCAACTTAGTAAAATGTCATGTCACATATGTAAATTATTGGTCACATCACTGACTTCATTAGTAATTAAATGACATACTAATACAGGAATCTGATTTCAGTAATTAGAAAATTTGAAAGATTGATTGCTTCCAAGTTAATCACAGAGGTCCAAAATCGCACATTGACCATGATACAAGAACTAGACATGCAATGAAGCCTCGATAATACAAGCAAAATTTCCAGGACATAGCCAAAAGGGTAATCCAGTGGTGCAAGATACAGAAATCATGTCATGTTTAACATCGGGTATGCAACGATTTTCCCCACATAACCATATTCAACATCTTCAGATAATTATCTAAACCTAGGGCAATGACATAGCATATAATAGAGGCCGAACTGTCAAAGTGCAACAGATAACACTGACACATCGCCCCAGAGTCCAGACCAAAAATGTCTGCATACGGGAATTGCGAACTCACCATTTAATCTTACCAGCATCAGTGTCAAGGGAGGTAATTCTTTCTAGCTGAGGAGAATTTAACTCGCCATATAACTCGGGAATCTGCCATATTGCTGCTCCATACGATTCACCTTTAATAACAACATAAGGTAATCAGAAGCCTTCGTAACTAAGGGGCGTTAAAACGATGCACAAAAACCACAAGCTATCTCAATATATGGAAAAATTTTCGAATACGATTCCAAGAGTTAAAAAAGAGGTTGATTACCGTTAGAATAGACGGTTGAAAAGATCCTCTGATCAAAAGGACACGAAGCAAGGTCCCAGATCTCGTTCGGGTGAGAAAACAACCCCTCGCAGAACAGTTCGGTTCCACTCGACGAAAGCCGAATCAGATGTACCTGTGATGGAACGATTCACTCTATTGTCTACACGGATCAAACTCTGACAAGCGGAATTGGAGCACGAGAAACCAGAAAAGTGAATTTCTACCTCATTTTCTTCCTTAAGGCTGAGAGTGCCGGCAAGGAAGCTAGTGTGATCTGTATCTGCCTTTACATCTGATATGCATCTAGCCTATCATGTGAGAAGATGTAAGAAAGGGAAAATTAGGTCAACTGAATCCGGGAACCATAATTTGTAAGGGTTTTGTGAATTCGACCTGATATTTTAGACCGTATCCGATGCCTGAAGATGCAGCTTGCATTGCTCTTTTTCGATGGTTAGCTCGACGCTGAATCTACTAGTATACCGTGCGCCACCTTAATGCAGAGTTGATGACACACTTCACAGAGCAGGGTTAAACGCATAAATGGCAATTCACCATTGCTGCTTCCTGATTCCTTTGTTTGTTTTTTGTTTTTCTGAAGCTGTGTTTTTGTTTGGGCCTGTACTCAGGCATTAGCAGAAGTTACATTGGGCTTTAAGTGGACTGCTATTCAAGAAAGGAAATTAAATGAGGCCCGTTGTATCTCTACATGAGACAAAAACAAAAAATTCCATTTATGTAGTGGTGTTGCTGAAATTTATTGTACATTCCTTTTTCTAAACTATCTCTATTTGCATTCTAATAATTTCTTTTGGAGATAAGAGAAAAGAAAAACTTAAAAAACCAAACGATACCTTAGCTTAATTCACTTTAATCACTTTGGTATGAACTCTTACTTTTTGTTTAAATTTTTTTATCAAAATAAAATAAAAACACTATAATGTTAGATAACAATGCAAAACATAGTACACGAATATATATATATAATATAATTCGTATACACAATCATTTATATTTATACTATTTACCCCTAAACTTATGCTATATGTCCCGAAATATAAGATATGGACAGCTATAATTGGATGATATGCAGATATCAAAATATCTTCGTGGTTTTATTAGTAAAACATATCAGCCTAAGACAAGGCCCTGAGACGTTAGAACTCTCCGCACGTTACACGCAGAGGGAGATTGTCACCATCATCCCGAGCTTGCGCCATTGCTAAGATACACCTCACATGAACCCTCGTGAAAATAATGATGCTTAAATTTAGATAATATAAGTTGACGAGAGTAACTAAAGTTATGAATAGCAAATGGCGTAATTATTATATTTTTAAAATAAATAACTCATGCGTAAACTTCAAATATGGTTGGTGCTTGGTAGTTGTTACCTTCTAGAACGTTAGGTTGGGAAAGTAACAACGAACCTGTGACTTGCTAATCTTCAGGATTAAGTAGTCGCTATTTGTTTCTTTGAACATTCTTATCTTTATTTTATTTTGTAAGCAAAAGTAGCTAATGCATGTTTCTGATAATTGATTTATACAGGTTGCAATCCGTCCCTAGTTTCAATTTTTGGTTCAATTGGCCGCGAGAGTGGTTTAATCAAATTGTAAGAGTGCTTTCATTGGTTGAGGTTGTGGTATCATCGAATATTATAACGCATAAACAGCATTTGATCTAGCTTTTTCCTTTTGCCTTTTTTTAAGTATAAACTTTTTGTTTTAGATTTTTTTTATAGAAGTGAGTTTTACTTTAGCATCGTATTAATTTGCTAAACTTTCAAGAGTTTCCTTTTTTAAAAAAATATATGTAGCTTCGACGTGAATGTTTTTTTTTTTTAAGTAAACTAACCAACAAATAAAGGTGCAAGTCAACCAACGTAATGAAAAACGATAATAATTGCACAGTTTATGCAAGTTACATATGAACTAGATTTTTATTCGGTCCCTCATAATGAACGAACAATGAAAGTTTAATAATAAAAAAAACATGTTATTACTTTTGTAAATATAGTTTATTACTGCTACGTTATGTTAAAAAAATTGACAGATATTATTGTTTTATTAATTATTTTTTCTATATAAGTTCACCACATGTATGAACTTAGCGTATATGTGTAAAAAAAAAGTCACAGAAATAGTTGATTTTGAGAAAATAAAATTAAATTTTTTATGGAACTTAATGACGAAAATTCTAATTTTGTGTGTGTGTGGAATGTTTTTAAATATACATAACGAATTGGTACCCATGACAAAACTTATTTGATTGGACATTTATTATTAAGTCTTTAATTATTTAAAAATAAATTAATAATAATGATTAAAATAAAAGTTTGAAAAAGTAAAAAAAAAAAATATATATATATATATAGGAAATAAAAATGACTTACTGTATTTACAGGATATAATAATATGTTTTAATTATCGAAGAATTAATAAATTTTTAAAGGATGATTATCTGTATATAGAAAGTTAATATTTATTTGAAGAAACGGAAGAAAGATAAAGAATGTGACTTTGAAATTCATAAGCTGTGAGAAATAGTAAAGCTCTGAATCTCTGATTGTTCTTTTCCCACTGTTAGACTTGGTCGTGGGAGAATCTCTACTATTATATAGGTCTTACGTTGCCTAGCAGACGAAAATAACTCTTTCAAAGTCAAAGTTTCAACAAATTAATCAAGTAGGACAAGAATACAAATTCAAACTATTTTAAAATAATAATGTTATTGCTTGAATGCTGGGACTTGTATGAATTGGATTTAGGAGCTACAATACTCACCCCCGTATTTACATTAAAAAATTGTCCTCAAAATTATCTCTTAACGGATAATAATTTTAGTATTGACTCTCATAATTTATGAATATATAAACACCCTTACTTAATATCCACAGGTTAGTTAAATAAACGTGTTTTTTTTTCTACGAAATAAACGTATTTTTATACCATAATTATGAAATACAATAAATAAAACATTGGACTAAACTCAATTTCAATATAATAAAATAATTAATCATAAAACATTATATATGCTCAGTTTTTTATATCATGATAATTTTATTTTAAGAAACATTTCATTAAATTCAATTCAATTAAATTTAACATAATAAAATAACTAATGTAAACCTTTAAATATATAATAAAGGTTATAAATATTTATTATTTAAAATATAATAGTTTTAAAGTACTCGTGTTTACTAATCCTCAATTGTGAATAAAATACCCATATGTGAACAATGCATACATATTTAGTAGACAAATTTAATAATTTTTTAGTCAATAACGAATTCAAATTCTCAGTTATCATACTTATTTAGAACAGGTAGTAGCTTGAAATGAGGCAGAGCATAAAATTTAACAAATGAACAAGTGTGGTTAATTGTGCTAAAAGTTAATTAAAAATCTATTTTTTATAACACGAAACTCCACACGTCACTGCTTACTCCTATGTGGTTTGTTTTAATCTCAAACCATATTCCAAAATCAGTTACCCCGAAAACAAAACATTATCACAACTTTGTCAAACATCATTAGGTAAAATTTGATCGTCATCCTTTGCTTACTATAAAGGAGGTGAATTAAAAAAGGAGGATGGAATCACTTAAAAAGAAAGTGAGGGAAAAAATATAAAAGAAAAGTTGGTGACACTATTTATGTGTTCCGAATTCAGGAAATGGTCATTTTCATTCCCCAAGTGTCTATCACCTTTCTCTCCTAACCAATCTCTTGTAGCAACAAACTTGCAAGAATCAAGAAAGCGTTGGTTCTCTGCATCCGATCGCGTTCTTAGTAACTCTGTTGGGTGCACGTGGCTTCCTTTTAACCGCGGCTACGTGATGATAAATCCAACCAGAAAATATTGTGTTATGGGATAAATTTACTACCGCTCAAACGATACCATATGGCTATACCTTGCTGAATGTACCGCAGAACTTAATCTAGCGTTTATGAAATGATTGAAGTTCACCTGTGATCGTTGAAATGGATACATCTGATGCCTTGGTCCCCACGTTCCCCACTTGCGGTTCCAGATATTTTCAAGAAAAAAAAAAGTTTTAAATGTGGATAAACATCGTAACATGATTTAGATACGATTCTGAAAAAAATATCATAACCAAAAAATAATATATATTTTTTGTAATTTATAACAACAAAAGAATATGAAGAAAAACATAAAACATATTTTCAACAAGTTAAGCTTCTGTATATAATATAATGCTTCCGTTTTTTAAATTGTGTTTATATTCGAATATTTTTTTTTATGCAGTATTTATCTTATTTTTCACATGAATCCCCGCACGATAAAATTAACCCAAAATTAATGAAATGGTAAAGGATCAGCAAAGGAAACGCTTCATAATTAACAATAGGATGCATGACAATTTGTTGTTTTAAAAAAACACTAAACTCTTATAAGAGCTGTATGTTTCAGTGTTTAATTATGTCACTTACTGCTTTTATTTATTTATTATTAAGTTTTAATTAACATTTTATTTGTTTTACAATTACGTAATGCTTTTCTATTAAATTGTCGATACATTTAAAAATCATATCCAAGTTCTAGTCTTAGCTTTAAAATATTTTAAGCCTAAAAGGAAAAGGACAAAAAATCAACACGACAAAACTAGCTGGCTAAATAATTGAATTAGTGCGTTAACATCATTCTCAGAAGAATTTCAATTAATTTGACCATTCTTTTTATACATAAATAATTTAACAAATTGATATTGCCAGACTTTTTAAACGAATAAATAAAACAATAGTATATTTAATAAATAAGGTAATATTCAAATAAAATATTATAGATATTTGCATATGAGACTTTTTCAAATAAAACATTATAATATAATATATTTTTATACATAGAATATGAACTTTAATTTTCAAATATATTTATTTTTATAAACTATCTTTAACGAAAATACTTTTAAAATTAATTATTTTCTATTAAATCATGTTATGTTTTTTTTTAAATTACTTAATTTGAATTTTAAAATTATATTCATTCAATTTTTTTTCATATGATAAAATATATATTTTAAAATTTATAAATTTGTTAAATATAAAAATAAGTATACAATATATTTAAAAATTGTACTTAAAAATTATTCTATTTTAATAACATACACACAAAAAACCAATTTCATATAAAAGATGTTATTAGTAAATAGATGTTTTTTCTATCTGTTTTCATTCTAATTCTTAAAATGTGTCCCTTATCTTTGTAAATTGACATTTACATAATATCTTTATTTAAACATTATTTTTGTGTGTCTATAACTTTATTTATGAAAGAATAGCTTACTTATCTTATTGTATGGGAATCGACATTTCCCTGTTTTTAATAAATCATTTCATATTTGAAAATTTTGTAGAATTATATATATATATATATATATAATCCATTCTTTTGTTTTTTTAGATACATTATTCTATATTTATTTTAAACACCCGTGTTTAATACATGGGTTTTTTATATTTTATTTTATTTTTATTTCATAAAAAGACATACCCTTTTTCATATTTTATATCTCGATTCAAAGCATAAAGTTAAAATATTTTTTCTTCAATAAGGAAATATTTGACACAATTATTTAATAAACTACTAATTTATCTAAAAACCTATGATAGATAATACATGAATAAAAGTAATAAACGATAGCAGGTACATTTAATACATTAGTTAAAGAATTATAAATATACTATAAACGGTATTTTCAGCATATTTAAAACAATTTTTTTAATAACTCCTAGCTAGTGTCCTAAAGATACAAGACTCTAGAAAATTACTATAATTAAGAAAAAGTTTATTATAGAAAAACAACAATAAATGAACGAAGATGACGATACACGTTCTTAATTCAAACACGGCGTTATAGTTAGGTGCACCTTTTAATGGAGAACCTCTCCGGTAACATCTCAAATTTCCCATTCTTCTCGATCTTTGCCTCTGGCATGGTACCTCCCAAGCTTTTCATCAAGCCAAATAGCCGCGTGGTAACCTTAGTCTTCATATGCAGCCTAGTACCGGTTCTCGCCAAAGCATGTTCCTTCCATTTGATTACTCGTCGCTTCATGTGAATCATATTGCCTTCTCTGTCAGTTTTTCCGCATATCACGTGATGAATTAACCTTTGGGAAAAGGAGAAGCTACTCGAAGCGGAAGCCTCAGGGTTTTGTGAGTAGAAAAAAGTGGCGTGAAAATAAAATTAATTAGTGAGATTTTGAAAAGCCAGAGATGCTAAAGAGTCCGAGAAAGTTCTTGATGCCCTTTGCTAAACGGGTTTCTGATCTTGATTGGCGGTTCATTGGGTTGATAATCCCTCTGGTTTTATTCTTCGTGTTCTTCTCTCTCCACTCAACCACTTTAAACGCCTTTACATCGTTTTACCCAGTTAAGCAATTTCTTTTCAGTCTTCCTTTTCAGAAGGGAAAGACGGGGGATATTAGCGAGAACGATCCAGCTTGGAAAGATGAATTGGTGCGGTCGAGAATGGCCGTGTGTTTGGTGGGTGGGGCTAGAAGGTTCGAACTCACTGGACCCTCCATATTCGAGATGATACTTAAACAGTATCCCAATTCCGATCTTTTTCTGCATAGCCCGTTAGACTCAGATTCGTTTAAGTTCTCGCTCTTGAAGTTTGCGCCAAAGGTCGCCGCGGTTCGAATCTTCCACCCTCAACCGTTGCCGGAGAACGAGTCTTCTGTTCGCGTTCTCACGCCGCATAACTCGCCCAACGGAATCCAGGTAATTTCATTGCTATTTTTTTTCTTTTTATTTATTATTGCTCTTTTCCGTTCCTCGAAATTTAAAATACCACTTCATTTGGATTGTTACACGTACTGGATTTTTTTCTGTTTCTTTTGTTTCGTGTGATCGTGCCGTGCCGAATTCTTTTCTTTATCATCTCCACTTCAGATGCTATCTAATTAACTTAAGAGAAAAGAAAAATAATAACAAATCTTTTCTTCTACATTTCATCCACCAAACCCGTTTAGGGTGGTTAAAGAAGAACTGTCAGAGTACCCAGTCATTTATGACTGCGACATGATATTTTAAGTTTAACGGATAGAAATTATTAAATGGGAAGTTATTATAATAGAAACCATGACATTGGATTGTATATGATATTATATAGTATAAGATACTATATTAAAATCGTACTTATCTATGAAAAAAAAAGCTTTATACACATTTAAATATAATTAAATTAAAAAATCAATTAAGAAATAAATTATAAAAAAATATATTGAGATTAAATTAAAAAATACATACAGATGTAAGAGAAACTACATGATATAATGCAAAAATATATAATTAATTTAAATACTTTTAATTAGTAACGTTCATTTAAGAATTTATACACGTCAGTTGTATATAACAAGATACAAATATTATAGTAAATGTGAAATAAAACGAAACTCTAAAATATTTGAAGGGTTAATGATTTATGTTTTATATAAAATTATCATTAAATTTGATAAAATCTGCTTAGAATTTTATTTAAAAAGTTTAATTTATGGTCTATTTTCTAGACTTTATGCTGAAAACAAATAAAGTCTGTTTTTTTCTAGTGGAACACTTTTTCTTTATAGCAGTATCCACAGGAGAGTTTTCAATGACATTCTTAATTCGGGGGCAAGTAAGGTCCTCTTTATTCTTTATCACTTAGTGCTTTGTTGCAAATCTAGCTCACAATATTTGTTTTACTTTTTATTAGATATGTTTTTTACTTTTAAAATTATACTTCTAAAATATTTTGGTCCCGTAAATTCTTCAAACCGTCATTAGTTTACTTCTTACTTATTAAGGAGTTTGGAGTTGGTTTTAGTATGGTTGGCTGGGGAAGGATCACATATTCCTCTCTGACCCTTCATTTTACCCACTCCTTATCCTCCATGAAAATTTATGAACTATTTTAATTATTGAAATAGCAAAGCAAAACCAAAATTCCTCGGAATTAAAGTTTGACCCTGACATTAAAAACAAATTATAAAAGTCATTTTAGAATGAAATGAGAAAATTAAAGTGCTATTTAGTTTACAACATATCTGACTAGTCATTCCATTTGCTTAAAAATTATGTAATTAATTTATACATTTATTTAAATAAATAAACTCATCCTGTTAATTTTCTACACTATTTAAAGTATGTTTGAATTTATAATATACATTTTAATGGTAATTTGTATTTATTTTCTCCTTTAAGATGAATTGTACGTCTGTTTAACAAATATTGGAGCTTTCTTTTCAATTGGTAAATAAGAGTTCAATCTGTGGTTGTGCAGGGGCTTCTCCAATACTTTAACCTGGTGGAAGGATGTTTAACGATGATAAAAGCACATGAGGAGAAAAACAACTTCACGTACGATTGGATAATCCGAACGCGCGTGGACGGGTACTGGAACGCACCACTGGGGCCACAAAACTTTGTTCCAGGCAAGTACCTGGTCCCACCCGGTTCCTCATACGGGGGACTCAACGACCGTTTAGGCATAGGCGACATCACGGCCTCAACAGTGGCTTTGTCACGCCTCTCTCTGATTCCCCAACTTGATTCCGCAGGCTTCACGAACCTCAACTCAGAGGCAGCATTCAAAGCCCAACTCACCACCCAAAACGTGACTTACCTCACAAAGCGCCTCCCTTTCTGCATCGTTTCGGACCGCAAGTACGATTTCCTACCGGGACGGTTCGGCGTGCCGGTTGCGGCGTTGTCGAGCCGCGGTCCACTGAGCGGAGCCAAGTGCAGGCCGTGCAAGCCGGTTTGTCGGGGCGCGTGCGTTGAAAACGTGATGGAGTCGGTTGAGAGAGAGTGGAGTTGGACCGATTGGAGTAACGGTTCGCTTGAGCTGTGTGATGCTCACGAAAGTTGGGAAAATGGTTGGGAGAAGATTTTTGATCGGGTGGCGGGAAAGAAGCTTGCTGCGGCTAGGAAGATAATTGCTTCTTTGAAAATGGAACAGTGCATTGAGGATTTCATCCAATTGAAAAAACGGACTTCTCACTGGAGTGCACCTCCGGTTATTCAAATTTGTAGATTGGGTTTGAATCGCTCTTCTTGAACATCCTTCTTTTCTTCTTTTTGCTTTTTCATTCTTTATATCTTTTGTAGTTAGTTTCACACGTAATTTAGTACAGTGATTATTTATTTGGGTTGAGCGAGAAGTTGGCAGAGACAGGGGGAAATATCTTTCTTTTTTTTCCTTTTTGCTCTTTGGAATTTAGTATATGCCAATTTAACTATTGAAGAACCAAAATACCAAACGAAGTACAATGGAACAACCATACATAAAACAAATAACTGTTTTCTGACTCTTCAATGGCTAACTAAGTCACATTATCTCATAACTTTACTTTTTAATCATTTTGATTAGCGTTGTTTTTAAGTTACCTTGTAGTCATGATATATTTATATAGCATGATTATTTTTAGGTGTATATATATGTATATATATAATATTTAAGTGTCATGAAATAGTTTTTTTATTTTTTCAAAAAAAGTATGTATATGGTATGAATATTTTTAAGGTTCGACTTAATAATTTTCAACAGGATAATAAGCACAAACTTAATCATAAATAAGCAAATTAAGTCTTTAAATAAAGTGAATATATATTTTGAAATTGTTAAATTATTATTGTTGTTATTTTTGTTTATTTAATAAGAAAAAAATTAAATGCTCTAAAACTTAAATTTGTTTAATTAAGGATTTTTAATGTAATTTGTTTTATTTTATTTTATAAACATTTATTGTTTGTCTTAAGTCTGATATAGACTAGGTCCTAACCCTACAAGTAATTTTTTTTACCCTAATGTAAATATCTAGAAGAAAAAAATAAGAAAGGAGGAAGCAGAGATCAACTAAAAAGGAACAAAATGATAAACATGGTAGAAAGAAAAATAAACAAATAAATATAAATTATCAAATAAATATTTACTAATTATGGTTAGAATGAAATATTACGTCAAAGAGTGGCTTGATTTAGAAATAAGCATGTGTATGAATTGGATAACTACGACTGCAGTTTTGATTTAGTGAATGTCTAGTTATTTTTAAAAACATATCCTCTTAAATAATTGTTTTTATTTGATTTTTGAAGTGTTTTAAATTTGAAATAAATTACTTGCTTCATTAATATATTTCTACGAATTAATTATTTTTATACCTTTTAACTATTTTTAAACAGAGTTCATTTTAAATTATTATCTATTAATTTTTTTATTTTAATGTTTAATTAATTTTTTTATATTATACTTGACGTTAACTACAGTTAGTTAAAATAATAATATTTTTTTACAGTTTGTCACGTCACTTTTAATTTCTCTTTTTTATTTCACTCTTAAATTTTTTTTCATTTTATTTTTAAATTTCTTCAAACATAAGGAACCTTAATTTTTAAACACTATATATTTGAATCTTAATTTTTTATTATTTTAATTTTGTTTAAAAATAAAATATTAATATAAATTCGTAATATGAAAATTTAAAAATAAGGTAAAAAAATATTAAAAATGACGTGACTCAAAAAAAAATTAAAAATAATGTAATAAACTGTAAAATATGTCACTATTTAACCGACAAATGTTAATATCAAATATAGAATTAAAACAAAAAATTAATTAAGTATTAAAAAAATTAATAAATAATAATTTAAAATAAATTTTATTTAAAATTAGTTAAAATATATTTAAGCCTAAAAATTATATATATAAGCTGAAATCCAAGAAGAAGCCTAACATTGAGTTATGAAAGAAAATAAAAACACTGCATATATTAAAGTGGTCGTCAAAATAGAAGCACTGTCAACTTAATTAAAATAATGTTTAAACTAGTTTTAAACGCGTAAAACCCCACGTGGTTTTCAAGATTTATAGACGGATATTTGAATAAAGAAAAACGAAGTTTTAATCGCATGGACCCAATTGCAATATTATGGATTTAATTATTGACCTTTTAATTTGTTTTGATATGGTTAATACCTTTTTTAATTCAAATAATTATCGTAGTTTTATCTAAATCATATATACTTTTTCATAATTTCATAAAATACAAATTATTTTAAATAAAAAATGATATTTTCATGCATGATCTGACATATTTTAAAAATTAAACGTGTGCTATTTAAATTAACTATTCGTTAATTCAACCAGATATATTTATGGATCAAGTATAATTACGGATGCTGGGGGAGGATAATTAATTTAGTTTTTAAAATTTTGTATAATATTATATGATGAAAATTTATACACAATAATTTAATATAATTTAATGTAATGACAATATTACATATTCAAATCTTTATTAAAATTTTATCTTATATAAAAAAACGAAATCAATTAAATGCCGCAAATACATACCGTCAACAAAAGTACAAATATGAGATTGCCAGGATCTAGAGTTTGAAGAAAGCGACTGACTATAATGTTTAAAAACATTCTCTCTTTTTTTCTGTTTATTTATGCACATTAAAAAAATGAACTTTTATTTGTTAAAAGTTTTAGGGTAATATTAATTGATTCTTTAATTGTTCCTTTGTCTCTATATGATTTTCAAAATAATTACACAATTAAAACAATCAAAAGATAAATAATAGTAAAATACGTACCAAGGATTTAAAAAATACATATACACGTCTCCAAAAAAAAATAAAAAAAATACATATACACGAATGTGTTCATTATATTTTTTAATTTGAGTATTACTTTCCTAAATAAATATTTAAAAGAAGCTACTATAAAAAATTAGGTAATAAATTATTATACCGTAGAAAAAAACAACAACAAATTTTATGGAAGCAGGTAAAATGTTAGTTCAATTTAGCAATGCTGTGTGATAGCTTTCCTTCTAGCCTAACAACATTTATAATCATCTATTCAAAATAAATGGTGTAACGAGTTCATACATTTTCTGTGCATAATTAATTTTAAAATTTTCATAAAACATATAACATTTTAAATATGCCTTATCATATAATTATATTTTTAATGGAAACAAACTATTGATCACAATTTAAACTCATATAAATTTTGAAGCTCCCCACAAAAGAAACATCTTAAAGCATTTTTCACTAATACATTAAATTTTTAAAGGTAATAGTTTCATACTCACATCGTTTTTACTTGACTTTTTAAAAATAAATTAAACAATGAATATAGTATCCAAATATTGATAGTTGCATATGTATATAATGTAGCATCTTAAAGTGGATGTGACAAATAAAAGGGGTAAAATATATAATAATGTATCACTTGAAGATATAAAAAAAAGAGTTAGATATTTTGCAGTCGAAAAGACTCCACATGGTACAATTATTGATATCATCACTGAAATTAATTAAAATATTAAATATGTAATGTAAATTAAATGAATTTCTTAAGATAACCCACCGTTGGAGTCGTCTCATTTAAATCAATAATCACCAGCTTGAGCAACTAATAATTAGCCTCTGCCACCCTGTTTTCCTATCTTTTCACGGGACTGATTTCAACTACGCTAACTTATTTAAATTTTCTAATGGTTGATATTTTCATATACTACACCAAAGATTCCACTGGGTACTTTAAAATCAACATAATCGTGTAACTTGTTCAGAGTTGCACATGTATTAGATCTTTGATAGAACTATTCTTGAAAAAAAAGAAAAAAAAATCTGTGTTTACATGTGACATTCAAATAATTAAGATGATTATTTACTTTCAAAACTTTAAGACCGCGTATGAACGGTTGAAAAAAATTAAATATAATAAATTCAAAATTCATCAATTAAATTAAAAAGTATACAGTTTAAAATATAATAAAAAATATAAATATACTTATTTTTTATTTTAAAAAACTCCTTTTAAAAATACAAACATACTTTAAATATATTAAATCTAATTCTATCAAATTTTCCCTCAAATCGAGAGACACTGATAAGGTTTGTTTATGATAGTTTTATTTTGTTTATCGTATTACTATCTTATCCCTTTGTTAACCTAGCTAAGACATTGCATAGCTCCGCAAAACGCATTTATCTTAAAAAAATATTAATTTAATATATTTTTGGAAATAATTTATCATTTAAAAAATAAAATAATAAATTATTTTATTTCATTTATAGATATTTTTATTAAATAAAACAAGTAATTTATATCATTACTTTAATGATAATGAAAATAAACTTTACTCGAAATAACGCTTTAGAAAATAATCCAAGCTACTTAAAAAGGATACTTCGCCAAATTAAATTATTTTGCTCGAATAAACTTTTCTGTCAATAAAACAACTTTTCAATTTATTGAGAAGTATTACATATGTATTCTTAGAGTTTGTTTATACAACTAAACTCAAAATTTCAGGATGATGTTCATCCAAAACGCCTTATTTGTTTTCCTTTTTTTCTTTAGCTGATGTGTATACTTTAAAATTGCCATTGAATCCACACAAAAATAGAAGGTCCAGAACAATCTCTATTACGAGGTGGAAAGTTTAACAACAGAAGATAAATGCACATTGCTTTAATTTTACAATTAATTCTCAATCAAGTTCGCCAATAATTTTCTTAAAACAGTAATCCTACTAATCAGAATAATGGCAACGAAGTTGTCATGAGCATAGTAAACCAATCAAGCGTGCCGACATGAGAATAGAAAACAAGGTTGGAATGATAGAGTCCATAAAATTTGTCCGTGCATTGAACAAAATCAATTAGAATCATTTTTACGTAGTCAATGACGTAAATAAAAATCATATACACCATTTCATTTATCAGTTAGAACATTATTTTATCTGAAAAATATCAGTGTCATTGCATGTGTAGATATTAGTTTGACTTTAAAGTTTTTGCCTAATGTGTGGTAGATTTTACTGTTCTTAAATTTTATAAATACAGTCATTCCATGCGTATATTTCAAGCAGATAAAAATTAACCCCCAGAAAAAAAAAGGGATAAAAGAAAATATATATTTGGTTTAAAAAAAAAAACAACATTACAAAGGTACTCATGGAGATAACAAACCCACTAAGACACTGACCATAAATTACCACCTAGAAAGCAAAAATAATAAAAAGACGAAGTAACGCCATGACTGTTATGCTGATTTTGGTTATATATTTTGTCACTGGATATAAGACTGGCCAGTGATATCTATATCTCGATCCCCAGATGAAGGTGGAGAGCGGTTATTGGGCTTGATAGTGTCTTTATCAACAGGGCCATCAGCACTCTGGCTCTCACTAGCTGGTGCCTTTGTTTGTTTCTCTTGTTGCCCTTTTTCTGTACCGTACATTCCACCACCATAGGCAGCATGTGTAACAGGTTCCATTCTTGAGATTTGGGGACCTTCACCCAGCTTTTGCTTTTCACCCTCTTTCTCCATTGATCACAATTTCACCACTTCACCATGCACTTGTTTCTCTAACTGATGCAACACATTCTGAGAGGCCTCTTAGATTATGTAGACTTTCGTTTCACTTTGTGAGTTGGACGAGTGTCTTTCTTTATTTACGTGGCGACGCATATCCATGCCACGCAACCGATGTTCTTTTTAACTCTCATCGACTATCTATATCCATTTTCTTTTACTTTTTTTAACCCTCCTAATGTGTATACCATTTTTAAAAACATTTTATTCGTGTCTAACTCTCTTACTTGTTTTGTTTTCTGCATTTTTTGACGAAAAAATTTATTTATTTTTAAATAATTTAAGTAAAAATAAAGTATGATAAGAGTTATATATAATAGTTATAAAAAGTTAAATATATTAGATGATTTATTAAAAAAAACATCTCATCTAAAATTATTTTATTATAAAAAATTACACTATCCAAATCTTTAGGGTCATATCTTTAATCCGCATTTTTTTTAATCGTCATATTTTGAATCTATATAACTCGCTTTACGGGCTGTTAAGGGGTAGGAAGGATTTTTTGGGCCATAAAGGGGGCAGAGTTTAATATATGTTTTGGTCCAGGGAAGTAGGGTTTAATTAGCCGCAAGGAGAGGCCATAGAGAAAATGGGCCGACGAATTTGATTCATTAGGCCCATTTTTTACACTCCGTATTTTATTTTGTTTGCATTCCATGAATTCCATAAATTTAATTCAAAAAATATAATTTATAAATTACTCTCTAAATTCAGAATTAAAGTTTCGAAAAAAAGGGTATAAAAAAGATCCTCTTCGTCAAAACATTCTGCCACAAATTTCAAATTTGGTTCGGGAAAGAAAGCCACGTAGACGAAAGGTGTTTTATTCTCCACCCCCTCTTTCACGTGATGCTGAACCAAACCCATAGATGTAAAATGGTTTTTTTTTTAATATTATATTTTTTCTGAAAATATAAACGTTTTGGCCAAAAAAATAGGGAAAAAATAATTTTTTCCTAAAAAAATATCTTTAACCGTTGAAATAACATGGCCCCATCGAAGATTGAACCGGAACCATCTTTTGTGGTTAGAGAAAATTATTCCGCTGCGATAATGTTTTGTTCTACATAATTATAGAATAACATTACATACAAGTCATTTTATACTTTACATCATTGTTATCACTCAACTATAGTTAATTTTATCATATTTATTGTATACTAATATTTTTCTTATGCCACCTCAATAAATGTATATTTAGCATGTTTCAGAAGTCATTAACACATAAAGTTGTAGTTTTATTTAAATTGTGTGAACAAATAACTTACTCATTAAAATACTATCGATTTACAGTGTATTTTTCAATTAATAAATTTCACGTCAGCCTTTCGTGTATATATCATCTTATGTAACTCTTGATATGGCTATGGGATTTTATAACTGTAATGATTAACTCAAATACTTAAATAAATCCAATGACTAAACTGTGATGAAGAATATTTCCACGAACCATGTTACTTATTTAAATAAGTTAGGGAAAACAGTCGATGAACTCAAATACTTCTTGTTTTAAAAGCTAAATTGAGACCCTATTAATTGGAATCTAGTTAGATGAATTCATGTATAAGAGTAAAAAAATTTCAACCCTTAAGACTTCAACTTAATTTTCCCTAGAAAAACCAAATTTCTTACGCTTGAACCATGATATATATGCATGCAAGTTGTGATATTTTATTACTGTTGTTATCATCACATGTTTAAATTTTAGAAATAGTAGTTTGTTTCTTCGGGCAATTCCCTGATAATGCGAGGAGGTTGCGTAGTACTATTCCTTTTCTAATTCTGTTTGAAATTAATATTTTAAATCAAAGTTTAACAGCCGTGCCTTGAGTGATATATACGTGAGCGTGGAGGTCAAGTTATTTGAAGAATATTTTTTTTTTTGTTAAAGTTATATTTTGTTATATATTTATGATTGTTTAATTTATCCAAAATTTATATAGTATGCATAATTAACATAGATATAATGGTATAGTTTAGTGTTATTGCTTACGGTCTTCTCAGTCTTCATTCTCTCTTAAAGTATACTGACCTCTTCAAACTTACGAATAAAAATAGGTAGTTAATATTAGATAATATCATATTTTATTTATCTTTTAGACAAACATGTCAAAGTGTTTTTTAAAGTTAAGGAGACAATAAAAGCTGTCACATATATTATATAATTGTGAAAAAATATAATATTCTCCTAAAATCATGCAGTCACCGTGTCACACAGCGTGGTGTTCCCTTCTCCCGGGGACAGAATGAGGAACCAGTAGCGCGTCAGTTATTCACATGATCGATCAACAACTGGATATATCACATTCAGATTCATCTTTCTTCCCTTCACTTCTTATTATCGACTCACATTAACATTTTGTTTAAAACTTAGAAAGGGAGGAAAAGTGAGTTGCGAGGTTTTAGATCTCTCATATTTTTCTCCCTTAGTATTGAAGGAAAATAAATTATGATTTTTAAACTGCATGTGTCTGCTAAATTGGCTTTTGATCTTATCTTACTTCCCAATATTATTTTTATTAATGTTTAAGAGGATATAATATTATTATTTTTCTTAAAAATTAAACAAGGAGACTTTCTCTTTTTAAAGATGACAATTAGACCCGAATCACGTGTATATATAAAATAGTACCTACAATGAGGGAAAAAAAATAAAATTCCCACGACTTGAATGAGTAGTTACTTATAAATTTTTTTGGAATTAGGATGGGTATCGATGCTTTACTATCTAATCCACCGCATACGTATATATTATTTAATGTAATATATTTAAAATAAAAAATAAAATTTTATCTATAACCATGAAATTTATAGTCACAATTCATAAATTGGGTATTGTTTCCTCAATTTTTTCATCTTAAAATAAAATACTTTATTTTATTATAATAAGAATATAATATATTCGTCTTCATAACTGCGTCACACTACTACCTCTATGAAATCTTCTTCAAACTTATTAGTTGAAGAATGTTTATTGTATAGATCGGCCAACAAGTTCACTTCTATAAATAAAATATAAAATAGTATTGTTATTTAATTAAAATGTGAATAATGAGTTTTATAGACAAAGTATTTATGTACCTAACATAAAGATGGACATTTAAGTTGTTGTTTGTGTGAATTTAAGTCCACTATTTTTTTAAAACGCTAGAATGGTATAGATATTATAAAACTTAACACAAACTTGCACGGTACTATTTTTATTTCCTTTTTCTCCTTTAAATCAAATGCAATCTTATAGTAGTAAGGATTGACATTAGCCATCTTTGCAAGGAAAAGCAAAGCTACTTTGATGTTAGAAATTTAGATAAAGAAGGAAGGTTGAACCTATACTTTCAGTCAGCGACGCAGGAAAATTATCTAGCTCACATAAATTAATAAGAACAAACTCCTACTTTTAAATAAAAATAAAGCTGAAAAATGTGAGGCCAAACATCATCTTACCCTGTATATCTCACAATATTTATTACTCTGTTTAGTTTGCTTGCTACTGTCCACCAGATGAACTCTTTATTAAGGTAACTTTGTATATTTTTAACTATATACTAAAAATATATAAAAAATTAATATATACGAACTCTTGCTTGATTTTTAAATTCATACCACGATAGAAAATAGAAAGAAGGAAAAATAGAAGAAAAAAAATGTGAAGAGCAATGCAGTAAAAAAAGAAAGAGATAATAAAAAAATTGAGGTAAAAGAAAATAGATGTGAAATTATAAAAGCGATAACATTTAATTATGTTAAACAATTTATTTACATTGAGTGCTGGACATATTTAGTGTAACTTTCATTTGAAAGTAAATTATGATAACGTGGAAACTAAAAATTTATGGTTATCTGCAAAAACGTCTAATCCCCACGATGAATGCAGAGGATGAAAATTATAGAAACTCTGACGACTTTATCTACTGAGAGCTACTCACCGAAAAACAACATGTCTCTAAACAAATTATATATTCTCAACTACATTATTTTACGTATGTTTTTTTTTTCTATTATATTTTTAGATGTTTTTCTACTCATTTCTGACACATTTATAAATAATGAAAATATAATAATCCTATCAACTTTTTTAGAGATAATAATTAAATATGTACGTGTGCATGTGTGAGTATAAAAATAGTTCAACAAAATCCCTTCATGCTCGTCAAAACACAAGAAATTAATCTGTCTATCTGTCTCTCTTAACAAACAGAAATGGTAGGCGTTTTCCGGCGATCCCTTTCGTTTCCAAACAAAAACCCTAACCGTCCATCACATAAACCACACATATCCCACCACATAAGGTCCATAAGTCTTCCATCAAGATCTCACCCTCTCATTTCTCAGATCAAAGAGGACACAAAAAACCTCACAAAATGGGCCTCCAATTGCAATACCCATCCACTCGCATCCAAAGACCTTTCCCACGCATTGACCCTTCTCAAAGACACTCACGAAACGCTTCAACACATCCTCCACCTCCCTCAGACTCTAGACTCCCTCCGCTCCCACCCTATGTGGCTCGAGAATCTTCTAGAACACTTCCTCCGCTTCGTTGACGCTTATGGAATGTTCCAAACATCCCTCTTCGCTCTCAAGGAGGACCACTCTTCAGCTCAGATGGCTTTAAGGAAGCGCGACGAATCCAAGGTTGTTGCGTACGTCAAAGCTAAGAAGAAAATCGCCAAGGAAATGGAGATGCTCGTGTCTGGTCTTAGATGTGTCACTGTCAGTGTCACCCAACATCAACAAAGCATGCTTCACGTTCCTGCGTCCGTGGTGGACGCTGAACTGAGACACGTCATCGCTGATGTTATGAGCGTGACGGTGTCCGTTTCCGTTGCTCTGTTCAACGGGATCGCTACGTCGTTTGCGTCTAGAAGGTTGTCGTGGGTGCAAATGGTGAAGTTGTCTAGAATAGGTGGGAGAGTAAAGAAGGAAAATGAAGGCATTGAAGAACTTCGACAGCGTGATGGGGTGGAAAGCCTGAAGAATCTGAAAAATAAGGGAGATGAAGAGATGAGATTGGTTTTTAAGAGAATGCGGGATTTGGAAGAATGTATCTGTGCCATTGAAACTGTTAGCGAGAAAGTCTTTAGGGCTTTGATTAATTCTCGGGTTGCACTGCTCAACACTCTTACCCTGACACAGTAGATACTTGTATTTTTTATTTTTTTTAACAATATTTTTCATTTTCTTAATGTATTTTTCTTATTATTCTTTTTAACGGCATACAAGGATACGACAATGATAATATTTCATGCTCTCGTTCATGTAAACACACAAATATTATGACAACAACATATTGAATCGAAAGGCGTTATAAAGATTAATTTGAATTCATTTCCTATCTTTCTCATTTATTTCTTTTTGAAGTTATTTTCGCCGAATTTGTGAGGATTGAACCTGCATAAACACGCTTGGTAATTGACTGTGAATTCAATACTTAGATCGCGCATTTCTACGCTGTAGAAATTAAAGATCACCGGAGCGTGACTTATACGTGTAAGCAAATTTAATTGATCGATATCTCATGAATTAATTAACCTCATGTTCACGTAGCCAAGTGACCGTTTTACAGAATAAGATATGATAAATTGTTTGTTTTTCAACTTTACATTTCATTATTTAGGAAACGGAGAAGAAGAGTTAATAATTACGAATTTCCTTAAAAAAAAGAGAAGAAAAGAGGAAAGCCTGGGACTGCAGGGTTTGCGCGATGAGCCATTCGTGACGCACATGGCATGTTCAGGGTTCTTTAATAGGAAGACGACATGAAGCACGATGACAACTAATCAATATAGGCAAAGCCTAAAACCGCAAAGGATAAAAAGGGTCGCACGTTAGTCCTACTTCAAATCGCCAACTTCTGAAATATAATTAGAGCACAACTGAACGTTAAGAGGATGTGGGTTTAGTCTTTCTTAATTATTATGATTATTTTATTTTTATTGTCGATCGATTTGTGATATTGAAGTTTAAAATTACAATTGCATATAAATTATTATTTTTATCGTTGATCATTTATTATTATAATAATTTTATGGAGCTGATTGATGATTAATGAACCCTTGAAATGCAGTTTAAAGAATTTTTAAATCAGTATGTATGTTTTAATTTTAAAGTTAGGTTATGCGGGGTCTCTCAATCATTCCTTCATTATTAAGACAGTTGCTGAAGAAAATCAATCTTTCTAATAATTGGCCCTGGTTCCTCTTGCTCCTCAACTTGTGTAATGAAAACGAATTGTTCACCGGCACAGACAGGGGATTTTCGCTCATGACAGTATGGGGTTGGCATGCTTCTAGCAGGCCTAATTCCGCTAATCACATGTTGGTGTGGTCCATGTTCTCGTGTTAGTTGCAACTGTACTAAAAACGTGGTTATACTTTAAATATCTACAGCAATATGATGTTTTGCTTTGAGTTGCAGCTGCTAAAGATGAGTCAAATCTTGCTCTTCTAAATTGTCTGTATGATTCTTCTACATAATTTTATTTCCTATAATGCTCATTTTTTTTTTATGTCCGGAGAGACCAACCTTTTCCGGTTCTTTTGCAAGACGCAAGTTTTGTACAAAACAACTGCTTTCCTAAAATAATTGCTATTTAAGATTTGCGTATATAAATCAACAAGATACGCTATAATTGGAAAAACAAAACTAAATTTCTTAAACAAATTATATAGTATTCAACATTCCTAGCAATGTTTATAAAAAAAAATGTTGAGAAAGAAATTAGATTCTAGCAATTGATGACACTTGATTAATTATACACACAAGAGAATTTTTCATAAAATTAAAAGGTTATCAAACAATTTTAGTTTTAAGAAAGTGTAATTTTATTTTACTGAATCAATTTTTCGCTACAATATTAATATTTCTTCTTCCTTTGTAGCAATTTGGTTAAAGAGAAATGAAAAAAAAAAAAAAAAAAAAAAACGACAGCGAAGAGAGGAAAATTTTTATTTTTTTTTCTCTTTCAACTTTTGTATCTCACCTAGATTGGAAGACTTTATTTTTCTTTTCCTTGTGAGACCTTGTCTTTCTTTCTTAAATCAAACTGTCAATGAAAGAGAATGATAAAAAAAAATAATGTTTTTTTGTTTTCATAAATAAAATGAAAAAAGTAAATATTTTAAAATGATTATTATTTTATAGTAATAAAAGTACTATAGAAAAACTATAACGGACAGTAAAATAATGTTATCTTAGTTTGACTATTCACATGACTACGAAAGACGTCATATTGTAAATCACCCTACCATAAACAATTAAAATAACTTGGCTTAATAAATTAGTAGATCGAATAATTAAGGGGGTTTCATGAACCACGTACATCCAATTAAGTGATCCAACAGTTGTCGCTGCAGTTTAGGGGCTACATATTTTATAAAAAAAAAATGTTATTTTATTTTATTTTTAATTACAAACTTGTCATATTATTTTATTTATTGTAAAATTGGTACAATAAACAATAAAAATACTTTTTCTGTTTTTATTTTTATACAAATTTTTAAAAATAAAAATAAGATATTAAAATTATAAAAAAATTAAAAAATAAAAAGTTTCTGAAGCTAAGCGACTTTTCAAATTTTCTCGGCGGTGTGCCACCGGAAGAAGAAGAGATAACTAAAATGACATTATAGATTCAATCGTTCCATTCGGTTCAAGTTTTAAAACAGATTATAAGTTTATGTTGTGACATAATTTTACAATGAACCAAACTTAAAATTTGTAATTCAACTCTGACCTCCTTTTAATTTTTGGGCCCTGGACACATTACGAAGGCAGTGCGGGCTTGTGCTCTTGTGGAGTTAATACGTTATAGGCCTATCGTCATCTGAACGCAGAATTTCGTTAAACTCTAAGCCTCTTTAAGGCTCTACAGAGTGTTTAACATTTCGTTCAGAATCAGACCCGAATCACATGTGCATATATAAAAAAGTACCTGCAATCAGAAAATATATATATACCTACGACTTGAATGAGGATTTACTTATAATTTTTTTTGTGTAATAAGGATGGGTATCGATGCTTTACAATCTAATCCACCGTATACTTGTACATTGTTTAATGTAATAGATTTAAAATAAAAATTAACATTACATCTATAACCATGAAATTTGTAGTCACAACTCATAAATTGCATATTATTTACTCAATTTTTTCATCGTAAAATAAATAACTTTATTTTACTATCATAATAAACTAATCTGTTGGTCTTCATAATTGCGCCACACTACTACCTCTGTGAATTTTTTTTCAAACTTATTTGTTGAAGAACATTTATCGTAGATCAGCTAACAGGTTCATTTCTATAAGTAAAATATAAATTTTTATTTAATTAAAATGTGAATAATGAGTTTTATGGATAAAATTTGTATGTACCTAACATAAAGATGGACATTTAAGTTGTTATTCGTGTGAATATAAGTCCAAGATTTTCTTTAAAATGTTAGAATGGTATAGACATTATAAAACTTATCACAAACTTGCACGGTAGAATTTTTATTTCCTTTTTCTCCTTTAAATCAAATACACTCTTATAGTAGTGAGGATTGACATTAGCCATCTTTGCAAGGAAAAGCAAGGCTACTTTGATGTTAGAAATTTAGATAAAGAACGAAGGTTGAACCTATACTTTCAGTTAGCGACGCAGGAAAATTATCTAGCTCACATAAATTAATAAGAACAAATTCCTACTTTTAAATAGAAATAAAGCTGAAAAATGTGAAGTGAAACATCATCTTACCCTATATATCTCACAACATTTATTACTCTGTTTTTGCTAGCTACTGTCCACCAGACGAGCTCTTTGTTAATGTAACTATGTTTTATAACGTTCCTGTTGGTTCGTTGAATAAATAAAATGAAATATTTTGTTTCAAATATTAATAAATACTAATTAAATTGTAACCAAAGACTGAATTGAATTTGCTGATGTATGAGATTCCTTCTTTCTTTTCTTGGTGGTTTTAAAATTTGTTTGGGAGTGGAAGGAAAATTAATTGCTTAATGTTAAAAATATATCCCATAATCTGACACTGACACGCCATCCGTTGTGCGTCACACTAATTAATATGACCAAAATTACCATTTGGTTTACAATGCTTACTTTTGGCAGAATGAAAAAGAGATAACATATTGAAATAGGAAAATAACTGTAGTAGATATTAGTTTATAAAATGAATCTATAACAATCAATTAAAAATATTTTTAATATATACTAAAAATGTAATTACATATTAAAATTAATACAGACTTCATTAGATTAATAATAATTTAAAAATAATCTATACAAACTCTTGAGGTAAAAAGATGTGACGAGCAATGCAGTAAAAAAAGAAAGAGAGAATAAAAAAATTGAGGTATAAGAAAATAGATGTGAAATTATAAAAGCTATAACATTTAATTATGTTAAACAATTTATGTACATCGAGTGGTGGACATATTTAGTGTAACTTTCAGTTGAAAGTAAATTATGATAATGTGGTTGTAATCAATAAAGTTATGGTTATCTGTAAAAACGCCTAATCCCCACGATGAATGTAGAGGATGAAAAATATAAAAACTCTAACGACTTTATTTAGTGACAGCGACCCACCGAAAAAGCAACATGTCTCTAAACAAATTGCAATTTCCGAATTTTCTGCCTTTTATCATACGTATATGTATCAGTGCATTTAGACTTTAGTCGCAGACTTTTGCCTTGTTCCTGTCGGAAGGGGAATGTTTGGCATTCGAGGTTCCCAAGGTATTTAAAATTATCGATTTAAGAAGAGCGAAAACTTAGTAGAATTATAATATGGTTTTATTATCCTCAGCCCTTTAACATTGAATTTAAGTATCCGTTAATAAAAATTTTATTATTATTAATTATTTATCTTTAATCTTTAAAGTTGAAGTTAACCAAATCTATTATAATAATATATAAGACACGACTGTTACTATATATTTTGTCCAGCTTAAGTACCGAAGAACTACACCACTGTATAGAAAAGATGGAAGCAGATACTTGGATGAAGAGAAGGCATACATATGCATACAAAACTCCTCAACTCAGTGACTTGGAATTCCACTTCAAAGCCTTCTTTTGATGTAAAGACAGATTTAACTTCCCATCGAGGGTAAAGGACATTAATTAGAAACTTTATTCTAAATATAATAGCTTTGTTCCCATTCCACATCCTCCCACCTTCATCATATTGCCTCGATACCAACCCCTTAAAAATTCCATGTAATGTCATTATAATTCACTTTGAACTTAATGAAAGGAAATGATAACATTTGGATCCTTTCATTCATCTTCCTTATGATCGCTCAAAAAGCTAGAATATCCTTTGCCTTTAGCTTTGGCGAACAATAATTAGCATTGATGGCCTGGTTGAAAATTGCGCAAAATTAACGGACTACTACTCCGGTTGCAATAGCAATTAATAGCAGTTACCATGCCTTTCTTAGCGTCAATGATTTGGGCATCCAACGTCGTTATAACAAATTGTCCTTGTTTAACTTCAAGCTTTTAATGGTCCTTACTTCATCTCTATTTTTTAAGGAATGGTGCACCATTCAAAGTGAATTATTATTCCAAAACTTGTTATGCTACAATTTTTGCTCAAATTTCTTGCTGTCTTGCCTAATTCTTGCCCCCTTGGTGCCTCATTCCCGCTTAGAAGGGTCCAGAACAATCTCTTTGATCTTATAAGATCACTTTTTAGATAATAGTAAGTGGAATTTTACTCTTGTCAAACCCTTGCATCTTGTTAAGACTTCATATTTTGTTTCGGTTTAGATGACTTTTGGGGAATATTTTGACCAAAAATCTGTTAGTTACAGTTATACGTGAAGCTTAATTACTACAATAAATTATATATAAATACCTTAATTACTAAAGTATTCATATAAAAGTTAAGTCAAAGTACTAAACTTGTCTGAAATAAATTTTATGGTAAACTAGTTTTTTAGAATTTATAATATAAATTATTTAGTCATAACACGATTTATATGTTTAAATTAAGCTTATATTTAAGAAATTATAAAATTTGTTGTCATAATAATAACAATTTAAAATAATGTGATAATGATTTTTAATTTGATCAACATAAGAAACGGGTGAGTTATAAAAAAACAAAAAGAAAGAAAAGAAAAAGTAAAAACAGCATGTGGGACAAGTTGCACTATACAGTGATTTCCTTAAAAAGATTTGTTGTCTTTTTCCCTTTCCCTTGCAAACGTTCAAGCAAGTTTGAATACATCTAACGGCGATCACTGTTACTCTGAGTTAACTTACAAAACACACGCAAAAAAAAAGTAATAAACAGTAAAATGAGGACCACCGGTGCAAAAAAACTCAAAACATACAACAAAGAGACGTTACATGGCACTACCCGCCACTTTATTGTCACAGTTACACTTAGCGGTCCACTCCTAGTTCTAATAATTTTCCTTCAACGCCATAATCAAATCCACCAATTAACACAATTCGTGTATCCAATCAACTTCCCCGTAACCAAATGGTTCAATGATTCGAAACGTCACAGATTAAGAAGCTCCAAATCAATTTTTTTCCCTTCAACAAAAAAAGCGTTTTGCATTTACTTAAGGGTTTAGGGAGTCGTCGGAATCATGGGCTGCAACAGCTCAAGACTTGAACGGCTTCCGGCGGTGGCTTTATGCCGTGAACGTTGCAAATTCCTCAACGAAGCACTTCGTCAAAGCTATGCCCTCGCCGATGCCCACGTGGCACACATGGAGTCTCTCAAAACGCTTGGTCCCGCACTTCTCTGTTTCTTCGCTCATTTCGAAGATTCTGGAGAAACTAATTCCCCAATTAACGAAACTAAACCCTCCCTCCCTAAATCGCCACCTCCTCGTTCCCCATCTTCCTCTAGTTCAGACTCAGATGCGCACGTCCTTTTGCATTCTGAATTAGAAGCCGAAGACGTAGATAAAGGATTCCAAGTGTTCACTCAGAGTCGTTATGATTATGTACCCTCAGCTTCTGATAATGTCACTTTCACGAATTACGTGCAGCCTCTTTACCCTCCATTTTCTCCGCCGCCGTCGCCGCCGCCTCCGAGCAACTCGGCCTGGGATTTCTTGAACTTCTTTGAGCCGTACGAGAAATACCAAGTGCCTTACAGTGTTGGCGGTGACGCTGATGCAACGGAGAAGGAAAAGGGAAAGGTCACGAGTCACGAGAAAGGTGACGGGTCTAAATCTAAAGGAGGAGGTAATGTGAACGGAGAAGTGAACAACAAGGAGGGTGATTCGAAGGAAAAGAAATTGGTTTCAGAAAAAGAGGCAGTGGAGTCAGAGCAATGCAATTGCAGCGATTCGGCGAAGGTGAAAACAGGGAAAGGTTTTTCCGAGGCAGTGAAAGAGATTCAGGTTCTGTTTGAGAGAGCGTCGGATTCGGGGAACCCGATTTTGGAAATGCTGGACGTTGGAAAACTACGTTACCATCGAAACATTGATCTGAACCCAGGTAAGCACGAGTGTGACTGTTCCCAAATAAACTGGTTTTCTATGTTTTTCTTTTTTATTATATTTACGATTGATTAAAGTAATAAACGAGCGTGAGATTTTTGGGATCAGTTTCGTGCAAGATGATGCATGTGTTTACTCCCTCAAATTCACTTGCGGTTAAATGCATGGAATCCTCATCGCTAGGATGGAGGATGGGATCTGGATATCAAGGAGTTTATAAAGACAATGGCCTCAGCTACGCCAATCTCAGCTCTACTCTGAAGACGCTATGTATGTGGGAGAAGAAGCTCTATCATGAAGTCAAGGTATGAAGTTTTTCGATTCTTTTTTTTTTCGTTTGTTTTCTCATGAGATAGAGCGAGTTACCGAGATAAAAAAAATGAAGGAAAATCATGATATATCCATATTGAATATGTAACGAAGACTGGCATGGGTAGAAGCTGTTGGTTTGTCATTTAAATTTTAGCAAAATAAAAAAGTATTGAGGGTTGAAAGTTTTGTGTATTTGTTCTTTTGCAGGCTGAGGAGAAATTGCGCATACTTCACCAGAAGAAGTGTAGGCAGTTGAGACGCATGCGAAAAACGGATGCCGATGCGCACAAAGTAGATTCTGTTCAAACTTTTATTGGGATTTTAGCTACAAAAATGAAAATTTCTATCCAAGTAGTTGACAAGATATCCAATACCATTAGTAAGTTGAGGGAAGAGGAACTATGGCCGCAGATCACCAGATTTATTCTCACGTAAGTCATAGCTGGAGTTTTGTAACTCGGTCCGTGCTAAGTTCTTTGTTTGAACCTCGGTAGTTGACAGATGCAACCATGACCTTAAGTCAAAATAATTGTGTTGTTATGATTTACCTTTTATGAAAAGGGTTGAAAATTGGACAACTAAGAAGTCGTTTTTTGACTTTTGATGGCATGGTCTTGTATTTCAGTCTTTAGCCAACCACCATAAACAGTATGCAAAAGAACTGAGGAATGATTAGTCAGCAAGGTCGAGAAAATAATGACGCCCCTATATGCTGTAACAAACTCAACTGTAATAGAAACTTGAATCAGATAATTAGATAATAATAAAGATTATTCTAATTTCAAAGGTAAAGAAAAAATGAGTATGTGCCTTTTCCGGCAAAATAATTGAGTCAACCTCCTGAGTGCTGAGTGACTTCCTTATTTACAAGTTTATTTATTTTATATAGATTCTTTTGAATGTTTAATTGAACATTAATGCATCTATATTTCTTGCTTCAAGGCATCTATAACAGATTGTTATTTTCTTTCGATTTTTCTCCCTTTCTCCTTCCACCGGCTAATAACGGTTATTCACTTTGGAAAAGGTTTCTTCAAATGTGGGAAGATATGCAAGAATGTTACAAATGCCAATATCAGGAACTTGCTGAAGCCAGAACTTTACATGTCTCATCATTAAACAGAAAACGTGGCAATGATCATATTGATGCCGCAATAAACCTCAAATTTGAGGTACAGAAATGGAATTTGAGCTTCTCAGATTGGATTCATGCCCAGAAATCCCATGTGAAAGCCTTGAATGGTTGGCTAATAAAATGTCTATTATATGAACCCGAAGAAGTAACAGATGATTCAACTCCCTTCTCTCCTGACAAGATTGGAGCACCACCTGTGTTTGTGATCTGTAACAAATGGTCACAAGCAGTGGATAATCTCTCGGAAAAAAATGTAAGTGAAGCCGTAAATGGGTTTATGCTAAGAGTGAATGAGCTCTTGGAAAAGCATATTTTAGACCTTCAACAAAAGCTAACATTGGACAAAGAATTGGAGAGAAAAGTGAAAATGTTGGAAAGGCAGGAGCAAAAGATGCATAAAGTGGTGCAGGCTCGAGAGAGAAAGATGGTTCCAGTTGCCAAAGAAGAAACTGACGCGCTGTTACGAGGGGATGTTGTGCATCATGGTGACATCGTTGATGCTAATCACCTGCAAACGGGTCTGAAGAAGATCTTTGTTTCCATGGAGAGGTTCATTGCCACCACTGCTCGCTTATACGAAGAACTTCGCCAACAAATTAATAAACTAGACGACTACCATGTTTTGGGAGAATCCAACAAAAATGACTAGTTTTACACTTATTAGATTCGATGATTTTTGTAGGATTGAAGTTATCTCAAAATTTTCTGAACCTAATTTTATGTGTAGAGATATATGTTTACTTAATTTATTAATAATGTCACAGTTTATGTAGCCAAAACAAAATATTAATAATGCATTTAAAACCAGAATATATTATGATTGTAATGAATTTATGGACTATTGTTGGATTGCTGCCTTAACTAATCACACTGTCATGAGAGATGTGGAAAACAGGGAGCTGAAAAAATGCACGCCATTTAATGAAAATAAAAGGAACGAGTTGGGTTAAATTTTGGATCGAGAACACAAGTATTCTACGGTTTCTAATCCTGTTCGAGTTGGATAATGCATTTGTACTGAAATACAAATTTTAGTCTATAAATTAAATTGAAATATTTTTTATTAATTATTATAAGAAGGTTTTTTTTGACGTGATAACTAATATTTATTTTATGTCACTTTATTTTTTATTTTAAAATAATTATTGAACGTGATATGAATAAATATATGTCAGCTATGTAATATTAACAATAAATATTTTAAAAAATTAAATGGTTAATGGCTAAAATTTTAAAAATAAATACTAAAATAAAATTTATTTATATTTATATTTACATAAATTAAAAATATATTAAACTATTTAAAATCCATAAGTAAAAGCATATTAAAAAAAATTAATCTCACAACATATTATACAATTTTTAATTCCAACAGAGTAACATTCTCCATTGAGTAAAAATAATTATCATCTTAGTCAAATTAATTTAATTCCAAACAAAAACAACGGTCAAAGGAAAATATTATTTTAAAATTAATTAATTAAATTTAAATAATTTAGTTTTATTTTTTATGTATAAAACTAATTTATAGGACTTATTTATTTTTAATAACAATTATTAAAATATTTTTTGTTTTAGATTTTTTGGCACATAATCACAAGTTTCGTCCCTCTAATGAAAAAAATTTAATTTTTTATTTTTTAATTAAGTTTTCATATGTAAAAAAGATAAAATTTAATTTTTTAATTAAATTTCACCTGTAAAGACGAAACTAATTTAATGCTTAATTAAAAAATAATTAACAAGCATTAATTAAAAAATAAAAAATTAAATTTCAACTGTTGAGTAGATGTGACAAGATTTTAAGACAACGAAGTAACTTAAAATTTAAATTATTTTAGTAATTAGTTATTAAAAATAAATAAGCCAATTTACAGCCTTAGGTCGTACCTTGCCCCTATGGATGATTGACGTCGGCACATAACTCTAACACGTCACACAGGTAATGATAAAAGATAATAAACAAAAAATAAATCAAAGACTTTTTCTCAGATTAACACTGTTATTCCCTAACTCATTTTTTAAATTTAATATATTTTGAAATGCTTTTCTTCCTTTAACAATTATTTTATATATGATAAGGAGTTGAAATCCTTAATTAATGTGGACGTACTATGAGAGCACACCAAAAAAAGTAGCGTGATTTTACGAGATTGTGGAAAGACAAAAGGGCCCTTGGCGTATATAACAGACAAATCATGCAATAGAAGAGAGAGGCGACAGAGAGGTTTTGTCAGTGAAGACAGAGAGAGGACGAGAGGAAGAGGGAGAGAGAGAAACTGAAGGAAGAAGAAAAGAAAGCTGCGGCCGTTTTCGTAAAAAACCTCTTTCACCACACACACGCGTACACACGTCACAAACACACGGGTGTGTTGTCAGCCCCATTTCCTCGTTTCCGTTGTTTTCTTCTCCTCTTCTTCGCCTTCTCACTCTTCTATACACACTATACTATCCCTATGTTATTCTGCACAACATTTCATGTTCTATGCTTCACGCTATTGCTGTTTCACTCTCCCATCCTCCAAGTAATGGGTTGTTGCCAATCTCATTTTTCCAAATATTCTGTTTCTCAATACGACAACAACCGTCATTGTAACCATGGCGTTGCCTCTTCCTCTAACGCCGTTAACGTTCCGTCTTTCTCCGAGTTCTCACTCGCCGACCTCAGAGCCGCCACCAACGGCTTCAGCTCCGACCACATCGTCTCCGAGAGCGGCGAGAAAGCCCCCAATGTGGTCTTCAAAGGTCGCCTCCAAAACCATAACCGTCGTTGGATTGCCGTTAAGAGGTTTTCTAAGTTGGCCTGGCCCGATCCCAAGCAGTTCGCTGTGCGGTTTCTTTTACAATTCTCTGTAATCTTTCTGAATTCTGATTTCGCTGGCTTTGCTGGTTTGGTTTGTTTGAGTTTTACCCTTTTTGAGTTGTTTTGGCAGGACGAAGCTTGGGGTGTTGGCAATTTGAGGCACCACAGGCTTGCTAATTTGATTGGTTATTGCTGTGATGGGGATGAGAGGATTCTCGTTGCAGAGTACATGCCCAACGACACTCTCGCCAAACATCTTTTCCACTGTATGTCTTCTCCTTTGCTTTCTAGTTGCTGTTGCTTCAACCTTGCCGCTGTATTTTTTTGTCGCGTTTTCCATTTCCATTGTTTGAACCAATGCTTACACTGTTCTCTTAGATTTTTGTTGGAACAGTACTTGTGTCATGAACACCAAATCATTCAAGATATTTTTAGAAATACGGAAATAAAAGGAAATATATATGCAAATTATTTGCGTCCAATAGGATTTGAACCTATACCTACGGTGTAGAAGACCTCTGTAAAACAATGGACGCTTCTTTTTTTTCTTTAACCTTTTTTTAAACCTTAATTTAAAAAGAGGTTAAAGAAAAAAAGAATTCTATCTATCTATAGATATATATAGAGATAGATAGAATAAAATAAAAAAATAGAATAATAAAAAAATAATAAAATTCAGTTGAATATAAATACCGAAAACTAAGTTACAAAATCTTTTGGTTCTGATACTTAAGTATCGACTATGGATGCACTTTGCGTTATTCATTACAGTAAAATTGTCTTGCTCTGTAGCTTTGGCTTATGAAATCTTTTCTTTTTTCTCACTCTTTCCTTATGAGATCAGGGATTAAAGTAGCATCGTGGTTGTTTAACTTGCCATGAATACAGTATGTTTTATTTCCCTTCTGCACTTTCCACGTTATCAACAATTCAAATTTTTTTTATTTTGCTTTTCCCCATCTTTTCTTCTCTTCTAGGTGTTTATTTAACATTTTGGATTTCCATCAGCTAGTACAATGCCTACCTCGATGGCTACCTAGACCAAAATCTTGTTGTAAACGAACTTAAATTGTGTCTCAGCAAAGGGCTTCAAGTACATTCTGGGTATTCATAGAATCTACGAGTACAAACTATGACTTATGGTTACTTGCTGTAGTCTAGGTTACAAAAGTGTCAAAAAATACTACAAAATGCTAGGAAAAGAGGTAGTCGCTACTCGCTAGTAACTCTCATCCTTGTTGTGACTGAGTAGTGTTTAGGATCATTTGGAATTTTAACATTACCACTTATTCATAGGTGAGGAAGGTAACTACTCCTTCGGTTGACGACAATGTGTTTCATTGTGATTATGTCAAGCATCTCCAATGACTACTAAATTGATTCTCGTGTGAGCCTCATGAATAGGAGTTGTGCTTGTTGCTGTGAGAGGATGTGGAGAAAAATATTCTCCTCTCTTCATATGTGGTGGGGTAGAGTGTAAGCAAAAGTCAGTTTTTTCTTCTAATAAATCATGTTTTTGTTATTGTCAGTTAATATAAATTCCACTATGAACTCATAAAAGATGTTGATGTCGTTGCTATGTTTGATAACTGTTCTTCAGGGAATCTAGCACTTCTAGAGCCTTCTACTATAACTGCATCTGACATATTATCTTCTTTTTTCTTTCTTGCTGCCCTTTTGCATTAATTCAAACAGCCACTGCCTATCACTTTAGGTTAACCCTGCAGTTATGTATATAGCTTTTTACCTCATCAATGACAGGGGAAAATCAGACAATTGGATGGAACATGCGGTTAAGAGTTGCCCTATTCATCACTGAAGCATTAGATTATTGTAGTAACAAAGGTTATCCATTATACCATGACTTGAATGCTTACAGAGTTTTATTTGATGAGGTATTTTAAGACAATCCTTTTTTTTTCTATTATACCATGACTTGAATGCTTACACTGAGGTTGACAGTTGTTATACTAGTGTATATGCTTAATTTCACACACCCACACTTGTTCTCTCAGTCTCTGATTTTTGTTGGTAGTGTAGGAAAGTGTCACGTGAAATATACATGCATATTTGTTAAACAAAAAATGAGAGGTTTTCGTTTTTGCAGAATGGCGACCCCCGGCTTTCATGTTTTGGTCTGATTAAGAACAGCAGGGACGGGAAAAGTTATAGCACAAATCTTGCCTATACACCTCCTGAGTATCTGAGAAATGGTGCCTGCACGTTTCTGTAATGCTGTATCGCATCAATTTTTATGGTGTTCTTCCTCATGATCTCCCCCCCCCCCCCCTCCCTGAAATTCCTGTCATTTTTTTGTGTTAGCATTAAAATAGAAGTCCTCTTTTATCTTGTTGAACTAAAACTTCATAAAATCTATGAAGTTTAGTTAGAATTCATATTGTCTAAAGCTGCAAGTCTTCAACAATTTGATGTGACGCTGGATATGATAAAGATATTTGAAAGGGAATTCCAAGAGTCTATGTATCTATTAGTTACAAGTTTTCAAATAGTTTTTTAGCTCAATTATTGTCGATCTTCCTAGGTGATGTTTTATGTTGTATGTATGCTCTGTTTACCTTGAATATGAATATGATGGTAGTTTTACAACTTCTGGTAACAACTATGTTACATGTATTTTTGTAGGGAGGGTGACTCCAGAAAGTGTTATCTACAGCTTTGGGACTGTGTTATTGGATCTTCTAAGTGGAAAGCATATCCCTCCAAATCATGTAAGTATTCCCAAAACCATTAATTAACAAGTAGTCTATATTTTGGAACGATTTGGTCAGCGCCTTCTTTCTATATCATGTATATCTTGTGTCCAATACATGAATTGCTCTGTGGAAAATTAGTGACAATTATTTCGTTGTACAATCTTTCTTCTTGTAGTGTTTGTGTTATCCTTAATATAATTTCCATTTTCCATGTAATTTAGCATAGTATTGTTTTGTCTATGCAGGCTCTTGACATGATAAGGGGTAAAAACATTCGACTCCTTATGGATTCACATTTGGAGGGAAACTTTTCAACGGAAGAGGCAACTGTGGTTTTTGATCTTGCCTCACAATGTTTGCAGTATGAACCAAGGGAGCGGCCCAAGACCCAGGACCTTGTTACGACTCTTTCTCCACTACAAATTAAACCAGATGTGAGCTGCCCTTTTTTCTGTCGTTTACTTAAAAACTAGTTTTTCTCCTTCATGATTTTCATTAGATATCAGCTTTTGCATCATCACCTAAAGTATATTTGTTGCAAAATAAACCGAGTGCTCTGTATGCCATTGCCTACATATAAATTATGCCTCATCCAAGCCAGTGCTGTTCTGTAGAATCTATTAGTAGCCAGAGCAATGCTATTGACAGAAGCAAAATTAGATTAAAAAACATTACCCTCTGCAAATGCAAACCATTAGATCGCTTTATTAGGACATGAATTTGACATATTATTGAGATGCAATGGCTCTCCTCAAATTGTGTTCTCTTTGTTGTAAGAGCATCAATTTTCTCGTAGATATCTTCAGCTTATTGAAAGAGGGGGAAATGGGCTTTTCTGGCCCATTTAAAATATAACTACAACTAATTAGAAACTGACAGGGATGTTGAGCTAATAATTATGGCCTCTCTTGCTGTTAGGTTCCATCATATATTATGCTTGGAATTCCAAAGCGTGAGGAAGCACCTCCTACCCCACAGCATCCTCTGTCTCCATTGGGTGATGCTTGTTCTCGCATGGATCTTACTGCTATTCATCAGATTTTATTGATGACAAACTATAGAGATGACGAAGGGAGTAACGAGGTACTAACTTGATCGAAGTTCTCTAATGTTAATCTTTCGAACGTAACACTGAATATGTCTTCGTACACATTTTTAGTTATCTTTTCAAGAGTGGACCCAGCAAACGAGGGATATGCTGGAGGCAAGAAAGCATGGTGACTTGGCATTTCGTGACAAGAATTTTAGAACCTCAATTGAATGTTACTCCCAGGTACCTTACCTTCATCAGCATGCTATTATACTGAACCCTTAGCACAACGGTTTGTATTGTGGATATGTGACCCGGAGCTCCCCAGTGTTTTTTTCTTTGTGTACTTTATCGTATGCTGTTAATTTGATTTAAAAATGCAATCCAGTTCATCGATGTTGGAACCATGGTTTCCCCAACTGTCTATGCACGAAGAAGTCTTTGCTATCTCTTATGCGATCAACCAGATGCTGCTCTCAGAGACGCCATGCAAGCTCAGTGTGTCTATCCTGACTGGCCCACGGCATTTTACATGCAAGCGGTTGCTCTTTCCAAATTAAACATGAATAAGGATGCAGCTGACATGCTGAGTGAGGCCGCTGCTCTCGAGGAGAAAATGCAACGAGGAAAATAAACTTGGGTTCATAAACTTCTGCGTGGTTTTAGCGATGAATCCTTTGTATAGGAAATGGATTTTACTCAAAGGTATAACACAGAGGAACGAAGAACAAGATTTCTTTTGTACGTAAGCTGTGGTACTAATTTTTTGTCCTTGAATTTGATAAAATATTTAATTGATTCTTACAGTGTACATGTCTGAGCTTATCTTATAGTACAAACGAGAATACATTCCGTGACTTACGTTTATCATTACGCTACATATAATTCAGCCTTTCCATCTATGAATAGACTCATGAACTCTTCACCATCCACAGTTTCTTTTTCTATGAGAAGTTGAGCAAGCTTGTGAAGGATGTCGATGTGAGTTGTGATAATTTGCGTTGCTCTAGAATATGCTCTCTCTACCAGTTCCCTTACTTCCGCATCCACTACGTCGGCAGTTGCCATAGAGTAATCCTTTTGCGTTGACATCTGCAATTACAATTATTTTAAAAGGTGAGGCATTTATTGGTATTCAAGAACAACGATTATATTTGCGTTGACATTTATCGAAGGCATCAACCTACCTGTTGACCCAAAAATGGATTTCCACCAGGTCCTCCAATGGCAACTTGTCCAATTTTTCTGCTGAACCCAAATCTCTCAACCATCTGCCTCGCCACTCGTGAAACTTGCATAAAGTCATTTGACGCTCCAGTAGTGACATTTTCCCGGCCAAAAATAACCTCTTCAGCGACCCTGTTTTGCCATAGAGATAAGGAATTTATCAGATACTATTCGAATCTGAAAACTATGTATCTCACATCTATATGACTATATAACCACGTCCCATAAAATTATATATGTATCCAATAGACAATCAGAGTAGTCGATACGTAAGATTGACTTGCAAATATCAAAATCCAAAATCAAACAAGGTAATGTGCATTTTCCCACTGACCTTCCGCCCAGAGCAACTGCCATCTGATTTTCCAAGTAGCTTCTACTGTACAATCCAGACTCAAGCCTCTCTTCGCTGGGAGCAAAAAATGTGAGACCACCAGCTTGGCCACGAGGTATAATTGATATCTTGGCTACAGGGTCATATTCAGGCATTAATGCACCTACTAGAGCATGGCCAGCCTCTGAAAATCAACATGGAAAAAGAATGTTAATAGACCCAAAAAAGGATCCAAACTAAGGTATCTAACTTACAAAAATACATACCATGATAGGCTACCAATTTCTTCTTCTCATCTGACACCACAGCATTTTTCTTTTCGGGTCCAGCAATGATCCTTTCAAGAGCATCAGATATCTCATCTTTGCTAATTTCCTTTAGGTCACGCCTGGCCGCAAGAATAGCTGCTTCATTCATCAGATTCTGCAGATCAGCCCCTGTAAATCCAGGAGTTCTCCTAGCAATTTTTTCAAAGTCAACATCCTTTGCAAGTGCTTTTCCTCTAGAATGCACCTGACAGAGAAGAAAAGGTTTATTAATTATGATAACATAATAAAAATCTAAACAAAATATCAATATTTCAAGAACAGCTTTAGAAATACGTAGTTACATAAGGGGCTCACAGACCTGAAGGATTTTAACTCTGCCCGCAACATCGGGTCTATCCACGGTAACTTGCCTATCGAATCGACCAGGCCTTAGCAATGCAGAATCAAGAACGTCGGGTCTGTTAGTGGCAGCCAAAACAATGACACCGGAATTACCGGAAAAGCCATCCATCTCCGTCAAAAGCTGGTTAATAGTCTGTTCCCTCTCATCATTCCCACCACCGAGTCCAGCACCTCTCTGCCTCCCAACCGCATCAATTTCATCAATGAAAACAATGCAAGGAGCCTTCGACTTCGCCTTCTCAAACAAATCCCTCACCCTCGACGCACCAACCCCCACAAACAACTCCACGAATTCCGAAGCTGCACACGAAAAGAACGGCACGCCAGCTTCCCCCGCCACTGCCCTCGCCAAAAGGGTCTTCCCGGTTCCCGGTGGCCCCACCAGAAGACACCCTTTTGGAATCTTCGCGCCAAGCGCAGTGTACTTATCAGGGTTCTTCAGGAAATCAACCACCTCTTGCAGTTCCAGCTTCGCTTGGTCCGCACCCGCCACGTCAGCGAATGTCACCCCGGTCTCCGGTACTTCTTGGAATTTGGACTTACTCCGCCCGAAATCCATGGGTCCACCAAGCCCACCTGGCCCGCCCGGCCCGCCTTGGGCTCGCCGGAAGAGTAAAAACAGGCCCGTGAATGCAAGGAACGGGAACAATAAGTTGCCGATGATATTAAACAAACCATTATTCGCTTCCGCTTCGGCGACGGATATGTCGACGCCGTTCATGGCTAGAATGTCAATAAGGTCAGGGTCGTTGGGAACGATGACGGTGGCTCGGCGGCCATCGACGGCGGTGAGTTGAAGGGCAGAACCGTCTTTGCTGAACCTGACTCTCTCTACCTTGCCCTTCTTCACGGCATTCAAAAACTCGCTGTAACGCCATTGTGTACCTTCGGGTAGGTCAGAAGCGACCTGAGATTGGGGCTTTGGTGCCGTGAGGAGAAGGTTCTGAGAGAAAGGGGATGAATTAGAATTAGAAGGGTTTAGTTGGTTCGGTTGAGCTTCGATTACAGGTGGAGGGGTAATGTTATCAGCAGCTAGGGCTTGAGGGTTCGCACTCATACTCACGGAGGAAAATATAAGAGCAGCAATAGCCGCTTGTGAAGATGTGGAATTGAGTTGTTCTGAATCATTATTAGGTTTCTGAGCGTTTAAAATGGTTCTCTTGAAAAAGAATGGTAACGGAGTGGAAAATTTGGTTGTTTTGGGGGTTGGAGGAGATACTAGAACCTTCCTTCCAAGGAAGTTTGAAGAAAGCAACGCGCTGGTGGCGAAGGCCATTGTAGTGTGCTGCGGGTACGTTGGATCTCTACTCTATCTAGTGCCTAACCTTTGCACTTCTAAGTTGTTATAGATTTAGAACGTGTGGCTGCACCACCGAGGTTGAAACTTTGCCCAAGAAAATCTAAGGGTACTCACTGCTACACTTTTAAACTAACCGTTTTATGTAAGCGTTTTTTATGAATTGTGAAATCTGGATTATTAAATCTTCGATTTCGCTTACGAATCGTAGGAAAGTGGCAACCTGCGTGAATCCATGCCATAAATTCGAGTGGTGCTTATATCTCTTATACGTGGCCTACACTGGATCCATTTATTTACCGCCACCTCTACAACAAGCCCAAAAAAAAAAGGCGTGGCTGCAGGATTAATGCAAACTTTTTTTTTCCTTCGTCTTTGCTTGAGTACAGACTACTCAAGTTCCTCAACGCGGATTTTGCATCTTGGGCCTTTGGTGGGCTTTTGCCTCAGTCTGGACTCACCGCTTTATTGTGAAGCTGTTATACCTTACATGGACTTGGGGCCTTTAAATTGGCAAAATTTCCTTTTGTAGTTTGTACTTCCTTTTTCCGAATTACTTTTTTTTTGGTATCATCTGAAAGTAAAAATTTGGATTATATTAATCACTTCTGAAAAGTAAATATTAAAAGTGATTTTGTGTTTTGGGTCTTGCTGCTCCACGTACATTGCCTCTGATCTAAGTCTCACCATCTAACCGTTGTTAATTCAATCACGCGTACAAGAGAAAAATATAACTCAAACCCTTTTAGAGCTAATCCCTATTTAAACGTGGCCAGTTTCTTTTTCCCTCCATCACCTTGAAACGAGGCCACTACCCATAAAGGCAAAAAGAAAATTTGGAAAAAATAACCAGGTCTTCCGAATGAGGTGGTAGAGTAAATTCTTATTGAACGGAAAAAAAAATACAAGTCAACAACTTCTAATTGGTAGATGTTGAAAGGAAGGTTCAAATCTAAACCAGGTAAATAAATAGCTTATAAAATTGATAAATGTTAATTATATCCACTCTGTACATTAAACTTGTTAGATCTTATTTTACTTGAATGTAATTAGATTTTTAATTTATTCCTACTTTAAAATGACACTTTTTTATTTTAAATAGTTTTAAATTTAACTATACATATTTTGTAATTTTAAATGCTTTTAGTTTTTAATAAAAATTATGTGTTATAATTAAATATTTTAAAATTTACAAGTGAAAAAGCATAAGATGTTCTCAACATATAATATCCAAGTTAATATAGAACTTTATATCTCATTCAGCGAGCACACGTCTTTGCATTCTCATTACAACATTATTGGATATTGATTACTGGATAATAGACGAGTGGTCAGTGGTAATGATAGTTAAGACAAACATAAAATAAATAATGGGCGGTTAGGTGAAAGGAACAAGATAAACACGGACGTCATCAATCATACGTTTGTCTCCTGTACATCCTCCCCAAACCCATGATAATTATATAGTTAAATAATAAAATTTCATTTTAAAATATAACATCTAATATTATTAATATATTAAATTTAGTTATACTTGATAATTTTAATAAAAATATATAAATAATTTATTGTTGTATATCTTAAACACATTATAAAAAGTTGTAGCTATTAAATTAATCTTTCTCTCTTTTGCATATTATGAAAGGAGAAATGCAATTAATATACTGTTTTTAATATTTTTTTTATAATTGAATATTCGTGTGAGTTTCATTAAACAAGTTGGTTCACTTTTATCAGTGAAGCTAAAATAGAATTCAATTTCACCTAATAATAAAAAAAGGAGAATGTCAAATAGGATAGTGTTGTTTTTCTAAAAACAAAAGTATCTTTACACTGACTGGGGCAAAGACAGGGAAAAAAAGTGATAGCAAAAAAGTTTGTAAAAAACTTCAAAGGAATCTCCAAAGCAACTTTCGCAAAAGACGCCGCCTCAAACATGCATGCAACTACAAGACCCAACTACTTGGTCTCAAAGATTAATTTGCTATTTGATGGCAAACCATTGAAAAATGGGTGGTGCACTTGCCTTCAAAAGCCTAAAGATTTTTGTTTTGGTAGTTTTCCTCGAGCCTTCGTTGGTTGTCGAGAAAAAACTAGATAGACCACATGTTTAATACACGGCAAGCTGAAGACCCAAAAAAAGAGAGTATTTAAACGAACAGTGGGACAGCAATTGAGGGAAGAAACAACTAGGAACGGGCACAGTTTTGAGACCCTCTCTAGAAAAAAAAAGTGCATGGTAATAAGGATACACATGGCCACCTAACGATGCACAATACATGCAAGTAATCTTATTTTGTTTCCATGTCTATAAACTTATCGATACATATTTATATATATAAAAATAAAGATACAAAAGAAACTATTATTTATTTTTATAAATTGAGTACATAAAGTTTTTTTTTTTTCATTTTTCTCTTCTACTAAGTACTTATTGGTTAATCCAAACTAAACTTTGTATATATAAAGAAGCTTAAACTCAAAACTACACAAACTACAAAATAAACCTTAAAAACCAAATTCCGCGAGTATCTTCTTAAGAATAGAAATCTACTATATGTCCTTTGAGTCCCAAGATTTTGTAAATAGATCTAACAGTTTTTTTTGGAAAATGTTACATTATTAACGAGAAAACGGAGAGAATGAGAAAGAAAAGAGAAAAAATGGTAATAATGTAAAGTATGCAAATCATGTAAGGAAAATAAGATAAACAATTATCGTGCCTAACTCTTTTACACCTTTTGTTATACTTATATATTGGAGGGGAAAAAGAGATAGAGATGTGTATCATATATATATATATATATATATATATATATATATATATATATATATATATAATTTATTCAAATATTAAAAAGTGTTGTAAAAACAATATAATAATATCACGAACCACTAATATCGTTGCAACATTTCTCATTCTAAACTCAACTTGATGATCGCAAGCATTCGGGTCAAGTGCTTGTTTATTTTGTAACGAAATTTCGGTCTATAGTGGGATTATTTTTAGCTTTAAACATGCCCACTGTCTCATATTAATAAAATAGGTGGGGAAGCAAGGAGCAAATGTTTTAACAAATAGTCACTCATCTAATGTAATGATATTACATTACCTTTAAATGGTGATAGATATCGTTTTCAAAGAATTAAAATTTATTAGGATATATAAAAGCTAACAAAATAATTCAAAGATTAAAATTAAATAAAATTATATTTATAGAACAATCAAAAAGTATATTTAAGCATATCCTTTAATTTTCACTTAAAACCATCTTATAAAAATCATATTTAACAATAAGCATCAAATATAAAATATTTTTTTCTCATAAATGAGTACAAGAGAGTTTTATATATGTTTTTTTACAATAAAAATGAATTATGAATAATAAACCACATCTAGTTAACAAATAATTTTTATATTAGTTATCATGAATGGATAAATAATTCTTACTAATATGCTAAAATATAATTTGATAACAGTGTATTTTTCATATTAATATATTTCAATTAAACTCAAATATTAATAGATAAAACTTGTTTTCAAAATCATGATAACAGTGTCTATCATTTTTTAAATATATTTTATTTATTAATTTTTTTATTATATACTCTTTATACATGTTAAAAAAATCTTTACTCAAGTTATTGCAAAACTACTTAGATACCACATCTTGTGAGTGTTGTGACTAGATTTACTGAACTTCTTTCCATTATAAAACAGCAGCCACATGAATCCAAGCGGTGGGTTGGTCAATGAGACATACACCACGATGCACAACAACCAATAATTAAGTAATATCATCATCGTGAATGGAATAATGAAAAAAGGAATTATATGTATACGTTCCCTTCACCCAATGTTGTTACATATATATATAAAAGGATCCGCTAACCTTAAACTCCAAGTCGATTGTGACCTGACTTAGAAGAGTGTTGTGAAGAGTGGGACACAACACAAAGAGCAAAAACTTCGGCAATCATCATGGAGGAACTGGTGGAAGTGAAGGTTAGTACGAGACAGAGAGAAGCTCACAACTCTCTGACCATATCAACTCCACCACTTCAACTTCAGCTACGTTCTCCTTCTTTGGGCTTAAATGATTCGGTTCCTAAAACTCCGAAAAGCCCGTTTTCATCTCGTTTTATGAGCACTCCCTTAGCCAGCCCCGTGAAGAAGGCCCTTGAAAACATGCAAGGTTACCTCGAAGAAGTTGGTCGCTTCACTAAGCTTGACCCACAAGATGATTGGCTTCCCATCAGTGAGTCCAGAAAGGGAAACGCCTACTACGCTGCGTTTCATGTGCTTTGCTCAGGGATAGGATTTCAGGCCCTTGTTCTTCCCCTCGCCTTCACCATTCTTGGTTGGTGTGTTCTGTTGTCACACTAAGCTAAAATATACATCTATAAAATATGTTAGAATGAAAAAATGGTTCAATTTAATTTAATTTATTTTTTATTAATTTTAGTTTTTGCAATTTTTTTAAAAATATCACATATCTATATATATTACGTTACTTATCACTAAAATATTCACTAGTGTAATACGGTTAAATTTATGTTATATTATTGTAAAGATGAAAACCCATAGTTTTTTTTTAATAAAACTAAATTTAATCATATTTATCAAAGTTAAAAAATATTTAATTATATATTAATTGGAGTAGAGTGATCAATGCCTAACACTTCTTATGTTGGTGACTTGGTGTGTGTTGACGCAGGACTTGGGGAATCTTATGTCTGTGTGTGGCTTTTACGTGGCAACTCTACACCTTATGGTTACTGGTTCAGCTTCACGAATCGGACACTGGTGTGCGCCATAGCAGGTACCTTAGACTTGCTATGGCAGCATTCGGTAAGCACAGTTAGTTTTTTACGTATTGGGTGCAAACTCGCCAGTTCATAGATGCACAGAAGGCACAAATTTGAGTATTTCTTTTATCTATCAATTCATTCAAATACATCTGTTTAACCTAAAAAAGTTTCTATAAATAGCCCTATGCATACTTAATATTATATTTTATCACAAATTTTAATCTTTTTATCATATACGTGTACATCTTTGAAGAAAATTTTATAATGAAAACTAGACCTCCTGTCAGTCGTCTTCTATGCCGAGTCTTTTTCTTTTTAAAATTTTAAAGAAACATTTTTGAAAATGAAGGTAACTTCATGTTGTCACAATTTATTAAAATAAAACTTTAGATTTATTTGCATACGGTTCTATTCATTTTAAGAATAGGTAATTTCAAAATCTGCTACCGTGAATATACGATTCTCATCAAATATAAACACACCCGTACTTGTCTCATGCGAAGTCGAATAAAAGACACAAAGGTTACAAGCAAAAAATAAAAATAAAAATATATATATATATATATATATATATACTCACACCTTTCTTCTTATAATATTAACAAGTCAATTTGTGTCTCAAAAACTCAAGAAAAAGACAAATATATTTTAACCAAATAAAACATCAACTAAAATATTTCTTTGATTTTTTGAGGAATAACAGATAGATGAAAATATATAACCTATACTGATTATATATTTCTAATTTTAACAATATGGAAAGGAAACATCGATAGAATAAGTTGGATCCTTTCATGTTAATAATTAACATGATACAATTATGCTAGGAAAAAATACATTTTTTGTCAAATGATCCAGTTTCATTAATTAAAAAGTTAATAAGAAAAACATCTCTTTCTCCAACATAGAGAATCCAAATCCTTAGAATGATATGACGATACCTTGCTTGTATGTCGTTAGATAATAAGATCCTTTCTTAGTTAACAGTCTAAGATTTTGAAATAATTAATCCATAACATACAGTAATATCTTAAAGTACTAATCTAGTCTATCGTGAAGGAACAAGATGGACAAATGTTACAAAAAGACGTATGTTGATGGATTTGGTTGTTTTATGTACTTAAATTTGCTGTAACCTCTTCTAACCACATCCTTAAAAAGAAAAGAACAAAAAATGTATAACTTTAATTGTAAAAAAAAATATCATTTTCCTTTTGATTATACTGACGTCTGTTGTGCTTTAAGCTGGGCAGCTGGTCCATTAACAATAATTTTGTCATTTTTGAGGACCCATAACTAGAATAACTTACGGAGAGAGAGAAGCGTGTGTGTAATGTATACAACTACCCATCGTTATTAATGGTTTAATCAATTAAATAATGTTTATCATCTTTTGACCGAAATAAATCTTAGTCAACTAACAAGACAAAAGGACAAAACTGCAGGAGAAAAGATGGGAAAAGTGTTGGCACTCTTCCCAATCATGTACTTATCGGGTGGGACATGTGTGACACTCATAATGATCGGAGGTGGCACAATGAAGATATTCTTTCAGATAGTGTGCGGAGAGGAAAGCCCACTCAAAACCATAGAGTGGTATTTGTTGTTTACTTGCACTGCCATTTTGCTTGCCCAGCTACCAAACCTGAATTCCATAGCAGGGGTTTCCTTGATCGGAGCCATCACAGCTGTAGGTTATTGTGCTCTTATATGGGTAGTATCTGTAGTCCAAGGAAGACTTGATAATGTGTCCTATGAGCCAACGAAGGTACAATCAGAGGCCAATAGGATTTTTAGCGTGTGGAATGCACTAGGCATCATTGCCTTTGCTTTCCGAGGTCACAATCTTGTGTTGGAAATACAGGTAGGATAAGAAAGATGCCTTTATCCATTGTGTTACATCGTTATTTTTTCTTTAACTATTAAAAGCAGTTTCACTGTTGCTGAATTATCTCCCATAATTCAAATGTCTTTGTTTTTAGGGAACCATGCCTTCGGATGCTAAGCAACCCTCCCGTTTGGCCATGTGGAGAGGTGTCGTGTCTGCTTATCTAGTCATTGCTTTGTGTTTGTTTCCCCTTGCCATTGGAGGTTACTGGGCCTATGGAATTTCGGTAAGTACGGAATCTGTATTATTTTTTCAATTATTGACGATTGACCTCTTGCATTTTGATGCCAGATACCTACCAACGGAGGAATGTTAAGTGCTTTGAACAAATACCACGAACTTGATACATCAAAATCTATCATCGCTTTGACAAGCTTGTTAGTTGTCATAAACAGCCTCAGTTCCTTCCAAATCTATGCAATGCCAGTATTTGATAATTTGGAATCGAAATACACAAGCAAGATGAACAGACCATGCCCGAGGTGGCTACGAGTAACCTTCAGGGGACTATTTGGGTGCCTAGCATTTTTTATTGCTGTAGCATTACCATTCTTACCAAGTTTGGCAGGACTGATTGGAGGCGTTGCTCTACCAATAACCTTAGCTTATCCCTGTTTCATGTGGATAGAGATTAGGAAACCACAGAAATGCAGCACAAACTGGTATCTGAACTGGATACTCGGAGTTGTTGGTATGATTCTGAGTGTACTGGTTGTCATAGGAGCCATTTGGGGCATAGTTGTACAGGGCATAGAGATCCATTTCTTCAATCCACAGTAAGAATATATTATACTACTATCAATCACTATCCCCGAAGTTGATTTGGTCATTTGCATCAAGCATGCGGACTGCACAATCTTGGCTGTTACTGGTGACCCATTAGAGAGAAAATTGAGAGAATGCTTCACTTGTAGCAACCTCAACCATTGTATTCTGATTGTTTGATATCATTAATGAATCATGAGTCAATTTTATTTCATATATCATTAACATGAAGAATGTACAAGAAAAAAAAAAGACTTTGATTCTCAAGAAATCCGCACAGCGGAAGATCCTGAATTTGAAACTTTATACATCAAAAACATTCTCTTAACCGAAGGTATTCGTGCGTAGATGGCAATTCAAGATCAGCCTCGTAAAAATCTTATATTCCTTGAGAAAGTTCTACCACGTGGAAACGCTATTTAATGGAACTTTTTAAGTTAAATGTGGAACGGCCCAATACATATTCCACTGAAAAATTAAGAATCGACATATAGGTAAATGTTTTCACATCATCATCCAAAGTGAAGTTAACAAGGGTTACATTTTTCATAAAAGGGCAACACCACAGAAATATCTCCAAGAAAGAGCAAAGCTGCAACACTTTGCATCTACCATTTAAGCACCTTGTGCACAATATTACAGTGCCAAAACTATCTCGTACATGTGTCGTCATTATACAATAACTCATCTGACAGTATTTGAACTTTCAATGTAAGCACGTTACACTATCAAGGGGTCAAAAGCCTCAACAGTACCTTGCACCAGTTGCACTACATATACAAAAACAAATAGCAAAAGAAATGCCAAATATATAGGTTGAGTTGTGACGAAGACCTTAGCACTACTAAGCCATACCACCTCCGATAACGATCTACATCAACCAATTGGATAAGCTTGTGTTGATGTAGAAATATCAATTATATACTTTAGGTGACTTGCTATAGGCGGAATCAGAAGTTACACAATCCAGTGATGAATGAGAAGCTGGACCTATGGAAATGGTCAAGATTGGCCACGACCCTACGCCAGTAAACGGGAAGAAATTAAAAAGGATATGCCAAAGATCAACACTTGATACCGTTTTACATTGACAATGGAAGAAGCATCCTTCGTTTCTTTTTCCTTGCCAGTCTTACTTGCTTTGTGATTTTCATGCATAGAAGTAATAGAACCGTGATGCAGACTAAAATAAAAGCAAGCTGGATGTGCTTGAAGTACAAAGAGACTACAGAAAAAACCAAGAAAGCTAAAATAACAAGTTCCCATATTACAAAAACCACGACATCCACCCTGCACCACAATACAAAAACAAAATACATCATTATCACCATATTATGTTATACAACAAACACTAACAAATAGACAGCAACCAATCCTACTAAAAATACTGAAACTATTTTGGTAACATTTCGGCATCCTAACTCCTAAGTTAGTAGTTTGACAAAGTAATCTGTTGGAAGTAGGACTGGACAAAAAATCCAGTTTTATAAGTAGAATTCATAACCAATATTAAATTAGTTTAAAAAATCTAGATCTATATTAAATTAATTTTTTGATTAACTATATTTATATAACTGATTTAGTATCTAAATTTATTTTTTAAAATCAGATTTTTTTCTTTATTTATCCAAATCAATTCGTATGAAAATAATATTTTATATTTTTATTTATTAAATCTCCACATTATATAAGTTTACAAAATTTTATCGTAACTACGTTTTATCATTAATATTTTTTTTATTAATCTTAATTCTTATAATTAAAATTAAATATTTAAAATAATATTTTTAAAATATAATTATTATATTAAAGATACTAAAATATAACAAATATTTTTAAATTAATTACTACTATTGTTTTTATATTTATGTTTATTTTTTAATTTTTAAAATATTATAACATAATAATTTTTATTTTTTTTATAAGTTTTAATTTAAACTTTTATCATTAACAAAAAAATAATAATAAATATTTTATAAAATATAATATAATTAATAAATATTACTAAAATCTTTTTAAAATGCACTAATTTAATGAAACATTACGAATAACAAATTAATTTTACCTTAAAAAACAAAATTCATAGATGTATTAAAAATTAATTGTGTTAAAAATTAAATTTAAAATTTAATTTAAAACTAGCTTCAACAAAAATCAAATTTAAAATCAATTTTAAACTAAATTTAAATTTCAAAACAACTTTTAAACCGATTAAAAAAATAAAATAAAATAGTTTAAAATTTAATCCATATAGTTAGTTTGTGTGATAGATAGATGAGAAAAAAAATAGAATATATCTAAATATTTATTAGTTTAATAAAATATATACAAATATTTTCTTAACATGTATTGTTAATTCCTGCAGAGATGTAATGGATTAAAGTATCCATTATACTCATATTTTATTTTTAATAAAATAATTTAATAATGATATAAAAAATATTCATAATATATTTTTATCATATTTAAAACTAGTTTTAAACCAAATTCAAATTTTAAAACCAAATTTAAACCAGTTTTTAAAAAAATTAAAATAGATTGGTTTATAATTCAATTCATATAATTAGATTTTAAATGGATTTAGATTAATTTTTTGGAAATCTAATCCATGCCCATCCCTAGTTGGAGGGGAAGGAGAGGGGAGAAGGGATGATTTTTTTTCTCTTGTTTGGTTCAGAAATTTAGATGGGAGAGGAAATGATGGGGGCCAAAATCCCTCCCCTCCCATTTCTGTCTCATGTCCAATATTGGGGGGATTTAGAGGAGAGGGAAAGTAGTTTATAATACTTGGACTTATTGACTAAATTGTCCAGAGATTTTATTCTTCCTCTCCTGCCCTCCATTAATTGTTATAAGGTTATACTCCCCTCCCCTGCAATAAAAAGCCCTCCCTTCCCCACTGCTCCTTTGAACGAAGCAGTTCATGAATGCATCAATACGTGATGGTAATGAATCCAATCAAATGAAGACAACTTTTTTTTTCTTTTATAAAACAAACACATTTGATCTTTTAAACTATAATTGTTAAATATGCTTCCATAAACCAACCAAGTGAAGCAACCCCCGTCGTCCAGCTCCATAATATAAAACATCACGGTTCAAGTTTCTCCAATTGTATCAGTTACCAAGAAGTGTGGCAACTGAAAACAATTAGGATATTCATCTTCAGCTAGAAAGAACTTAAGCAGGTGGAGACAAAACCAGTAATCAGTCAACATTTTTTCACCCTCTTCATCCCAAACTTTGATAATTGTAAAGGTAAAACATTAATTTGTGTTTACTGTTAGCAATACCTTTTCAAGTTCAACAAAAAAAAGACATACTGATGATTATAGATGATTCCAAAGGTTTGTGAAGCAATGACAATAAGCAAATACACATGCCATCAACAGAAGAAAGATGATTTATTAGTACAAAATTGAAAATATTTTAGAGATCCCCCTTAACATAAAATGAGTAAAACCTGTTCCAAAAGAAGCAGAATATCTGAGATCAAAAGTGTATGGGAAGAGGAAATTCAGATTGAATAATCATCACTTGATCACTTGAGTCGTGATTCAGGAGAAACTTTTGTTGGTTTGATCAAGCTATACTTGTCATCCTAACCAATTGTGCTAACACTTGGAACTTAACTAAAGAATCTAGACAAGCACTCCAATATAGACACCGTCGAGATCAGATTTGAAAACATACCAATCTTCTCCTATTCCTACCCATCACAATCCCCCTAAGTAACTACTGTCTATGCACTTGTTTTGATTTTGCAGCCAATGAACCTGATAACTACTTGTCCCCATTTTCACCCTAGCCTAATTTCAATTTTCAATATTATGCCCAGAAAAGTATGAGTTCTATTTTCAAGATTACCAAATACTATCAATCAAAACCATGTTTTATGTCTGTATTCATTAACTATCCAATATCCCGGTTAAGAAAACCTAACTTGAATTCGATAACAAGATTAGGCAAATCATTATGTCAAACTCAAGTGGGTGCGTGCCAGGGAGCAAATCGAATACTAATCCAGACAACCACACCGAAACGAATCAACCTGTACCTGCCTAATATTTCATCTATTGTAATATTTTCTTCCTAAATCATATCTTACAAACAACAATTTCCATCTTAAAAAAAACATAAAGTGAAATAATAGGAATCGTACCAAAATCAAACATTGCAACTAAAAAATATTCAAAGCTAGGAAGCCTAACGAAATACATGATTTGTAATGTCATTTGTACAATTATTGTGAAAAAATAAAATAAAAGGGTGTTTGAAGAATTAATGGAGATATTTATTTTAAAAGGCAAATATTCATAAATTGAAAATTATTTTAAAATGATAACACGACAGTCTGGTATGGCATACCTGGAAGTGGTGATATTTGAAGAAGTTGAGGAGAAGAACGAGACGGAGGCCCAGTCATGCTTGGATCGAATCTGATACTCTCGCAGCTGTTCGGCCAGATTCGATCGCGTTATCATGGTAGCCCCTCTCTCTCTCTCTTCTTAAACCAGAAAGAAACTCTTTGATTCTCTCTCTAAAACGAAGACTTCTTCTATGGCGACCTTTTCAGAGCCAGAAACTAATTTCATTGGAATTGGAGCACGAACCATCTAGCATCCATTTTGTTTAAGTTTTCAAACGGGCCGACATTAACCCAATTTACCGGCTTTAGAATTTAGCCCAATTATTGCTTATTGAACACCCTAATGTATTCGGGCTTAGGCCTGTTTTCCGTTTTGTTAATCGGGCTCGAGCTCAATTCTGGACCATATATGGATTCATGATGATCTGATAAAGAAGGACTAAACTAGTTAGAAAACATTACCCCATAAGCGGCTTTATTTTGCCCTTCCGGGGTTAATTTTAAAAAAAAATATTAAAATAGAATTTTATGAAATAAATTCCCAGTTTAGGGTTGGAGGTTCACATGACAAGAAAATCATCCCGAACAAGAATAACATAGGTGCTGACGTGTCAAACTGTGACAGTATCATCCCATTAAGAGACGACCCTCACGAAATGACGACACGTGTTATCTCATAAACTAGTATCGTCTTATTTAAAACGATTTTAGTAGCGTCCACAACAGAGACTATTTTAATACGACAAATGGATAAAAATTTTAATACATTCTTTTATCTAAATTATTCCAAATTGAAATGTGTATAAATACTTCTAACAGACGTGCCACAACAAAAGATGTTTCACCGACCACAACATCCACATATATTTCAACTACATTCCTATGATGTGGTTGTTGACAGACACTTATCGTGCAATCTATGTCTTCATTTGAATATAATATAACAACAATTTCATTCATCCTACATTAAAAATAAGCTAAGCTCATTTAAAAATTAATTTATAATATAATAAATTATATTTATAAATTCATTTGTAATTATAAATATGTAAATATTTAATTTTTAAATAACAAAAAAAATTAAATTACAACTTTAACACTTAATGGCCATTAAAAATACAATTTAAATATCATTATTCAAAATAAAAATTCTTAATAGCCATTAAAAATAATTTATATATTTGTAATGCTTAAAATCTATGATTGTGATTTATTGTCCAACTCCACACTTGCTATATCTTGTCGAACCACTGCTATTCCTTCTCGTGCTCCATGGTCGTATTTATACACATTATAATTTGGACAAAAGAATGTATTGAATTTTTTATTCACTAATCGCATTAAAATCGTCTCTGCTGTGGACGCTACTAAAATCGTCTTAACTGAGATGACACTAGTTCGTAGGATGACACATGTCGCTATTTCATGAGTGTCGTCTCCTAATAGGACAACACTATCACATCCCTATTTGGGAGGATTTTCTTGCCACGTGGACCTTAATTCCAGACTGATGATTTGTTTCCATGAAGTCCTATTTTGATAATTTTTTTTAAATTAACCCCAAAAGGATAAAAAAGCCCCATAAGCTAATGAAAAGAGCATCTAAAACCAAAGAAAAAAAATCAGAGAGAGAAAAAAATAACAAGAGGAAGTCATGTAATCCAAGGAAAGTATTTTTTGAGCCGAAAAAAGGGTTAGTAAGCTATAGGCTTTTTGAAACCTATTAACTACAATGGATGAATTAGTTAGTTTAAGAGTAATATTAAGCAAAAATAATAGGTGTCGTACATTAAATGTGATAGTTGCATACTAAAAAAGATATGTGCCACATTTTAGCACGTGAATCACTTTAAAGAACATAACATTTAATAAATTAATACAAGAAGCGTCACTTGTGTGCAATTAAAGGAGAGACATTACTCACCTTCTCATGCTTCATATATTGATGTTTGGCCAAATTTGAATATAAAATCATCATTCTCATACACATTTTATACGTTATTATCGATTTTTTCATCCTTTCACCTTTCTTTTGCTCATCTAGGAACCTACAACAGTAGTCTTATCACGAAAAAAATTACCAGTGATATAGTTAAAATTTATGCTGAGTGATATATATAAGAAAATCATTTATATTTAAAATTTCATAAAAAATTCATTTCTGTTAGATTTAACTCATGAATGTGCTTAAATATTTAAAAATGATTTTTATTAAGAGTAAATTATTTGTTACATTTTATAACTTTAATGTAATAAATGCTTTGTTTTTTAATAAAAAATTACCAATTTTAATTATTTAATGTATATAATATAAATGTTAAAATTGTTTCCTGTAACAAACAGAGTAACAAGATTGTTACCCGAGTTTTTCTTGAAAAATGGAACGCTATTTCTCTAATAATCTAACATACAGATTAAAACCATGAGCCTCTTTTGATTATTTTTGTAATTAAAAAATACCTTCCATCGCATTTTTTCTTCCTTTGATTTTTTTTTTCTGAGATTTTTCGTTTACAAAAAAACAATAGAGTAACAAGAAAGTAAGATGCATAAACACAGGTCATTCCGCCGATTTTCATTGTGACGAGTGGAGAAAGAAGGGAGGTTTAGGGTGAGTGGTTATCGCGTGACTTTCATTGGCCGCCGATGCCCATGGCTTCTTCCTCATCCACTCCCAATTCGAAGAAGGTATTAGGGTTTATGGCGAACGCCATGAAACAGAAGCACAGCTTTATTCAATTATTCGCAATGACGGGAATTATGCTCTTGAGCATGAGATCTTTGGGCCAGAAGTACCGAATCCATGGCCTTGAAGAAGACATTCACGCGCTCAGGTTGGAGCACGGTTCACTCGTTGACCGCGTTAAACACATCAAGAGCGACCTGCTCCGCGAAGCTTCTCATGACCCCACCGGCCTCTTCGCTGCTCGCCTTCGAGCTCTCTTTAGCCAACAATATTGATCTTCACCCCTCCCTGTGAGTTTTTTTTTTCTACTGCTTTTATGTTTCTCATTCTCCGAAGAAATCATTGTTAACTTTTAGAAACTGTATTTTTTTAATGCTTCATAAGTTGTTATAGTTTTCTGATAATAAAAATCAGACTCATGAATAATATTGGTTCTTTCTTTCTGAGGACGTTAAAATTCGTATTAATGCAATGTCCTGTGAGAAAGAATAAAGGAAAAATAGAAGTGATAGAAGCCTCTTTTTGGAATGTCGAAAGTGGAGTTACAAGTTTTACTGTTGCCTGCTATGATCAGATGAATTTTCTTCTTAAAGAGGATCGGTTATTAGAATTTATGTGTATGTTGATTTTGTGTTTTTATGTGAAGTGACTTTGATGGAGTAATACTTTAATTTCCCTTAGATTCTGGTGCCAAATCACTGTATTCCTTCTGGCATATGCCTCTACAATCAATAAGTTTTTTCGTTGTACAATAATTCAATGGTTCCCCAGGTATTTTTTATTTTGTGCCAAGGTTGCGCGCTCTGTAAACTTTAGCAGTTTCAGAGTTTATTAAGCAAGTTGAATCCACGCTTGTCCATGTATGTGACCAATTTTCTTTGATTGATAATTGGAAACATTCAGTGAATCTGTTCTTCAATGAAAATCACAATTAGTTGAATCAAACATACATATTGGGGTTCAAGTGTCATCCTCTCTTACCTTACCTTGGTTTTGGTTAATTCTTTATCTTGTTTTTACTTTTGTAACATTTTTGTCCTGCACACTGTCGAAGTCAAAAAAATGAAATATACACTGTCATTTGGCCTGTTTTCCCTTTCCACAATGGTTTATTAAATTTGACCACTCTTGGTCCGGGAAAAAATGGTCCATAGAGAGTAAAAAAAACCTTAATCAGATTTTTGAAATTTTGATTTATTACCGAGTTCAATATAGTCGTATGATTTGTGTAGCTGAGTTCATCTAATAAGGTTCGGTTGTTGTATGGCGATTTGATGCTCACTCATGAGCACACACACTTGCACACATGTCACCTGAATTCACATTTGGATTTTCAACTAACAAACCTATTTAACAAAAAACTTTGTATACTTAACCACTGAATTCAGTCTTTCATTGTAAAAAACTTCAAATCATTCTTTTGAATTGGCCTAGAAGACCAATGGTAACGTTTTTCATATAGTATGGTGATTACCTTCTAGGTTGTAACACATGATCACAATTCTTTTTAAACTGGTGGTTAAGTGTCAAGATTCCACAATGGATAGGTGTATTGTCAAAATACTACTTATAATGAGTTGGGCAGCACCCTTTCCTCAGGCTACCTTTTGCTGTTACAACTTTTATAATATGATACTGTAGCCTATCCAATCTTGATGTGACTAGTTGACACATCATATGACATGTGCTCTAATGTGTGAAGGGTGAGTAAATAACATTATTGATTCTTAATTTTACTCGGCACGAGAAACTATTTGGCATTAGTTGTTAGCTATCAAACCAATAGGAGTGGATTTTGGTATTTTACAAGGTTTTGTTCACTATTGTCGTAAAGACACTTGATAGTAACTGAAAAGTAAAGAATTTTGAGTTTGCAATGTATTAAATGTTTTATTTTTTTATTTAATTAATACTTTTTTTAACAAGTTTTATAACGTCATTTAAGCAAAACCCTATTTTATGTGAAGTCTAGGTTTTAAACCTTGGAAATGTTCTTCGGTAGGTGTCACTTACACTCACTTAAGATGCCCAGAAATAAGAAAAAGGAATTGTGATGACGTGTTTACAAATAGACTTTTTTAATATTTTAAAATTTAATGTATTGTCACTTTTTTATTTTGTGTATTTAAAGATTGATATTTGGGCAACTGTCTGGACAAGTTTTTACTGTGTTTGCTCCGCTTCCAAGGTGAAAAGCCAGAACAGCATAAATCACACATTTGACTGTGTAGGTCAAATGAAACTTGGGCTTGTTTGATTTAAAGCTAAAATTTAAATTATCATATTGTTCAATAGAAAATACACATTTTAATAAAAATGTGCGATTTAAATTAACTTACGCATACATTTTAATTAAATTTAATAGCTTAAAATTAATATTTATAATTTTATTCAATTTTAAATCCAATGCCTCGGCAACATATTAGTGCATTTTTCACTACGATCGACTCCCAAAAGCAACACCGTTGGGTACAGAAGAACTCCTGATAATGTGTGCCGGTTCTTGATGTATTTCGCTCGATAAATCGGACAAGTGCGTTAATCAAGATGTGGAATCGTTTAGATTAGTAAGCGCATGCTTGATGGTGTATACAAGCGCGATAATTTTATAAAATTATTTTTAGTTTATATATAATGACATGCAATAAGAATTTATATATGATAAGTTTACGTGAAAATTACAGGATTTAGTGCATTAAAAGTTACATAATTTTTAATAAAATTTTATTATTTACTAAAATTTCATCGTGTGTGATTATATATATGTTTAAAAATTATTTTAAAAATTAATTAAGTACCATATGATGATCATAGATGTATTTGACAATCACATGCAACTAAAATGTTCACTGTGGTAAGCAGTGGAAGTCCTTAATTTTGGAGGCCTCTTAATAAGAAATGTTTGTTTTCGTTGATTACTTATACGATAACAATAATCCCAACATATAGACAGTAGTTAGAGTAGGTTCCTCAGTTTTAAATTTTGCGGTATTTTTTTCCTGCTAGATATACTGGTAGAATATTAACTTTTAATCAAAGGAATTTAAAAATTTGGGGACTGCTATTACTCCCAACCTGAACAAAGTTCTGCCGGTGGATGTTATGTGTGTAAGATGGACTTGCTTTCCCTGCAAATGGGATGTTGACTTATGATATTTATTTAAAAATAAATCGTTTGGGTGGCTGCGACCTTGTTTAGTTAAAATAGAACTGTAGAAAATCACGACTTGTGCGTGGGATCTTATGCTATATTTGGACGAGGTGATTTTGTAGCAAAGAAATTGAGAAGGCTTATTTACGAATTGAAGTATATATATTGTGATTTTATCTTTTAGTGAAACGAAGGAAATTAGAGGAAGTGGGACTCTTAATAAATAAATAAATTTTTTATCTGGCTTGAATTAAATTCGCCGAATATTCAGTGAAATGTCTGAATACGTACCGGGACTAAGGGAAAAAAAAAACTCATAATCAGTTTCCTAAAATTTGAGTTTTGTTTGCATTTGTTATTTACTTACAAGAACAGACTTACTTTGCAGAAACCTTTTTAGTTGTATTAAACGTATAGAAATATTATATATTAGTTATATTAATTGAATATTTAATATGATGTCTGAAAATTAGAGTTCTAATAAAAAAAAACACCGAACTTTACTTATTCAAATTTCGATGTTTTGTATTCATCACTCATTTATTTAAAAAATAAGCTTACTCTATATAAACTTTTTTTTATCATAAACTTATGGAAATATTAAATATCTTAACGCAATTCTAAATTTATGGGAGGTGTAATCGAGGATGCTACCCGTTGTGCTGTTATGGGGAAATTTTGAATATTTCCACCGACCGTATTATATAATTAGCCATACTTATCATCTTAGGGTATCGACTGAAGATCTTAAGTGATTGTTCAAGTTAAAAATTACTTAGACCTCATGAAGTACATAGCCCCTCAAGTTACAAATTAATATTTAACGTTGTAGCTTTATTAATGTACTATCTTGGGTTTTTTGCCTGTATAGGGTTTAATCAAAAACATTTTATCCGTATGGGGTTCTTTGACAAAAAATTCTCTGTTTAGGGTGATTTGTGAGTGTCGTCAAAACTGCTGGCGACACATGATCAAGTATCGGCTGAAAGAATGTCGACATAGGTGTCAGACCCGACTACTGAGAGCGGTTCATAAATCAATTTTAGAGAGCGGTTGTTACGGAACCGCTCTCTAAAATGGACTTTTGAGAGCGGTTCGAATTGAACCGCTCTCTAAAACTGACTTTTGAGAGCGGTTCAAATTGAACCGCTCTCAAAAGTCATGTTTTTAATTTAATTATTTTCTTATTTTCTCAAATTAATAAATAGGAATATAGAAAAATAGAAAAATAAAAAAATAGTTAAATTAAAATATATAATTTTCTTGTTACTTATGTAAAAAATAATTAAATAAGAAATATAAAAGAATTAAATTGAATAAATATATGAGGAAAAATTATGTGTGATTATTATTATAAGGTTAATAAAATATAAAATTATGAATAACAAAATAAAATTGAAATAATAAGAATGAAAAACATTAATTAATAAATTTATATTATAAGAATCTGCAGTTGTTAAATTTGTAATAATATTTTAACAAATATTATGTCACATAAATAAGAAATAGTAAATAAATTAAAATTGTGAAAGATTAAAATATAGTTATGCATCAAATAATTATAAATTAGATTAATTTTAAAAAAATTAGAGTAAAATATAAGGAATTAAGTGAAATAAAGATGAATATATAAGCAATGTAAGTTAAATAAAATTGAAAATATTATTTTAAAATATAAATGACTGAAAATAAAAATATTAGATCAATATTAATTTAGACATTTGAATATTTTAAAAAGTTTGTAGTTATTTAAATGGTTTTAATCAATAATAATAAATTACAATTTTATGCATGTAAAAAAACAAAAAAAGAAAAAGAGAAAAATAAGAAAATAATTAAATTAAAAACATGACTTTTGAGAGCGGTTTAATTGGAACCGCTCTCAAAAGTCCGTTTTAGAGAGCGGTTTAATTGGAACCGCTCTCAAAAGTCCGTTTTAGAGAGCGGTTCCGTAACAACTGCTCTCTAAAATTGATTTATGAGAGCTGTGTCGGCATTCTTTCAGTCGATACTTGATCATGTGTCGCCAGCAGTTTTGACGACAATTACAAATCACCCTAGACAGGAAATTTTTTGTCAAAGAACCCCATACGGATAAAATGTTTTTGATTAAACCCTATAAAGGCAAAAAAAAACCCTACTATCTTGGCTTAGAGTGTGGTTTGAGTCAATGTCCCTAGGTTTGCCGGTCTCACCTCAAGGACACCCTAATTTTTACTGTTGTATCTTGATGTGTGTATAAAGCTAGCCTCCTTAAAATAGTTTACAGGAGCACGAAAATAAATGGTGAACAAAATTTAGACTTATTTGATTTGATAAATTTTTTTATTAATAATTATAATTTTTATAGATTTGTATAGAATAAAAAAAATGTATACTAGAAATTTTTATAAACAAAATGACATTTAATAATTATTTTAAAAAGTTTTTAACCGAACATACCTAAAAATGGCAAGGAAATGATGATACTCTTTGTAAACTGGTAAGCTGTAAATCGATTGGCACTATAGTTTAAGGAACGTCCAGACAAAGTAACAAACCTCTAGCGGTCTATACGAGTCCATAGCGGAAATTGCGTAGGACTGGGACTGTGTCTGCCTTTACTGAATTACCGAGTTTAGAATATACAAGAGAAAGGCCCTTGGATCTTCTTTGCGTTTTAGAAAAGTTACATGTGTGATAATGCCCTAATGTCTGCACCAAGACAAAACCTATACCACCCACAGTTCTAAGTCGTAAGCACACAAAGGACCCATGTGGAAGACAAACCCACCCAGTTCAAATTATAATATAATTAAACTAATTCTAGGACCCACGACCGACACTCCATTTCAATTCCACCCTTTGGAGAAAAACATTTTTTTTTTGTATACTGCCAAATTCCTTAAATTTTCCCTCTCTTTTATTTAAGTTTTTAACTTTTTCACGGCTATAACACTTCCTCCTCTGTACCGCACCTAAATGTGTGCCATCCCTAATCATTTCTGACCTGTTCCCCATCCCCTTTAAAGTCTCTCTCTCATTCTCTCTCTCCCTTTACCGCAACTAATAGAGTGAGCATTAAGTTAAGCACACTATCGCGAAGAGGCGCAAAGAGTGTTAATTAAGTGGAGCGAAAATGCCGTTCGAGTTGGCGGGAGGAGCCGCTGTCGGTGCCCTGTTCCTATGCGTTGTTATTTCTCTTTTTCACATTACTTGGGCTGAAGACCCCTACAGGTTCTTCAACTGGAATGTTACTTATGGGGACATTTACCCGCTTGGGGTTCGCCAAAGGGTATGCTCTGTCTCAACTCTTTCCACTTGAATTCACCCTTTTCTTTTTTCTGTTTGGTTACTGTAATGAGATTCAATTTCCATATCACTATTACTGGATTTGAATCACAGTGAATATTTCAAAATATTAAAATCTATGTTTCTTTTAACAGGGGATATTAATTAACGGGCAATTCCCAGGTCCAGACATTCATTCTGTTACCAACGACAATCTCATCATCAACGTTTTCAACAGCTTGGATGAGCCCTTTCTCCTCTCCTGGTACCCTTTCCCATTTCAACAATTATATTCATATGTCTTTGTACAGTATTTTTGTATTGACGTTATATCACATACCACATTTTTATTTCTCCTCGACGATTATTTTTCCCTCCCATTGTTCACTTCCCTGCTTACCCTCTCTTCAAACATTTGCGTGTCCCTTCGATCTGCGGGTTTTGGTTAACCATCATTAAAGTCAGAGCATCACAGTATAAGTAAGATCCAAGCATAGCATGTGATTAGGAATTTTTTAAATAGAAAAATAAAAAAGGTGTTCAGGTTGATGTTGATCCACCGAGGAGCATGTCTGATGTTGGGGTCGGTTGCACATTTCCTTAGACACGTTCTCTCTACTTTGGATGGTTGTTAAGTCATATGACTCCGGCTTAAAAGTGGAAACACTGAAATTTGCCATGTGCTGAGCCAAATGTGTGGACGTGGATTCAGATCTGCCTCACTCATCCTCCGTAAAATGTTAGGATTGAATTTAAATAATTATTATTAATAACACTTTTTTGAAAAATATTTATCATATTTTTATATTATTATTAATTATTTAAATTTAATTTTAAAAGGTAATATTAACAAAAATTAGAATGTGACGATTTTTTATTTTTTTTGAAAAGGACAGAGACATAATTTTCATGTCATACAATAATTATTTTAAGTATTTTTTATTTATTTTATCATAATAATTATTACGTTTTCCAATATTTTCTTTCCTTTTAATCAATCTATTTATTTTATAAATTTTTATACGAAATTTAGGTGTAAATGTAATTTTTCTAATGAAATTCAGTATTTAATTTTGTTAGAAAACTGAAGGATGATCCGTGTCATAGATACGGAAGCCCTTTATCATTGAGAGTGTTCCTAACTACTAGTCTTAATTTATTAACATAACGTAGTTTTAAGTTAATTTTTAAAAATAAAATTTAATATTTTTTAAAGATAAGTTTAAGTTATATTCAGATTATTTATCTCTTGTCGACATATTATATTTTTCTAAAATTTATTTTTTAAATTATAATCAATAATAAGACTTTTGATGTAATGAAAAATAATTTATACAATGTAATAATATATTTATATTTATATTATTTGTTTTAAATATATATATCGTGAAGTATATCACAATGAAAATATTCGTTTATTTTTTTGTAATTTTGTGAGAGATTTAAAAATAAATAATTATTTTATTGAAAAAATTTAATCTAAATCTACACTAAATTTTATCGTTTAATTATCTAATCCAAATTTTAAGTCAAATAAGGATACAGATAAACTCATCTTATCCTTTCAATGAACATTCTTAATCATCACAAGTCTCAGTCATAATTTGGACTAATAAGAAAGCATCCACTGATTCAAATTGGATTTCTTAAGAATGCGTATTTAAGTTGGTCTCTAAAAAAAATATAAGAGATATTTTGGTCTTTGAAAAATAAATAACTGTTTTAATTCTTGAAATTTAAAAATATGAGACACTTTAATTTTTATATTTAATTGATAGAAAACTAAAATTTCTTATATTTGTAAAATAAATGAATTGTTTAATGATTTTTTAGAGACTAAGTTAAGTATTTTTCTTTCATTGTCTGAATTAGATTTTTACCCGATTGTGTAGAAACTAGTAAAGGGAGTTTTAAAAAAAGTTTATAGGATTATCATTTTCTTTTGGGTCAAGCTAGGATTATCATTTGAATTTCAGTTATGTAAAGTGGACAACAATCAATGTTATGGCCCATTTACGATTTCACTTTGTCCGTTGTCTCGGGGAAAGGCTGGAACCCACGGTGACTTGTCACCTACTCTATCTTTTATCTTTCATTTCCTAAAATCACGAGTGCTGGGTTCGTGATGGAAATGACGTACACTTATAATTTTTACCCAGCGTTCACATGGACAACTACAGCCTAATGAGTAAGTTTTTGTTTCTTTTATAGTTAGTTTTGTTTTCCTTTTTAATACAAAGTAATGAAAAAAAAATATTCTTAACTTTAAATTAAATATTTATTATTATTTTTTGTTTATTTAACGATTTAAACATAATGTTATTTAACTCTAAAACAAATAATTCCTAACTAATGTTGGATGGCGTAAATTTGTTTTGATAACGACCTTTAATTTTTCAAGTTATTATTATTATTATTATTATCCTCTTTAGGGAAATTAATAAGAAATTAAATGTATATAGTATATACATTTTATATAAATTTTTATGATGTTTTTATTTATTAATTTTTATCATTATCTGAATCCATCTATTTTAGTGTATAAATTTATACGATTGGTCTTGAATAAAAGATTGAAGCAACATACTATGAAAGTATAGTATGAATTTAGTTTGATTACAAAACCCAACAACTGAAATATGAATTTGAGGCAAGGGGATTTAATAATTAATGCAGGAACGGGATCCAGCAGAGAAGGAACTCATTCGAAGATGGTGTTTTAGGAACAACCTGCCCCATCCCACCGGGGAAGAACTTCACTTATATGCTTCAAGTGAAGGATCAGATTGGGAGCTTTTACTACTTCCCATCACTTGCATTCCACAAAGCCGCTGGTGGTTTTGGAGGCATTAGGATCCTTAGCAGGCCACGAATTCCAGTTCCCTTCCCTGATCCCGCTGGTGATTACACTGTTCTTATTGGAGATTGGTACAAATCCAACCACACGGTAACGTTTTTCATTATTCTAGATTTATTTTTATGATAACCAGGAGTCAAATTAATGGAAGGACTTGTTGGTGGAAAACCCTAGGCGTCCCATGCATTACATGTCAATCAATAACCATCCCCATTCATCAATGATAAATAATACTCTTGTTATTGCATTTTTTGATATGTGCGCCAAGAGATAACCTTCTTCTATCGGTGCCCCACGCCGTCTTCTGCAAATTAGCAAGTGCTGCTCTGACTCTTTCAACAGCATATGTTTTCCATACAAATTAATGAAATTATCGTTTTACATTTACATATATTTTTTCTTCCCAAAAGAAAATTATATGTAACTTCAAACTGTCATCCTTTAAGGTAAAAAAAGATTGATTATTAATTTAAAGTTAATTATATTTATAAAATATTTTAATTCAAATCAATGATAAATAAACTTTTATTTTCTTATTTTAAAAATGTAAAATCGCAAAATGTTTAATTATACAGTTGGTAATTGAGCAGGTTGAAGTAAATAATAGTCAGTAGTTGCTCTGTGATTGAGGACATTTAATTATCCAGTTCGATAGATCATGACGAATTTATTTCCTCAAAGTAGAACATGTGGATTGTTATGCAGACATTGAAAGCCCATCTTGACAGGGGCAAGAAGCTGCCTTTTCCGGATGGAGTGCTAATCAATGGTCGCGGTCCTAATGGAGTATCTTTCAACGTTGAACAAGGTGTGGACCCCATCTATTAACTGTTTATCTATTAAACGAAAAGAACGAATCATTTAGACATTAACAATGGTTTTGGCAATCTTGAAATTTCCACTACAGGGAAGACTTACAGGCTTAGAATATCAAATGTGGGGCTGCAACATTCCCTTAACTTTCGCATCCAGAACCACAAAATGAAGTTGGTAGAAGTGGAAGGAACACACACCCTTCAAACTACGTACTCCTCTATTGATGTTCATGTAGGCCAATCTTATTCAGTGCTGGTAATTGCCGATCAACCTGCTCAGGACTATTACATTGTGGTTTCCACACGATTCTCCTATAAAATCCTAACTACCACCGGAGTACTTCGCTATAGCAACTCAGCAGGCCCAGTATCAGGCCCGCCCCCTGGTGGACCCACGACCCAAATTGATTGGTCTTTGAATCAGGCCCGCTCAATTAGGTACTTTATTGTTACCTTCTTTCTACTCCACAGTCCTTGACCAAAAAAAAGTCATCCAGGACGGAAAAAGAAAAGCAAGAAACGCTTAAATCTCAAATCTCGATTTTAGTAAAACCCTCCAACAGATTAATTTTATCACTTTAAATTGATTCTTAAGCTCAAATCTCCATATGTTGAGATTAAAATGAACTAATCTTTTATATATATCTTGAATTAAAATAATAATAATAATAATAATTATTATTATTATTATTTATTTTTGGAGTTCGAAATTTGGGCTAAGATGTGTAGAAATTGAATTTTACACAACTCTATTTTACATGTAATATTGCTATGAAAATTTTTAACTATTTAATTAAAATTTATTAAAAATTATGGATATTTTACTCTTAATCTAAAGTTTTTCTCACTTTTGTAATTTTTAATAAATTTTAGTCAATAATTAAAAGTAAGATAAAATAGTATTTTTAGATTTTTTATTTTTAAAAGGATGCGATTTGTGAAAATGAATTTACAAAATGTTAAATATTTTGGTATTGAGATTATAGTTTTTCATTTTTGGTACATGAAATGAGAGAAAGCAAAAGAAAAAAATAAAATTATAATATTTAAGCTACTAACTAGTATAATTGATTATTTTATGTGTATGAAATAATTACTGACGTTTGAGTACCTGATTTCAGGACTAACCTTACAGCAAGTGGACCGAGGCCAAACCCGCAAGGATCTTACCATTACGGTCTCATAAACACGACGAAGACCATCATATTGGGCAGTTCAGCTGGTCAAGTAAATGGCAAGCAAAGATACGCAATAAACAGCGTTTCTTATGTTGCCCCGGACACGCCTCTTAAGCTTGCCGATTACTTCAAAATCTCAGGTGTTTTCCGCGCTGGAAGCATATCTGACAGACCCACTGGTGGTGGCATTTACCTCGATACTTCTGTGTTGCAAGCAGACTACAGATCTTTCGTCGAGATTGTCTTCCAAAACAACGAGAACATCGTTCAAAGCTATCATCTTGATGGCTACTCTTTCTTTGTTGTTGGGTGAGCACATACAACTCCTCATCCTTAAATTTAAGTACATGTATGATATAGATTAGTAAGTATCAAAACGATATCAATGCCTTCTCTGAAATTAACTTCTGAAAATTGTAGAAAGATTGTGTGTTTTTCTAAGCGTTTATGAGAAAATAACATTGATTATATTAACAATATATAAGTATAATAATTTTTTAATAAAAAATATTATTTTTAAAATGTCTAAACATTAAAATTGATGCTAACAGAATCAACTTTTTTAAAGCTTATATATATATTTTTTTCACCGCTTAACAATCATGGTTTATGAGACATTCGCAGCAAGTTTAATAGTTTGTGTTAGGCTTTCTTAAATTGGTCTCATGGTGTAAAATATTGCAACTGTGTATGTTCTATGCAGTATTGTTGGCCTAAAATATATGAATTTTATTTGTAGTATGGATGGAGGACAATGGACAACTGCTAGCAGAAACCAGTACAATCTCCGAGATGCAGTTGCACGATGCACCACGCAGGTGAGAATCAGCCATATGGTCAATGCCCATTTTTGTTGCGTGGCATAGCTAACAATTTTTAAGTTACCTATCAGTTGGTGATGTCCTTGCTTGCTAGTTTAGATTAGAACTAATGCAAGCTTTATTATTGAATTTGTTCAGGTTTATCCCTATTCATGGACTGCTATTTATGTTGCCCTTGACAATGTGGGAATGTGGAACTTGAGGTCTGAGTTTTGGGCACGACAATACCTTGGCCAACAGTTTTATTTGCGGGTTTACACAACATCAACCTCAATCAGAGACGAGTTTCCTGTTCCAAAGAATGCAATTCTATGTGGTAGGGCAAGTGGGAGACACACGCGACCCCTTTGAGCTTGCAAGGGTTTAAAGAATCCACGCTTGAGAAGGCATTCTAGCTTTAGAATATAAAAAGTAGTTAAGTTATCTACTTCTAATTTTGTTGTTGAGTGCTTTCGTTTATTTATGCTATGCTTCCGTGGGATGATGAACTTGTATGATTTTATCGTTAAATGACCCCAGCTCGAGGTCACATTCTTTCCGAGAGAACATATTATATTGTATTTTCTATAATTTTACTGGTATGGTTATAAAGGTGATGTTATTCTTTATTCTACGGCCTTAGACATGCAAGCTCCTTCTTTTAAAAACTTTTTTTTTGATAGAGCTCTTATCATATGCTTTGTATATTGGAGTTTGCCCTTTAAACTCCGTTTTGCATTGTACACAAACAGGTCCTTAATATATGAATCCTTTATATTAAAAAGAGTGATGAGGATTGGGAAAGTTTAGCATTTGGAACTGGGCTAACGGTGTCCAGGATCTACTGCATGGTAGTGCCTGTTTTCAATCTATCGGTTTCATGTTTATTTGAAATAAATCGTGAAAGCTTTCTCAAAATTATCTACTATTCAAAATTAGCTTAAAATGTTGTGCAGTTTAATTTTAAACTGCAGATGATCCGGTTCGAGTCTAGGATCCGGTGCAATTTAATTTAATTTTTTAGTTTTCCTCTAATCATGATTAATCAACAATTTTGTGATGCTTGCTCTAATTATAATGCGATTTGATAAGTTTCAGACTCAAATTTTAGGATATTTTGTTAAAAATAAACATTTTATCTTAAAAAAATTTGTAATAACTTTTTCTCTTTTAAATTCACTATCTTAAAGACGAATAATAGGATCAGAATTAAGTAATTCACCATTTATTTCTTCTTCTATTTTTCCCTTTGTCTCAGAAATATTGTATTCATTATAGGAAAAGAAAAACAGCAACAATTTATCCTCGCTGGACGTCCAGAAAATATTTATCATTTTCATTATAAACGCTAAAACTTTGAGCATGTTACAATGAATTTAATTAAAGTACGAGTAAATTTTTATGCTTAAATTCACTATTACTTTTTCGACCATGTCTGTGATTGAAATTAATCACAAGTGGCGATATTTTTTTACTATTATTTTTTATTATGTCTAATTACACTCCTTCTTTAATATAACTATCATTTTCTTGCTGAAAACGTCGCACGGTGTCCAAATACGTTGTTAATAGCAAAGGATAAAGTGACTTTTTGACATAAATAAATTCAAAAAAATTATTATTTGCTGAATATTTTTTTTAAAAATAATTTATGAAAATATCTTAAAAGTATATATCTTTATTTTTGTTTTAAAAATTTTTATACAAAAATCAATTTAACCGACTTCTGTTATAAGTTTAATTTTTTTTATATAAAAGTCAATTTAAATGTTTTTAAAATTTTTTTATACAGTCGATTTATTTATTTTATTTTTGAATTATTATATAAAAATTAATTTAATTTAACTTTTATTTTGATTTTAAAATTTATTTACACATTAATTAATTTAAATTAAATTTTATTCACACGTAAATATGTTTTATAAAAAATTTGATTATAATTAATTTTATATATATAATTGAAGTTAATTTAGATAAATTTTATTTTTAAAAAATTGAAGTAGAATGTAAATCAATTTCTGTTATATGTATTTTTTAAAAAAAATTACGTAATTTTTTTTTAGAATATGTAAGGAGTAATAATAATTTTTTAATTTATTTATATAAAAAAGCCGGATAATGTTGACCACAATTTTTGAAATTATAAACATAAATTAGTATATTTATTGAATTTATAAAATTATTAAAATTAAGGGATTAAAATATCTTATATTTGTAATTTCACGAAAAAGAGGTCTAGTTGACCCGAATTCATTCTTCTCCCACACTCTGGAGGATCCTTTTCCCGATCTGCGAGGGCAGGCGAGTTCTCTCGTGTATTGTAACTTCGCAACTTATGTTATTTTAATCATATCCAAATATTGTATCTATCGATTCTGAGTTTTAAAATTTGCGTGATATCAGCTCCATGGCAGGTTCATCAGAATTCGATCCAGCGCTTGCGCTTTCTCACAAGTTCCCCGATGTCTCTCTCTTTCTCCTTTATCTTGCGTTAGCATTTCTTGAATTAGCATATTCATATTCAGAATTCTAAACTTCTGTTATCATTTTGATGAACTGCAGACTACATACTCTTATACAGACAGGTAAGGGCTTAGCTATCATGTCTGATTTCATGCAAAATAGAAAATGGATGGGTAAATATGCTTTAATTCATGTTGAACAGAGATGCAGCACTTTATGCCTTAGGCGTAGGGGCATGTTTATTGGATGCTGTTGATACCGATGAACTTAAATATGTTTACCATGAGAATGGTCAGAAGTGTATCAAGGTATTTTTTGTTTTAAAACTATTCTTGGACAATGTTTAATTTCACGCATTTCTTCGCCAATAACATCTGCAAAAATATTGCTTAGAATTCACTTATGTATGTCATAAGAATGGACAATTTAACACAATTTGCTTCAACCGCAACCTATGCAAAGATGTTGCTTATAATTCATCTTTGTTTAGGCAGTCCCTGCTGACATAATTGGAAAATATTTCTAACTTTATAGGTCTTGCCTACGTTTGCTGCTGTGGTTTCACTTCGATCTGCGCCGAATGGCTTTGATCTCCCAGGATTGCAGTGAGTGCTGCTTACTACTTCCATTAATTCTGTGCTTATATTTCATGTGCTGTTTATATATAATCTCCACAGCATGTATTTTATCGGTGAATGTATAATTCATTCCCTTTTTTACTCCGTCGTCTGTCATATTGATCTTTTGACACTTAACCAAAAGTAAAACCTTATGCATGCTAGATTTGATCCACGCCTTCTGCTTCATGGACAGCAATATATAGAATTGTACAAACCGTTTCCTTCCAGCTGTCATGTAAGTTTCTTTTTATGAAAATTTGTTATACTGCACATTTAGATTGAATTGTTAAACTAATTCGGGACCTTTACAATTGAGAGTCTAAAACAGTTCTGTGTGATTTTCATCAGCTTGCTGAGGTTAATTTACTAATTATTATGTTTTTCTCTCTTATTCTTTCTAGATAGGCTCATGATACATTATTGTTTTTACAGATACTCAATAAAGCCAGTCTTGCTGGATTGCATGATAAAGGTTGACTTGCAAAAACAGTTTTTACTTGATTTGTCGTGCATTTGTTTGCTGCATAGTTTCACTTTAACACCTCTGGAAAATATATATCTTATGTATGCATATTTGAAGTTTTTATTCCTTTTACTACTTTTATTCTGCTTCTTAAAAATTGAATTTCATTTTTTTAATTTTAGGTAAAGCAGCAATTTTGGAGATTGAAACAAAAAGCTATGAGAAGGAGTCTGGTGCTTTATTATGCATGAACAGGTAATGCTAAAAATGTTCCTTTTAATGCTTTGTTATCATCATACTCAAATTACCTTGTGGCTTGCAGGTCAACTATCTATCTACGTGGTGCTGGTGGCTTCTCAAAGTCATCTAACCCATTTTCTTACTCAAACTACCCTTTGAACCAGACTCCAGCTGCGAAAATTCCTGAAAGTAAACCTTTTTCAGTGTTTGAGGATCATACCCAACCATCTCAGGCATGTTAAAACTATTTAATATTGTTTGACATAAATTGGCTGGTTCTTTTACGTCATTTTTCCATCCTTTTTGGGCCTTTCCCTCATTTACTTGGCTGTGCTCTGTTATTCACTTAGTAGCATATTTGAAAGCAATGTAGGATCTGTATCTTCAATTCTGAATCAGCATATAATAACATCGTAAATCTATATTACATATTTAATTAATTTAACCTCATTTATCTCTTCAGCCTTTAGCTTTCTACCTTCCTTAGATATTTGGCTGTCCTATATCTTTGACCACAATAGTTGTTCATGAAATCTATTTTCTCCAAAATCTTTCATTAAGTAGCGTTGCAAGCAATTGTGTCTTTTTTTTGTTCCCGCAAGATATTATAAAATGCTTATTTGTGGTACAACTTGGTATGAAACTTTCCTTGTGCACTAATGATTGCAGTAAAGCAGTTGAGGGAATCAGTTGGTTGCTTTGTGGAGCAATGTGAAATATATTAAAATATTCCAACTTATACCAAATATTTTGGAAAAGGAATTCCTTGTTCAGTACAGTTGTCTTTTTTTTTTTCCTTGAATTTTATTATCATTCTTTTTTGTGAATACAACAGTTGTAATGTCTAAAAATGGATTAGTATTTCATGCAGTGCATGTAAGGTTCAATTTCCGTAATTCAGTTTTCCTTTTATTAAATAAACAATTTTGATTAAGTTAACAGTTTTAATTACATTATTATAACTATCTAATGGCAACACAAATTCCATCAGTAATGCAGTCAATACAATTTTTAAGCAGAAAAAACTTACATCAAATTCTCCAATCAAACAATGACATGGGGAACTTTTTTCTACATTAAATAACCTCCATTAGGAATATCTTGTTAAATTTTTAAATTATGCTGTCAATTCAATTTCTAAGTGGAAAAAGCTTGCATCAAGTTCTGTATATCCTTGCCATCAATTCTCCAATCAAAAAATGACACGTGGACCTTTTTTTTTTTTTTCCTACATTGAATAATTTCAATGAAAAATATATTGTTACATTTCAAAAAGAAAAATCCACATGTCCACAAGGATTGTAAGGAACTTGATCTAAGTTTTGTCCTTTTTTAGATATTCACCCTTTATTTTGCTCTTCATAATCTGTAATTCATTTTGTTAGGCCTCAGGTAGCCTTTTGGCCCAGCTTTTAACATTTTAAAAGTCACTTTAAAGTAAAAGCTAGAATTAAGAGCTTTTAAAAATTAAAGCTAAAGTTGTTTGATAATTTTTAGTTCTTTTGTTTAGCTTAAAAGTCACTTTTGAGTGCGTTCTCCACAATATACACAAAACAGAGCACCCTCTTCCTCGAAAGGAAATTCCTGTAAATTCAAAAGAAAGCAATCCGAGTGAGAAGCCAACTGGCCAGAGCAGTACTGGGAAGATGGGAGAGGCTTCTGGCAGCAGAGACGTGAATATATTAGGAGTTGGGTGGTCGTTGGTTTGCTGTGGTCAGGCAGCTTGGGAGTGTGGTCGATGGTTATGGTTCTGCAATGGAGGTTGGGCAACTTGGGCAGTGATGTTCTCTGCATGCCGGTGGATAGCATTTATGATCTGGTTCTGTGGCTTATAGATGTTGCGGCTTGGCATCATATTTCAACAGAGAAGGATGGGGGAAAAACAATCCTCATTTTAGTTTTTCTAAAAGTTAATACCTTTTTTTTTTCACTAAAAATAAGCTGCTTTGTTTACAGCTTTTATTAAAGGAATTTTTGGCCCAGTTTTTTCTTTTAAGAAGAAAAGCCCAAAAAGAGATGGTTAAATACTAACGCAGAATAAGGAGAGGATGTTTGAACAAAAATAGAATTAGGAGAGGATGTTGAAAGTGTATGTTAGAAGGAATCGAAATAGTTAGGGTAGTTAAAGCAGTAAGATGTTCAGTCAAAAGGCTCAGTTAGTTGGTTGGAGGTTCAAATAGGAGAGCTCAAGTGGAGTGGAGAACGATTGTAAATGAGCTGAATCTTCGAACTCAGTTGAGAAGGGACAGCCTTTGTGAGGTAGACATAGAGTTCTCTCCATACAATACAATTCTCTAATAACTCATTCCTCACCCTATCTCCCATTCCTATCTTTGTACTGTCTATTCTTCACTATTCTTGCACTCTGTTGAGATTCTTAAAGCTATAGAACCAGAACACGTTTCATCTTTGAAAACTTCTGACGTGCTTCTTTATGAATTTCTACACGGATTCTGAGTGTGTCTTCCTTTTGGCAGGCACTGATCTATAGGCTATCTGGTGACTACAATCCTCTGCATTCAGATCCCATAGTTGCAAAGGTTGCTGGGTTAGTACTCTCATCCTGTCTTCTGAATGCCAGTAGATTGTTAAATACTTGAAATTAGATTCCCCAAGTTTATGTTCGGGTGTACCTAGGTGAATGGAAATTTTCCTTCCTTTTCAGCTATGGTGTTTTTTATAAGTAAATAGGATTTTTGTCATATGAGTTCAATACAAAGAAAGGGTTGTTGCATAGGATTGTAAGATGTAATGCCATCAGTTTGTGATGTGGCTATTCCTTTTGTGGTCATTTTCCTTCATATGGATTGTATTCAATTGTTCGGCTAATGTAATTTTAATTGATTGCCAAAGATTCTCGCAGCCAATATTGCATGGGTTGTGCACGTTAGGGTTTGCTGTTAGGGCAATCATCAAAAGCATATGCAGAGGAGATTCAGACTTGATAAAAAGCATAGCGGGCCGTTTTCTTCTACATGTCTACCCTGGTGAAACTTTAGTCACTGAGATGTGGCTTGAAAATCGAAGGTAGAGTCACTGTTTGCGCCATGTTGATATATTATCATCTTCTACTATCCTCTCCGAACTTATTCAAATGCTTGGGGAATAGAAATAGTGATTGAAACGTGAAATTGTGTAGGGTTGTATATCGGACTAAGGTGAAAGAGCGACAGCGAACAGTTCTTTCTGGCTACGTTGATCTGCGTGGTTTGAGTTCGTCACTGTGAAAGAATTCAGTAACATGTAGCTCGATAATATCTGCAGGAGGTTTGCCATAAATTAAGTACTCCACAATTCAAATGCTCTGGAAGTAATTGTAAAATGTTTGTTAAATGTTTAGAATTTCAAAGTTGGTATACGTAGAATATTTAGTAACATAGACTTGAAAAAAAAATCTAAACTATTATTTGGAAAAAAAACATGAATTTTTGTGATTGAGTTAACTCATAATAATAAGATATTATAAAAAAAAATATTTATTATGCTTTCGTAGTTTTAATAAAAGCATACTACTTCTAAATGTTTAAAATCGATTATGAAAATTGAGGTTAACAGAAAAAATTTAAAACTCAAATATTAAAGCCTTTTTTTTTTAATTCATCAGAAAAGTAGACTTCTGGTTTGATTTTATTCCGCTTCACACTTTTGCTTTCTTTAAATATATTATTTTGATTTTTGACATTGGAATCTATATAGGAAGTTATTATCATGGTTTAAATGAAATTAAAATTTGAATGGAGAAAAAAATTTAAAACAAAGTTCTTTTTATGTAATAGATATAAAAAAGATCTTAGTTTATTTTCTATATTTCAAGATAACAGTAATTTCAAAATTATTCAACAAGCATGGACTTTTGAGCAATTATTAAAACAAGTCAATACAATTTTTTAATGAAAACTTTGTGGAGTTAGGAGTTAAAAAGGCTATTTGTTAGCATTTTATTATTATTGTATTACTATGTGGTGTTTAAACTGGATTTATTATTTTTGTTTAAATATTTTAAATTTAATCCTATACATTAAAAGTCAATAAAACAAAATTTTAAAGACCTACAGCAAATATTGCCGTATTCACCATCTATCATCCATCAACATAATAATATTAAAACCGGTATTGCCACTTCGATAATCATATAATAATCGCATTTGAAGTATATTAAAATTATAAAAAACATTTTTAATGTATTTTAAGGAGGTGAATTATCACTTATAATTTTAGTAAATATTCGTTTAGTGCTTTAAATTGACGGAAACACTAACACTTCAATTATTACAAAAAAAATTAAAATAATACAAATGTAAGTTGGCGGAGAAAAAAGCCCACCGCCTCGCACATTCTACAAATAGTGCTAAATTCCTTCAGAAAATTTTCAAGCACCATCCGAAAGTTGTCGCTCTCACTTGGTCAATTCATTAAAGGTTTAACGTTAAAAATTTTAAGAGTTCCAGTCACATCTCCGAAAATGCAGAAGATAGGGTTCCTATGGTCGAAGAGTATCGGCATCTGAAACCAACGACAAAGTTTTCATCAAGTTCTTCGACCACATTTCTGCACTCGATGTTTGCCACAGGTTTAGATTAGAACTCCACGCTAATATCTCAATTTTTTTGGTTTCTTATGCTTTACGATGGTGATAGCAAGTTTTTGTCGCAAGTTAGCTCGCGACAAATTTTGAAACTGAAATTTGGCTGAAGTTTTCAAACATTGAGTCATTCTTGTCCGGAAAATTTGTAATCTTAATACAATAGCATGGAAAAAGATGTGAAATCTTGATACAACAATATGAAAGAAGACGAAGGTAGATTGCTCTAATTTTCCTGACAACAGCCTGACTCAGAATGATCATTACGCCTTTAAATCTCTGTCACAGCCTTATATTTCTTGACCTCTTTTGTGATCCAACCTTCAATTCCAATCTACTTTACGGGATACTTTGCATATTCCCATGTTTGTATGTCTCATTCATATGTTGTCTTTGATGTTTGGTATAACACGTCAAAGAGCAAATGAAACTCAAGTGACAACATAAAATTGATTATTAAAATAATAATATTCTAATTAGGATAATAGTATGCCAAGTTCTTGACATGCGACAAAGTTAGGTTTAAAATCTGATAGCTAACACTTAACAAGAATTATTTAGTCACTCATGAGATTAAATTTTTTAAGAGACTAATTTCAAATGTATGAACTTTTATAGCGACAAGAAGCTTAATTAAACCAACATTTTTTATTTTTTATCAAAGTAGTAGCATACAAGATTGATGGAGTATCTCAATGCAAAAGTAAAGCAGAAGACAATACACAACCCGATGGTGATTTACATTTTATATGGCACTATGCCTTGCAGTATATAAAATTTGTTTACTTGGGTACTTGTATTTTACCGTATTTATTAAACGTTGTGCCAGTTTGTAAAAACATTTATTATAAAATAAAAAATAAAAGCTTAACAATCTTACTAACAACGCGCATAATAATATCGTTATATACCATACCAAACCCTTAAGAATCAACATTTAGGAAACTATTATTTTTATGTACTGTGAACCCAACACCAATTAAATTTGATTGACAATTCAATCGGCACGGTAGTAGCATTAATAACTTATAATCTAACCCCCACAGGCCACTTCTCAGATTATTTCATGTTCAAGGTATTTCCTTGGTCGAAGAGTAGAAGAAAACAGAAATAAAATGGTTCACAGGTATGGTCTGAAATTAATCCATTATTATTCTAACCTGTGATTGAGAGTGGTCTCTATTCAATCCAATGCACCTTCAACATTTTAGCCATAAAACTGAATCGATCAGCAGCTTCATCGATCTGGCAAATATATATTCAACTTGAGACATAATATAACAAACCGATAGAAGGGAAAAACAACCTGGATCCGTAATTGTTACCATTTTCTGTGTTGGACGACCCGCTCCATGTCCAGCCTTGCAGTCAATGCGACCAATAATAGGGTTTGTCTGAGGACTTCTTTCCAAGCTCCTACAGAGGACATACTGCATGGTCTGATAAAAATTGGAAATCTGTTAAAAAGAGAATGGAGGAAAGAAAAAGGGGAGGGGGAGTGAACATGATTTTCTTGCCCACACAGTGGTCAAGTCACAGTGACAGATACCCCGATGTGCAACTGCAATTGACTAATTTATTTAGATTACGATCACTTATTCTTGAGTCTTTAATGTATACAAGTAATCATGAGAAGCAGACTAACCGCCAATAGCTTCAATGTGTGCAGTGGCACAACACGATCATCATGATCAGCTGTCAACAACATGGTTGATGGATACTGAATTGACTGACCTGGATGATGTTCCCACGGTCTCCGGACATTATGTAAGGGTGAATATCTATAACACAGGATAATATAAACGTCATATCTTTCACACACACAAATTACATATCCAAATATTATTTACATTTTTCTTGATGAACCCTAAAATATGAGAATAAATAATAGTGAGAATCTTCAACTTCAACAAACCAGGAAGAAACTATATATTGATACTGCTAGAATATGTGGAAGTTAAAATTGCACCAACCTAATTATCCTGCTGCAGAATTATTACAGAACAAGTATAAAATGTATAGTTTTATGCCCCTATACCTATCAGCTTCAGGATTAAACTATAATAAGCTGTGTATTCAGCATACCGAGTATCTAAACAGGCTACTCAACAAGAGTCAAAATGTTTAGCCATATATGACCAAAGTACCTCTCAAGGTTTATTATCTTCATTCGGATATATAGAATTCCGTATTCTTTCCTGTTATATTGATCAACAATAATCTATCAAATGACAGACACGAGGAAGCCATGTTATCCCATATAGAATTAATATCTCAGGTTTAATGGCACTATCTCTTTGATGAAAATCATTACTTGCTTATCAAACCAGGAGGTGCATGTCATGTGTATTGAGTAGCTTGTGAACTTCTGGGAAGAAAGAAGGATCAAATGGATATGAAATCAAGGACCAATGGTGAGGATAGTATCGAAGTTCAACACTGGGCCAGGTGGGGTGTAAGTATTTACCCATTGCTCTGCCCATTGTGCACCAAAATTTTGAGAAATATACCCATGTCCATCAATTAAGTATTAATGAAATGCTGCCTTTTTAACCCATCAGCTCAATTAAATCATCCAAACCTAACCCCACCATCACCACACTTCCACCATCATCACTGCACTAGCAGCACTATGACTTGGTAGTAATTTTAAACAATTTGCCACTAATAACTATTATGATTACCTATATTATCTTTTTCATAAAATATAGAAATATATCCTTGATGTTTCGAGATAGGATAAACCTTACTTAATTAGCCAATGAAATTCTTCCTCCGTATCTGAACAACCATAATCTGAGGTCCAAGCATGACCTGAATAACAACTATTCTAAATCAATATGTCACACTCGTATAAACAAACTACTGGATATAACAGATGCAAACAAACCTATGGTAAATTTGTGGAACCGTAGCATGTCCATAACACCAACATGGGCAAGTGCACAGCCAAATAAATCAGGCCTCTGTACATATAAATGAGAGGGGGAGAATCTAATGAACAAAGCTATAGATTGGGAAAGTATAGACGAAAAAATGGGAAGAGAAAACAAATGAATTAAACCTGATTTATACAAGCACCAACAAGAAGTCCACCGTTGCTTCCACCTTCAATGCATAACTTTCTGGGATTAGTATAACCAGTAGATACAAGGTATTCTGCTGCCGAAATGAAGTCATCAAAGCAATTCTGCTTTCTTGCAAGGGAGCCTGCTTTATGCCATTCCTCTCCGTATTCTCCACCACCACGGATATTTGCTATGCAGTAAACAACCCCTAAATGTCTTGTGAGTACAATGCGACTGACACTGAAATATGGTGTAATACTGATATTAAAACCACCATATCCATATAACAAACAAGGGTGTGAACCATCCAAAATAATATTCCTTCTGGCAACAATGAACATTGGGATCTTGGTACCATCTTTACTAGGCACAAAAACCTGAATTGGGGAAATTAAATCAAAGAAAAGTACAACCAAGTTGAGCAACAAGAATACAGATTCTAACAGATAGCATGCCCATCCTCATATAGGATAATGGGATTTGAAACTGTCAATTTAATAATGTGAACCTAAAAATTTGATAAGATAACTTTGCAGCATTAGAGAATACTTTCTTTACCTGATTAACATGAAACTCAGACTGATCAAACCCAGGGACAACAACTTCACGGAATATCTTCATATCAGGGATCTCTGTTCCCAGGTTGCACTGGTAGATGATACCAGGAGTTAAAAGGCTTGTAAAGTTAATGAAAACCACACTATCTTCACGCCGAGCAGAAATTCCAGAAACTGTGCCGATGTCAATTGGTAATTGATGTAGCAAGGAACCTGCTTTTAAGTCTCTTACTTGTAGAATATATTTCACATCACTCAAATAACTCACTATGAGTTGATCACCATTTACAGCACATGCTGACTCAAGTACATCTTTTTCAGACTCATGGAGAACATCAACCCAAGAAGTTGGTTCTTTCAAATCTACTCGGACTAGTTTATATTTTGGAGCATCTTTATTAGTTAAAAATGTAAACATAGTGTCATCATTTGCAATGGCTTCATATTGTGCGTCAAAATTATCAATAAGTTTGACAAATGGAAGGAGGGAATTTTGATTCCGAAAGCTTTCCAGCCCATTAGCAAGTGTGGACAAATCACAGTAGTAAAGTTTGTTGACTGGATCACACCCTTCTTCAATATGAAGAAGAACATACTGCAAAATCAACAAAAACCAAGAGTCCGATTCATGGAGAATTGAATATCATGTCCATAAAATTCATTGTAGCTTTGTTACAGTATTGCACTTGACAAAGAAAAAATTCGAAATATACTCTCTCCCATGCCTTGACTTGCAAAGTTATGAATTCAACAATATTATGTTCGATCTTATCTAAATGCTTAGAGTGAATATAAATTCTTAAATCAATAGATATATGATAGGAACTGAATTTATTATTGATTGAGTAAATTTCCCATGTTATTTGAGAGAACCTAGACTTTCCCTACTCTCAAAGAGTACAATCCTTTCTCTAATTGACAATGTGCCCTCCTTTGCTCTCTTTTGTTCTATTTATACAAGTGATATCATTTCCCAATTGAAACTAGCTATTAATTATAACTAACAAGCTAATGGGTTACCTAAAATACTTCTCTTCCCCCCCCCCCGCTCCCCAGCATCATTCACTTTGTCTTTGGGATGAAGTTCCAATTGATTGAAGCATGATGGTCAGGCCCTCTTCCTTTCACCATGTCTCCTAGCTACCAAGTGGAGCAATTTCCATCATCATGTCGGCAACGCCAGCATTGCAAGGTATGGGACTCTAACTCCCACATTGGAAGTATGGCATTTATAAGGCCTTGTGCTTTCCTTTCCCCTCTTTTGTTCTATTTATACAAGTGATACCATTTTTTAATTGTAAGAACTTTAGGAGAACCACACCACAAAGGTTAGCTGAGTCTCCAAGGCTTTATAAACTTTAGATCAGAATCTCATACATCCAATGTAGACTCAAGTGGGTCCTAACATCCCACCACACTCTGCAAGCCCTGGCACTCGAGCAGGCTAGCTTTGTACTAGCCCCTTTGACTAGTCCCAGGTGAACACTGCAATGTCAGTATCCCCACCTGCACCACTCATTTGCAATTGAGAGACATGATGAAAAGCTCTAATACCAATTGAGAAACCAAATCAGTAAAAGAGAAAAAGAATAAAAGTTTTATTATTGAATGAGTGAATTTCCAAGGTAATTCTAGAGAACCTGGACTCTCCCTATTCTCAAAGAGTACAATCCTTTTTCTAATTGACAATTAACTATCATTTCCTCTCTTTTGTTCTATTTATACATGTGATACTATTTCTTAATTGTAACTAACTATTAATTATAACTAACAAGCTAACAGGTTATCTAACAATATATTAAAATTACATAACAATGAGTCCTGTACCTTTTTTGTGAGTTTAAATAAGAATCTTGAAAAGCATTAGAGTAAAGCTCTAGGTTTTTAAAGCAAGACGCTTGGAGACAGATTTCTATCGAGCAAAAACATGTTATCAAAATATTCTATATAACATTCAGCCATTTAACCAAAACATAACGCTAAAATAGAAATCATGCAAAACAAGACAATGGAGAACTAGGTTTTCCAAGCAAGACATTCAATGTTAAATCAGAAGGATTCAAATAGATGCCTAGTAAAAACTATGTAAGACATGCAAGGCCTGAAGCAGTGAAATGTCAGTAACATTAGTAAAAGGCACAAAGACATCAGTTGCACATTTTGTTATTTTATTTGTACACAATAAGAATACAGATAACTGTCCAGTAAATCAAAAGCAATGACAAAAAAAAAGTACCTTCCCATCATAAGTAACACTTCCTTGAAACGAATATTTAGGGTTTTCAGGATCTCTCCAGCACAAAACATCATCTGATTGATTTGTACCCAAAAAATGATAATAGAACTCATGATGCAGGTTAGCGTGTGTTTCAGTCCCAGCATCTGCTACTTCTCCATCTCTAAAGTGTAAAAGCAGGGTAATTAATTCAAACTTTAAGTCAAAAGAACTGGAACTGATCCTACTGTCATCACTACGTTATTTACAAGATATTAATAGAAATAAATACCAATTCAAATCATCTTGATATGAACAAGCAAATTCAAAACCATTTGCTCTCCATATTTGCACTCAAATAGCAATTGCAAATTAGAATAACAAGCTCCGGTTTACTAACTTCCTTTTTCACTAATAGTCCATAGACTACATTCTATCACGTTTTAACAAACACATTTGAGAACTTAACCAAATTCTTTACTTCCTGGAAGCAATGTGAGCATAGGAAATGCACTTACTTGGGTGCTGGATAGCGGCTATAAAAGAAACCTTTGCTATCATGTGTCCAACTAATTGAGGAAAACTTCACCTGAAACAAAATATCTCCAACCATCAGTGGTTCCATTTTTATTTCTAGTAAAGGCACGCTATGACACTCACCCATGATAAAGTATCAGGCTCTACATTCCTGTCCTCAATTCGCATTACTTTTATAGTCACCCAATCGCTACCGCTTGAACTAAGCGCATAAGCCAAGTACTTGGCATCTTCGCTCACCGACAGTGTGCTCAGTGAGACGGTTCCGTCTTCACTTAACGCATTGGGGTCAAGCAAAACCTCTGGTTCTCCCTCCAAACTGTCCTGCGAATATTCACTACGTAATTGAATCCGAGAAGCTGAAAAACCAAGCAAAACATTCAACAAACTCACGTGAACACATAATTAGCTACCAAACCTGCACATATAGAATGTCCTGTGGCTGAAGCCCAGTGTTGTGGAAGTAAAAGTACTTATTGGCTTGTCTAAAAGGAGCCTCATAACGAGGATGGTCAAATAGCTTGGTAATCGTTTCACTAAGCTTCCCTCTAGTTTCGCATTTTTTAAGCACAGAATCTGTTAATCGAACCTGTTTCTCCACAAATTCTTTCACTTCTTCCGCATCAGGATCTTCAAGCCTTAAACCAAATATTAAAAAAAACATATAAAAATACTTTTCAATAAGATTTGCCTCTAGAATTTCCTCATCGAGTTCAATTTTACTTTATTTGCAGAAAGTTCGAAAATAAGGCAAAATCTAGCCGAATAGAGCAACGACAATAACTGATTTTCGTTTTGAGTACCATCGGTAAGGGTCAGCAATCTTGACTCCATGATAGTCATCGATGACTGAGTCGTCTCTGCGAGCAGGGGGGTATTGGAGAGGTTCGTCTAGGGCACAGACAGAAGCCATGCTATTTGGAGGACGTGAGAATCAAAGAAGTGAAAGTGAATTGGTAAACGTCGATGTGGTGTGAAAGTGGCTCCGGTTTCACTTAAATACTCCGAGATTTAGTAGCAGTACTAAGCAGAACAGCTCCTTGGTAAGGAAATTGAAAATGCACGATTCGGCTAAGTTGCTTAATGCTTAATCAAATAAGTTGCAATTATTTCGATAAATCCTAATGAAATATTTTATAAATTTACTCTCACTTGTCTAATATTATACCACTATTTTAAAGTAAAGTGTATTTTTATTCTTCATCTATGTTAAGAATAAAACTTATTGACTTCAGCATTTTCTTCTTTACTGCCTAGTCGCATTCCTTTGTTGTTCGTTTGAGTGATTACATGTAAGACAAGTGTTTTACAAAACGTAATGGTTCATGCCTATCCTTTTTTACATGCATTATAATTAATATAAAGTGTTTTTTAATAAACGATTTTATCTATTGCTTACAGTGATTTTATTAAATGATAATGAAAATACTTTTCAGTCTAAAATCGCTGTCAAAAAAAGGGGAGATGATTACATGTAAGATGCTTTCTTGATTACCACTATTTTAAATTAAATGAAAGCGAAGTTTAATTTATCACTTAAAGGAGAAGAAAAAACCTTACTCTTTAAATGCTTCTAAATTTTCTTAATCAGATATGATGTCAATTTTTTATTTATCAAAATATTACTTTTTTTCATTAACCATAGCCTTCGTAATTGTATATCGTTAAAAAAAGTTTAAAATTAAAAAAAAACGAAACCCTTGTTTTTATATTTGCCTCAACACATTATTAAATATTGAGGTTTATTTCTTTGTCCTTAAATTGATTAATGCAACAATAAATAGTCACAATAACAACTAAATGAGGGATGAACTTTACAAATTTCCCAATGTTGATACGCAGAAAAATGACAAATGAATATGAGGGCAGTTAGATGAACACACTTGGCCTTTGTAAAGGAGTTTTTGACATTCTTACAAATTTACTTTAACTTGTTTTACATTTTAAAAATTATCGAAACAACTCTTTTAGCAAAATTTTATAATTTTAGTCAAGCTTATAAAATAATTTATCATTTAATAAAACCACTGTAAGTAATTGATAAATTTTTTTATTAAAAAACACTTTATATTAATTATAATGCATGTAACAAAAGGGCAGGCATGAACTATTACTTTTTGTAAAACACTTAAAAATCAACCTAGAGGGAAAAACAGCATATATGTATGTCCATAATCCATAATCCCTTGAGGTAGAAAATACTTTTTAGTCTAAAATCGCTGTCAAAAAAACGTGTATTCTTCCTGTTCGCTATCATGATTAACGTTAGGCTTTAAATACATTTTTCCCTTTTAAATAAATGAATTTGAACGGTTGAATAGATTCCCATTAAGAAAAACTAGTATGACATTACTCAATAAAATTTACACAAATTTCGTTCAATAATTTTAGAATGAAAATTATACGTTAAGTATCTCACAAGCACCTCTGATTATGTCTGGATGGATAAAATTTTAATAAGGATAATATAGATACGAGAGATCTACGGTGAAATGTACCACTTAACTATTGATTTGAAAGTAGATTACAGGGATGAAATATTTGAGGTGTAAAATCCACCTAAAAACATTCTCTTTGCAAGATGGCAAGGTGAGCAGGGAGCATGTTAATTTTTTTAATACCTTATTGTTAATCATTTAAAAATTTAAATTCACTTTTACGACATTTATCACTTTTAAATACACATTAAAAAAAATAACATTTACTACTTTTTCATACCTTTAAAATGATAAATACACAAGCTCAAGAGCTGAAAGTTAACATTTTTTGTTTCATATTCTGTATTTAATATGAAACTCGGATTAAAAACACTTTTATAAGGATGAAAAAAATATTTTATAATTCATTCCCTGTTTTAACTTTTTATAAAAAAAATCAGACAATAAATATTATTAAAAATTTAATTTTTGATCAAATTTATATTTATTAGGAGTGTTCATGATTCGAATGTTAATGGGACCGAGAACACCCCTAATATTTGTTGTTGCATTGCATTTTATTTTCCTTCTCTTATTCATATAAAAATATATTTCTATTCATTTAAACAATATACTTTTCCTATATTTATCTTATTTTGCCTTTAACCTTTCTTATTTGTTTCCTTAACTAAAGGAAGGATAAAGATTTGATTAATGTTTAGCATCATTTGAAGTTGAGAACCCAAACCCTTTAAAAAACGAAATAGTTTGTGCCTAATGATAACATCATGGTGGAGCAAGGGCGTCCTCTTGTTGGATATAAACACACGTCAATATTTTATGTTGATGGTACTTTCCTCGGCCCACTTTTCCCTACGAACACAGTTATTTTGAACTTCACACATCTGGATGATTTGAACAAGGGAAGTGGTTACGACTTTACTAATTTTGCTGCGAACAAACGGAACGGGCAGTGTGGATGCTCAGAGAAGGATGGTATTGGTTTTCATAGTCAAAACAGGCATGTGCTGTAGTTCGGTAATAATGAATGGTCCCTACAATTAAGGCTAATTCCTAGCACTCTGCTAGTCGTACACTTTGAAGAATTTGACTCCTACAAAAGACTCGCTGCAAAACACAAATGTTTGAAGCTAAGCTAGGCCGTGTCTACGAGTTGCTAGCTGTTCCGATGCAGAGCCAAGCCCTCCCCAAAAGATTTGAGGGGCCGCCACTACTGTATACAGATAGAACAAAGTGACCCAGTTGTCCCGTATTCACATCACATTTCGTTTCAGTGTCATTATTGTTAATTATTTGGTCCACTCGAAAAATGTTATTTCTACCCGCATAATTGATTCTATTATTTAAATTGCTTTTCTAAAAGTCAATAACGTGTACAAAAAAGGATTAATATATTAAAAAATTATTAATACATTGACTAACACTTATTAAATACGAAAGAGAAACATTATTAACAATTTAAAAAAAAGTAATAATCATATAAGTATTAATAAATTTTAACCTTGATCTTTGTATATACATGCTCTTCTTATTTTTAAAACTAAATTCCTATCTTATTCTCTTCTTTTCTTATGTTTCATCATTTGAAATTTTTACACACGATATTAAAAAGCTTTAATCAAAGAAATAAGTTAAGCTTTTTTCTCCTAAAATACCCTTATTTAATATCAAGAGAAAAATATGTGAAAATGTAAAATGAATACTTAAATTAAAATTCATTTACAATAACTATTAAATAAAAATATAGGTGAAAAATATAATTAATTCAACTTTAAAAACAAAACAATTGAAATTTGCAACTAAATACTAAAATAACAATAAATGAGTATAATATATTCATAAAATATATGCTTAGAAAGAAAAAATAGTACACAATCTTGTATTAGAGTGTCAAACTTTTAGAGATTCAAATATCAAAGAACTCTTACAATGCTATTCTTTTCTCCGCAAAGGAAAAGAATTCAAGCTATAAGAATTCAAATAACTGTAATCTTTTCCAGTTGTCCTCTTATTACCGCGAGAGATGCAATGCTAACTGAAACTTTCACCTAGGAACTGAGAATTTAATCGCTTCCACTTAATCAAAAGGCTTTGAATTCGACGTCAATATCACAAAGCCAAATTCACATGGACTTGTATAAATCATGAAACAATATTCACCCGTCCAGAAGAGTGCTTGGGATGACTTTTACCAACTTTTCCCCAGAATTGGCATTTATTTACTATTTACCCCACGCGCCATGAAAGAGTGTGCTTGCTTGTCCTTGTATTTTATATAAGAGATTAATGTCAGTATTCAATCATGAGCCACCCCTTACGTTCAGAGGGGACTCGTGTAGCGTTGTAGAAAGAGGGGTCAGCCATAGAGTAGTAAAGCGCCATCTAATCTTATAGTCTGTGCTGTGCCTGCCGCTGGATATGCAAATCAATATTACTAAAACCAATGCGACCAATTTTTCAATTTCAAATGGGAATCGAAAACATAAACGGTGAGATGCAAAAAGCCATTGACAGAGAAATCAGCTGGCGCAGCTGGCATTAAAAGGTTAACATAAAACGACCATGGCGGAAAAAACTTTAAATTAAATCGGTCAAGCAAGAAAAAAAAATATGTATGCACTTATCTGCTCAAAAAAGGAAGCAATCCCTGCAGAAATTGCAGATCCTAACCATTAAAAAGTTTTTAAACCTAAAAAAGTAATAAACTCGTTCAATTTTCATCCCTCCTCAGCGATGTAAACTAAACCACCTTCTAAAAACCCTAGATCTCGCATCTTAGAACTCGAAACATACACGACGTCAAAGAGATAAAGAAAAACAAAAAATATCCACTACATGCTGTACTTGAAGAGTAATCAAACTTATGAAGAGAGAAAAGCAATAAAAAATAACCATCTAATGCAAGGAGAAACATAGGGATTTCAAAAGAAAGAAGTGGAACTAGATTGTAGGGTTTTCAACACCAGCGACTTATGGCATGATACCCTTTATCTCTGATCCCGTGACAAAATTTTGCAAGCACACAGTAGGATCCTGTAGAAACATAATGTGAGAGAAAAAACACAAAGTACACATACTCAAGAAGACAAACAAAAATATTGATGTTCTTCAGGTGTATGTATAACATAAGATAAAACGTTATTCTATACAAAAAGTACTTGTCAGACACAAAAGATACAGAAACAAATAAGAAGGGGAGGGGGGAGAGAAGAAAGGATTCTAGTTATTTTACCTTACAGTAGATATGAGGAAAGATGTTTAAGTAATTGAGATATACAATCACGAAGGCTTTACAAAGGGAAGCCAACACAGCTCTATTGGCAGTATGCCCACCTCCGCATGTTTAAGGACAACGAGAGAGATCCATTGAGAAAAGGACGGAAGTGGAGGTGGACAGAATGCCAAAAAACTCTGTAAGAAACCCTTTGTTAAACCCACGTGAAGACAAAGCCAAGCTTCTCACTTTGAAACTTGGAAAGACTCACCCCACCGTGCAGGCAGAACGCAAGCAAGAGCCAGATTGGGATATTGG